TACGTGTTTTCATCTAATCATTGTGGCGACAAAGAAATTTGACTTTGCTCTAAAGATAATGTTTTGTCGGAGGCCTGTAACGCTCCTGACCTTTCTTTCAATATAATACAGAGATTTTTCATGCAAAAGTACGATTATATGCATTGTATTTGGGACATGCAGACGAGATATCATGTCGTTCGAACGACTTACCGAGTATCTTGTTCGCACGAAGGTGTATTAGTATACATTTATTGACTTGGTTCGAGAGCAGTATGCGTTTTGTCGGATCCAAGAACCAAAATGTTTGCCTGAGGCCGTTAGGCCGAATGCAAACAGTTTCCATGGTTCAAGGGTTTGACAAAACACATATTGCCCGAGCACAGTCAATAAATGTTTTGTTATACCTTTTACTTTTTATTTTGACATATCTTGTGTTTCCTTCCATGCTTGTGATACTTGATGTAAATTTGGTTGTACCCACACTGCGGATTAAACTCGGTCAATTCCGTAACTGTCGAACGCCAACGAATGCAATTAAGGTATAGATAATCCAGTCTACAATATGACGTAAAAAAGTCATAGCAATATACCATTTCACCTGCATATGGTGTTTATATCTTCCATTTGGTGCGATACGTACGAGCATGATGCACACGCAAAATTTCTACACCAATGCAGTCTTCTGACAAATAAGTTGGTGATAGAAGGGTATCAACAATCTCGTTTAAAGTCAACAAATTCTATGGTTCTCCATGGCTCCCTCGGATCCCACCTCTGGTGTTTCCAGGAGTCCGTGTTTGCCCTGCTCTCAATTTGTGTTCATTTGTTTAATTAGACTTTTGAGCATGATTATTGTTCGCTATATTCATACATCATTCATTCGCAGTTACATGGCGAACATTACATTCAGAATTAAGATCATAGGATACCCAAAATCTAGAGAAAGTAACACTCTAGAATTTCGTTGTTTTAGGCACAAATTATTTTGTTACATGGTCAAATTACGGTTAATTAATATTCTTCTTTTTTTTTGGGGGGGGGGGGGGAGGGTATTTCATTTCTTCATGTTTAAAATTAGTTTGTTACGTATACAAATTAGAGTAAATTTATATTCCTTTTTGGGTGTAAAATCTATGGAGATAACGAACAGTATTCAAGCTCAAAAGTCCATTAATCAATAAAAATTTTGGAGCAGAGCAAACACGGACCGAGTTGGGATCAGGTGCCATGGAGGAGTGAGCATCCCCTGCCGACCGGTCACACCCGCCGTGTGCTCCTTGTCATGATCGGGAAATAACGGAAAATCCGTCTACAATTCAGTGTGTAAATTTAATTTTATTTATTTAATTTTTATATGGTATTTAATTTTTCATGATTTTGCATTAAATTTCAATATACATGTAAATATAAAACTAGAGATTTGGGGAAATTAAAGAAATAAGGCTGGTTTGATAGGAAAATTTTGTGATAAATATGCGTAATTGAAATAATATAAGTTTTACAAATTTCTTAGCATATTTTTTGGAGTATCCAATGTTCCTAAATAACGTGTATCATAATTATAGTACATGATGTTTGCTTTATTGGATAATTTGCTATTATGCATCACAACAGACTGTATATTGTTGTTATGTTTGAAAGCATAACGTAACATTTACGAAAGCAAATTGCTAGCCTGAAATAATTTTCACTCTTTTGGGAATAATAGTGTCGTGTTGAAAACATGGACAGTCTCTCTACGAAATGGACGATTTATGCAGATCTTTAATGCGTCTCAAAACACTTTTATAGAAAGATTAAAGGTGCTAGCTGTTGAATGATCTATGAAAGATTAAAACCCTCTTCATCATTTATTTTTGCATATAACTCGCATATTTCCATCATGAAATTTCATAAGAGAGAATCAGTACTAAGTAGTAGTTAAATACTGATCACACAGATCAAATTTAAAAAATGAGATAAATTAAATAAATTGTATTTCTTTTCAAAAATCGTTATTGTTGAATAGGAGGGAAAATTTGATAGGAGGGGAAGGAGGGATGATGAAGTATAATATATCATGTAATCATCTATTTAATGTTGATCCATATCATCAAGACCATAAAGGTATAAACCTGCCCTCCACTTAGAAGAAAGTCATAATAAGTCCAAATCTGAGTAAATTTCTCGGTTAAAAAGTGAACATATATATAAGTGCTTTATACACACGTCCTCCTTCAGCTCCCGTGGCCGCAGCGGATCTACCAAGGATATCATCTTGTTTATAAAAGTCAGAACAATGCCAAAATCTATCTTGATCGACTGTGATGCAGGGATTGATGATGCCCAAGCTCTGTTTTTGGCTCTCAGTTCCCCAGAAGTAAATGTCGTTGCCATTACCATTGTCCAAGGGAACGTACTTCCAAAGCAAGTGGCTGTCAACGTACTGCGCATACTCCGAGTTGCAGAAAGATTAGACGTAAGTAATACCCCTTTCAATATTGCAGACAGTTTGATTAGAATTTTCTGTAGAAATTGTCCATGTCTGTCCGTGTCAACAATTGACTTTGTTTAGGTGATGCTGTTATATGTAGCTCTTTTGTCAGTTATTTGTAAAGAATATTTATCCTGATTAACATTTAACCTTACTCATAGGTAAATCAGAATCAAATTTTAATTTCCACCAGAGGAAATCGACAATGATCTGTAAGCTTGTTCTGAACTATAGCTCCCTGGGTGTGTAAATTCGGACAACTAGACTCTCAGGCGTCTCTTGTATGCTTGTCCCAGTTTTTCTGTCCCAGAGAGCTACGGTTCTGCAGGTAATATATAGATGCATTATTACTCCCTTTACCTGTGGTAATCTGAATGACCTTCTGTCGAACTAATGATTACAATTAGATACCAGTCTATGTTGGAAGCGAGAAAAGTATTTTGGGTAATGAGAGACGCCATGATGTCGAACCATACCATGGCTGGGATGGGCTGGGTGATTCGCCAGATCCCGAACCAGTAGACGAATCTTTGATCAATCCGGAATCTGCCTCAGCCGCCATTGTGCGAATCTGCAACGAGTTCAGAGGTATGGATACCCACATTTTATTAGTACTTTGCACGAGGCAAATTATTGCAGCTTTGATGAACAGTTTGTTTCTGGTCCCTATCACTTCCGCTTTAAGTCAAACTTATAATTTCCAGTGGCACATTTTCTATTATTTCTTTTCACATGCACACTGCAAATTCTCTCTCTCTCTCTCTCTCTCTCTCTCTCTCCCAAAAAAATTGGTCGCGATACACTGAAATTCACAATTATTGTGATATTTTAAGTATTAAGTATTGCTAAAAAGTCTTTATTCCAAAATAATTTTAAAATGATATAATATATGTCATTTGCTTACTGTTGACTACTAGTATACAAGATTGTTAAGAAATACTCGCAACTTCCTAAAGAGAAATCTGAGGAGCTCCACACTACATTCAGATACATTGTATCATGCATTACACGAGCGTTTCATGAACGTAAGATTTGGAAAACCTTTTCGACTAATAAGAATTTAGGGAATGGGATGAAAAGGTGAAACTTATTGAATGATCAGGTTTTTGTGTGGCACGAACCCTGTTCTCAATTCTATTACTGTCTTAGCTGCAATAATGTAGCCCTCTCCGATTTTTTTTTAATCTGATATTTGCAGGAGAGGGCTACAATTCCACTGCATCTCCGTAATTGTGCAAATATATTTTTTTTAGATACGGGCGACTGCAGGCAAAATAAATTTGTTTTTGCATTCAACTTACTTCCAATAAGACGGAATTTTTATTCACTATCAACATCATAGCCCTTTATTCGCGAAAACCAAGTAAAATAAATCTGCCTGTTTACCAGTCGTTCTCTTCAGCAGCCATGACAATTCTCGCGTGATGTACTGAGACTTGCGCTTGAAATTTAGAATCACTTGATAAAGTAAATGTCGGTGTTGATAAATGATTGTGTTGTATGATACCACTAAACATCGATAAATAAAAGCATTCCATGTGATATTTTTTTCATAAACAGTGATATTTATGCTTAAAATAAGGGAAATCCTAAACGATCCGCTCCCCTAGATCCCGAACTCTCATTGGTTGTCCCTAAATAAAATCGATCAAGATCAGTAAACATGGCAGATAAATTCAAGTGATGATGTTGACATACATGAAAAATAACCGATATACGGATTGTTCTTTATATTTTTGGATCAATTCATGTCTTGCATAACTACATTTTATGAGTTCAAGTAAGATATGTTAATAAAATACCCATTTACTGATAATTTGAGCTGAAATCTGTGCGGTAGTGAATCACTCCCGTACTTGCACCATTACGGAGATCCTAAGGAGTTGTAGCCCTCTCCCAAAAAAAAAAATCGGAGAGGGTTACATTATTGCAGCTATTACTGTCTAAATTTATTTCGGTAAAAGACGTTCTGCTCATTTTGATTCTATACATGAATCTCTTTGTCCACATTACTGATCTGTATTTTGATTGAATTAATTTCTCCTAATCCCAAATCGATTCCAGGTTTTAAATATTGGCTATTAAGAAACAAGCATTCTGGGAGTATTACATCAATCTACCCGTTACTATGTGTAGTCTGGTTCCGCTCCAAGTCCAAAGGTCGTAATTCTGTCAAAAATCATTGATAAACGGAATGCAAACGTAAAATTTAAGTCATCAATGTAGACTCACACACCAAAAAAAAAATCAGTTCAACATCTGCTAGCATTTTTGAAAAAGTCCGGTACCTACTTCAGATTCATACAGAATATTGTGACTTAAGTCAGCACAGTGAGCAAGCTAGTTAATTTTTGCTATTTTTTACAGGCAGTTTGACACTAGTGTGTTTGGGACCCCTTACAAATGTAGCCACTGCTATAAGACTGGATCCCTCCCTGGGCCAGACAATACAACAATGTGTAATAATGGGCGGTAATTATTATGGTAAGTTTAAAATCATTAATTATTTTTACCAAATAAAGGTTGTAAAGAAAACATAATGATGTTATATAAAAATAAAAATTTTTCAAAAAATTATAAAACAAAATATATCAAGTAAGAAACAAATGTCAATCAGTGAAAAATACTAGTAACCGACTGGATTTTTTTCACGGGCATGTAGTCATTGAAAAACTGGTACATGTATTTATAACAACTGCAGGAATAGGCTTTTATCTTATAAATCAGCAGTTTCTGTCATTCAACATTTGTTCTGAACCTGCAGACGGGACTGAGAACTGTACATATTTCCCGTTCTTATTCGAACACTCTCTTCTCCTGATACTCCCCGTAATTCTTCTCCATTTGTTGTTGCTGATGGTTTTGGTTTTTGACTTAAAATAGTTTTGTTGGGCACAAAATTTGGCTGTTCATTAATAACATTAAGCTTCACATCTTCAACTTGTTGCAAGTGTGTATACTTGCCATAAACCACCGTCTCTGAATTCTGTCTTTCTTCATTATCCAGACGATGTTTCGCACTGTATATCACAAGTGTAAGAAAAATGAGAAGGATGACTCCAGAGATTATTATGGCTACCAAACTTCAAATGAATTCCTGAAAGTAGAACATATAAAGCAATTAAATTAAGTTTTCTCGGTCCCCTAAAGCAATTTTCATCATGTGCTACTGGAATGTCTCAGAAACTAGTCATAATAATGGCGACTGTGCAAACCTTTTCCGTCCTTCTCATTCGAGGAGAAATGCACTGCTTGACACACAACCGTTGAACTTTTGTTGCAATCGAAAGTAACAATTGAGGAGCTGCTTTCAATACTGGGACATTGTCTTGTTGATGTTATGTTTCCCTGTTCTTTCCCATCATAATAGCTGATGAAATCAGATGTGTTGTCGTTTTCTTGTAAATTTCCTAACCACGTAATAGACGTGATATTGAGATCCAGAAGAACGTGTCTGCTTCCGGAAGATAGGAGTTCCCCTCCCGCCTCTTTACACGACAAATATGCTTTGTCATAAAATTCTGGATTGTCCATAACCTTAAAACACTCAGTATTGATATGCTTCCATGTTTTATCATGACAAGAACCTTATAATAAAAAGAACAAGATGTAACAAGTTACTCACATGAAAGCATTTGCGATCGACAAACATAAAGACTTTAAAGTTTTTCCTTCTATGCCCGATCAGGAGTGGACTTTCCAAGATGGCGGCAGAGTCGAGAGAAAAATGGTAGGTATCCAGTTTAGATGCTAAATTCTTCTAGTCGGTTCCTTGCTCAAGGCTAGTGTGCGTTAAAGTTAGAAGTAATAGTGGCCAAAATCTTTCTTAACTTGTGCATATTGTCGAATCCTATCAAAATTGCCAATATGTTACGTAACACGGACCGGCAATAACTGAAACATTTATCTTTCAATGAAATGAAGAGTGACTTACAGCAGAAAGAGTCCCTTATTTCACAATTCCTGAGTCTGATGTCGTTTCACTCTTATTTACAAATGACCAGTGGCGGATTTAGGGGGGGGGGGCGCACCCGGCGCGCGCCCCCCCCCCCTAAAATTGTCAAAGTTAGCATAAATCATAGTTTCGTCGAGAAAATGTAAAAATGTCCACTCGGTAGACCTCATTTTTACCATACAAAATCTCTAGAATACAGGAGCTGGACCCACTGGGGGCCTCAAGGCGGCCCCCAGACCCCCTGCCTACTTTTGGCGCCCCCTCTAACTTCAATTCCTGGATCCGCGCCTGATGACGATTGAGAATTTTTTTTTAACTAGATGTGAACAATACAGTGCAAAATAGTGATGAAAACTTAGGGAAAAATTGTTTTTGTTTTAGAGCGGTTGTGTGTTTTTTGGTATAATTTATGAAAAAAAAATATTTAGGTACGGTCTCCAAGTTATCTCATATTTGGGCTAAGGATCGGACTCAAACTCAGAAAGAATTCTTTGCCCCGGCTCGAGTTTGAGGATTAGGAATAGACTATTATCAAGCATCAGAATACCTGTCTGTCTGTCTCTCCGTCTGTGTATAATAAAGGAAATATTATGTTGGACTTGAGTTCAGTATACCGGTATATATGAACAGATACGGATAGATCAATAGGCAGGCAGACAGACATACAGAAGCATGACTATAAGTCATTCCTAATCATCAATCTTGGGCAAAAAAGAATTGAAATACGTTTTTTCTGAGCTTGAGTCTGATCCTTATTCCATCCCCTTTTTGTCGGAGGTCATTTTATGTATTTGAATTTCATTGAAGGACAAATACATGTACATGTGTCTCAATTATAGTTAAATAAAGTTACAATTTTGAAAGGATTCAACGATATGCACAAGAAAGATTTTGGCTACTAACTTTAACGCACACTTGACTTAAGCAAGCTACCGACTAGGAAAATTTAGCATATAAACTGAATACCTACCGTTTTTCTCGAGAATCAGCCGCCATCATGGAAAGACCACTCAGTCCTGATCGGGTGCTCGACAGTGTCCTTTGTCTGCATGTCAAAAAATGGTATAAAAAACAAAAATACACATGATTTTAATCTCTTTGGTACTTAGTATTTCAATACTTTGTATGCAACAAAATACAACCCATGGAACAAAACACTAGTGCATGTAGTCAAAAGTCAGGAAGCAATTGATTAAAGAGCGGTATTGATTTTATAAATTACGAAACTCGTGATATTTTTTATTACCTCGCAGCAGCTTGTAAAATAAGATAGTGAAGGATGAAGTCTAGTTATATGCTCTTTGTTTTATTACATTTTAACAATTCTTCTTACCCATTTTTTTTTTTTTTTTTTTTTTTTTTTTTTTTTTTGCTTGACTGCTAACGTTTAACACTGGTCATGCCTTACAGTATTTCTTAGATATTGAAATATAAACCTTGTTGAGATGAAACATTATAAAACTCATAAACTATCATGATGCTGAACTTATATCTCAGAATAAGAGTAATATATTTACCTGTAAGCAGCGCTAAAAGTTGAATTATAAACGACTGTCGAAACATTTCGATCCATGCCATTCCCTGTTTGCACTAAATCGAAAACATAACTTAGGGGACATCCCACATCGTGAATAATCCAACATTCATTACGATGTGTAATCTATTTCCGGGTATTGAATTGCAAGACAGAATTAAGTTGAGCAGACGACCATTGTCATGATTGTAATAATGTGTATAACAAACGTATCATAGAACAGAAATTTAGATGGTTGAACGGAGGATATCATTGTTTGATCTATGCTCCAAACAGTTTTCGCTAAGCTACACTTCCTTACTTCCGATCCACAATTCCCACGGTTAATAGGTTGTTTGAGTTCTTTTCCGCATTTTTTATAACATACAAATGAGGGGTATTCAAATCGTTGAACAAAAATATTTCATTCGTCCTTGGCTTTTTATCACTTTGTGTAGCAAATTTTGCCCAATTTCATGTTACTATCTAACATATCCGATAAATGTTAAAAATCAAATGTAGAAATGTTACCCTATACACATCTATCCAGGTTCAATGTAAATACATGCACTTGATATATTCAATGAAATAAATACATGTATTGTTATTTTTAAGATGTTTTTGACTCTTATTATTGGAATGGATCATCCCTTTTGTCGTCAAAGATATTGAATTACAATGTACATATATTTCAGGCAGAGGGAATTCAACAGTTTGTAGTGAGTTTAATTTCTCTTGTGACCCTGAGGCTGCTAGAATTGTCTTAACACAACTAGGGGGTCCTATCACTGTGGTCGGCATGGAAGTCTGCCGTGACAACGCTGTCGCCTGGGTAACGATTACCATGGGTAAAAAAAAAGACGTAATTTTATTGAATTGCTGATATAATAAGTGAATTACGAATGTTGTTTCTTTCAGGGTGATTATGATTCACTACGGAAGACACCCTCAAAAATTAACGATTTCCTGAAACGTATAGAAAAGAAACCATTTGAAAAAATAAGAACTAATCAAATAGAATGGTCTCGATACACACCATTTGACGAATTCGCAATGGCAGTGGTAGTTGACGAATCGGCAATCGTAAAAGAATCTAAAGAGGTGTTTGCAACAGTAGAGGTCAAAGGTGAATACACGTATGGAATGATGGTGGTCGACTGGTCAAAGATTTTAAAGAGGTCAAATAATGTGAAAATAATAACTAAAGTTGACAACAAAGAATTCCTGAAAATGTTATACCGACCTGTAAATTGGAAGTAATACCTGGTAGTTGAGAATGTTGTAATAAGTCATAAGAATTGTCAAAATCATGTCTTAATTCTAAGAGTGAACAAATCCCTTTTTCACCAAGATTTGAAAATACAGGAAAATCAGAGGAAATAGTTGATCATTAAAAGTCTATAATATCTTAAATATGTTGGACAATTTTATTTCAAATAACATTAAAAAAAATTTGAAGAAATTCTCTCAGAATTTGGCACCAACAAAACAAGCACTGCATACAAAGACAGGTTACATGGGGACTTTTCTCATAATCAGATGCCGATGACTGTTTCATGCCTCGGCTTATGGATAGAGTACTCGTGTACTCTCAGTCGAACATCTCTCAGCCTGGATAATAACCGTACTGTGGCGCGTGAATCACACAAAACTTTCCAATAGACATCTTCCGACATTTTGTATTGCTTGGCCCTGAAAAAAAGACAGTTTTATCTCTTCATACTTAAAAGTAAGATATAAATATTTAAAACCAGAAGTCTCTGACAAGAATGTAGCTTTACTGGTTTTTATTTAATTAAAAAAGTAGAAGTTTGACTTGAAACTATGACAACAGCAATAAATAAAATAATGATCCTTGGTTTAGTTTTTTTTTTTCTGAGTCAATTTTAATTGCACTTGGAAACAAGAGGCCCATGGGCCACATCGCTCACCTGAGCACATTGGCTAGGCAAAAGCACAAAAGCACAAATCAGTTCAGTATTGAAAAGGTTACCGGGGGGGGGGGGGAGGGGGGGATACCTGATGATGCTTCCATGTCAATATAACAAATGGCTTTGTTGTACTTGAGTAAATTTTTTGAAAAATTTTTCCCATATAATCCTTTGTAAAAATTTGATCCCCCATTGTGGCTCCTCCCTATCCCAGAGGTCAATATTTGAAAATTTGAATCTACACTACCTGAGGATGCTTCCATTTCAATATGACTAAACATAGCTTTTCTGTTCTTGAGAAGAAATATTTTTTCTGCATGTTCTTATGTAAAACTTTCAATCCCCCATTGGGCCCCACCCTACCCCAGGGGTCATCATTTGAACGAATTTGAATTTACACTATCTGAGGATGCTTCCATATCAAAATGACTAAACATGATTTTCAGTTCTTGAGAAGAGGATATTTTCCTATATGTTCCTATGTAAAATTTTCGACCCCCCATTGTGGCCCATCCCTATCCCCGGGGGGTCATCATTTTAACAAACTTGAATTTACACTACCTGAGGATGCTTCCATATCAAAATGACTAATCATGGCTTTACAGTTCTTCATCAGAAGATATTTACCTATATATTTCTATTTAAGACTTTGATCCTCCATTGTGGCCCCGCCCTACCCCAGGGGGTCATGATTTGAACAATCTTGAATTTACACAACCTGAGGATACTTCCAAATAAATATGATCAATCAGGGCTTTGCTGTTCCTGAGAAGAAGATTTTTAAAATTTTTCCTATATATTTCTATGTAAAACTTTGATCCTCCATTGTGGCCCCGCCCTACACCAAGGGGTCATGATTTGAACAAATTTGAATTTTTACAACCTGAGGATGCTTCCACATAAATATGACCAATCAGGGCTTTGCTGTTCTTGAGAAGAAGATTTTTTAAAGATTTTTCCTATACATTTCTATGTAAAACTTTGATCCTCCATTGTGGCCCCGCCCTACCCTCGGGGGTCATGATTTGAACAAATTTGAATTTTTACTACCTGAGGATGCTTCCATATAAATATGACTAATCAGGGCTTTGCTGTTCTTGAGAAGAAGATTTTTTAAAGATTTTTCCTATACATTTCTATGTAAAACTTTGATCCTCCATTGTGGCCCTGCCCTACCCTCGGGGGTCATGATTTGAACAAACTTGAATCTTCACTACTTGAGGATGCTTCCATATAAATATGACTCATCATGGCTTTGCTGTTCTTGAGAAGAAGATTTTTAAAGGTTTTTCCTATTTATTTCTATGTAAAACTTTGATCCTCCATTGTGGCCCCGCCCTACCCCCGGGTGTCATGATTTGAACAAACTTGAATCTACACTACCTGAGGATGCTTTCATATAAATATGACCAATTAGGGCTTTGCTGTTCTTGAGAAGAAGATTTTTAAAGATTTTTCCTATATATTTCTATGTAAAACTTTGATCCTCCATTGTGGCCCCGCCCTACCCCCGGGGGTCATGATTTGAACAAATTTGAATTTTTACTACCTGAGCATGCTTCTATATAAATATGACTCATCATGGCTTTGCTGTTCTTGAGAAGAAGATTTTTAAAGGTTTTTCCTATATATTTCTATGTAAAACTTTGATCCTCCATTGTGGCCCCACCCTACCCCCGGGGGTCATGATTTGAACAAACTTGAATCTACACTACCTGAGAATGCTTCCACATGAGTTTCATCTTCCCTGGCTCTGTTGTTCTTGACAAGAAGATTTTTAAAAGATGCTATTAATTTTTCACTAATTCTTTATTATCTCCCCTTGAAAGAGGGCATGGCCCTTCATTTGAACAAACCTGAATCCCCTTCACCCAAGGATACTTTGTGGCAAGTTTGGTTGAAATCGGCTCAGTGGTTCTTGAGAAGAAGATGAAAATGTGAAAAGTTTACGACAACAACGACGCCGACGACGCCGACGCCGACAGACAACGGACAAATTTTGATCAGAAAAGCTCACTTGAGCCTTTGGCTCAGGTGAGCTAAAAACTGTAGCAGGAGAAGTAGCGTTTTGAAAGAATTTCAGAGAAAATTCTATTTTTAGTAACCATGACAACACCATTCTGTGAAATCAAACCAATATATAGAATTATTTATCTTTTTGTAGTCTACTTATGTACCAAGTTACGAATATTGAAATCCGACTAAAACTGTAGGAGGAGTAACTTTTGAAAGAATTTCAGAGAAAATTCTATTTTTAGTAACCCTGGCAACACCGTTCACTGAAATCAAAAACTGATACACAGAATTATGTAGTCTTCTTGTGTTCCAAGTTATATTTAAATTGGAGCAAAACTGTAGGAGAAGTGGCATTTTGAAAAAAAATTGTTTACAAACAGACAGACAGCCAGACGGACACCTTACTGTCGCATAAAATGTTGTTTTACTTCCCATGAAATAATTTTTCACTCATATAGAGACGTCACCATAATTATACCGGTGAAGGGCGTCAAATTTAGACCATTACTCGGCACTTAGCAGTAAGGGATCTTTATCATTATAATGCCTACTATAACACGGGGCCTCAGTTTTTTAAGGTCTAATCCGAAAGACTTGCAACCTTCATTTCGAAGTGCCGAGCGCTTGGCGGAGGAGCAGTTACTACCTTTTTTTTTTTTATCGACTTATGACTATCGCGGCCGGGGCTTGGGCACGACTGAGCTACGGCCGAGAATTTTCATAGAACAATATGCGTTGGAAAGAATGTTTAAAGCACTTTAATCATAATTAAACTAATCTAAGTTTCATTTACTTGTGTACCAGATTTTATTGAATGTAGAGGAAGCGATTTGAAAGAATTTCACACATCCCTGATTTCCAAGTTTTGTTAAAGGTTAGCGTAAATCACTTTTGTACCAAAAGACTTGTTATAGTATTGCAAACATAAGAAATTTTATGGAAAATATATTAACACATTGCAGTATACGCTAGAAAAATTGTTTATAAAAAAATAAGCTCCTGTGGTCGAGATATTTGTTTGTTTGCTATTTTACATCCCTTCGAGAATTTTTTACTCATATAGAAATTAAATTTGCAGTCTTTGCCGGTGGAGGACTGCAAATTTAGACCTGTATTCGACACTGACACTTTTTAGACAGAGGTTTTTGTGCCAGCACCTCCTGCACCTACAGCACCTACCTCGGTTTATACGGTCTCATCTGATCATGAAAGACTGATCTCCACGTCATAAGGTGGATTCGAAACCGCCGCGAGGCAAGGATCAACTTACTCCTCGATCCTAGAGCAAATGCTCTTACCACTGCGCCACGCGGGCGACGTGATCGAGATATATGAAAAGGTACAAATCGTATCATGAAATATATGGAGATAACGAACAGTATTCAAGCTCAAAAGTCCATTATACAATACAAAATAGGAGCAGAGCAAACACGGACCTCCAAACATCAGAGGTGGGATCAGGTGCCATGGAGGAGTGAGCATCCCCTGCCGACTGGTCACATCCGCCGTGTGCTCCTTGTCATGATCGGGAAATAACGGAAAAATCCGTCGACAATTCAGTGTGTAAATAATGGCCTAACAATTAGTATGAAAAACGTCAGTCAGCATTTGACTCAATGATAAATTGTATTTGCTGACAAGGTCATTGTATCGACCATAGAACTTACGAAATGATGACTTTAAACGAGACAGCTGATATTCTTGTTTCATCAACTTATTTGTCAATAATTTACCTCGTTTTAGAAATTGTACATACGTAGAGCATGCTCTTGCGTATCGAATCAACTGAGAAATGTATACCCCGTATGCAGGTGATGAAGGTATATTGCTGCATAAGTAAGGGAAGTTGACGATTGAAAAGTTAAAGTCATCACGTTTATCATAAAGGTTGTTAGATTACCATGAACGTCTTTTTCAAGTAAAATATCCAAATATGAAACAGATGTGTCAGACTCGGTGGTATCTTTTATCTCAAGTTCACCGGGATATATCGTATCGACATAAGAATGAAAATAGCCATTGTTAATTGACAATACGTCGTCGATATATCTAAATGTCGAGTTGAACGCCACAGCAAGTGTTTTCTTCATTTCAACAATTTGATCGGTTCGAATGCAACATTAAATTGCATATTGTAACTGCCTTGTCTTCCATCATACTTTTATAAGAAAGTTTTATATTAATATTTTGAAGTACATGTTATATGTTCTAGTGCAAATTTATGGTACATCCACACAAAACGTCAAGGATCTCAAGTCCAACAGTGACCGAGGGACCACTGACAAGCTTCATTAATTTTTTAAGGGCTGATCGCAGCGACGTCTTTCGTGGAAATCACATTGTTTTCTTGTCTCTCGGTCAATGACATTAAGCCTTTTTGAAAAACAACTTGTTACACGTGCATTGAGGTGTCAACTGCTTCCTTTCTGTTTATATTTCATGTAAACTTATGAAAGCTCCACTTAGATGGTGCTTCTCAATGAGAGAAGCTGACCCGGAAGAAATTTGTCAGAGTTTCCAGGGGCTCGGGCCTCTGATGTTGAGAGGATGACTTACGGCGATGGTTCAAGTTTTTGAAAGTTAAACTTCGATCGGACTAGCCCAATGGCCATGAAGCCATAGTACATTCAAAATAGTCTTGTCACAGGTAATGCACATGAAGCCCTGTTTCTTCATTTGCAAAAGCTAAGGTCAAGGTTTTTTTAAGCAGGTCAAAATTCAAGGACCCTAGGAAAGGTCTTGTCACAGGTAAATGATGCATATATGAAATATGATGGCCTTATCTCCTCTCGTTCAGAAGCTACAGCCAAGGTTGAAAGAACTATATTATCCTGTAATGTCCAAAATTAATCTTTGATGTAGAAATATTTAAATAAATTCTAAACCAGGGAAAAGTTTGCATATTTTAATGCAATAAATATAGGAACCCCCATGGTTATGGTTGGATATGACTTTTATCTAATGAGTTGTGTGTTTTATCCCCTCGCCAAGGATTGAGATAGAGAACACACAATGAGTTGGATAAAATCATACTTCAACAACAATTAATCTTGTTATCACATGATTTACACACAGCCTCATGCTTTTACCGTATATACATGTAGTACTTTTTGAAAAGTAGTTCCAATGTCAAGGTCAAAATTATAAGATAAAAAGTCGTTGTATGTTCTGGTAACAGGTAATGCATGAACAGGTAATGCGTAATAATGAAAGACCTGTCTTCTCTCATACAAAAGTCATTACCAAGGTTAAAACGTTGCAAACTACAAGGTCATGAGGTCGTAAATCATAGTACATTCTAAAAGTTCTTGTCACAGGTAATGCACATGTGAAATATGAAAGCCATATCTTTTCTCATTCAAAAGTTAGGTCCAATGTTAAAGTTTTTTATGAAAGAAAGAAAGACTGACAAGGGAACAGAAAGACGAATGATATTTTTCACGAAATCGGGGGACAATGAACATAAAAGACATATCTTACAACAGCAAAGCCTGTAACATCTGTCTTAAAAATGCTAAAACTATTATTGAAGACCTACTTTTTGGGCAACATATGTTGTATTTTGTATTGCAACTGTAATTTCCACGACAAGTTCCCATGCTACACTTCAACAAGGCGTTGTTCATACGCTGCTGAGGAGGACCGAATGAACAGGCAGTGGGAGGAATGAACTTTCTGCCGGCCTTGAACCCTGAAAATAACAAATATCTCAAAAAGGTACTTACTTCCTCTCTCTCATTTCAAATTTATTTTGTAATGTAATTGTGTAGATAATGTGTTGAGGAGTGTTTGTTCATGTTGCGAGAAAACAAGGTATTGGTTAAGCGCCCTTCCCGCTCCCCTTATTGAGTGACATCCAGAACAATTCAACAGTTTACCATCAAATAAACACCTACGGCTCCTGTTTCAAAATAAAATGGCTTTTGATGGATTTAGAAATGTTCTTACATTTTATTGATTTAGAATACTTTTGCATCAAAACAGAGGGTTTACGCTTACGCTCAATTTACAGTCTATTTACAATGTGAATATTTTATCCAGCATCGTATCTTATGTATATATCTTGTGTGTGAAAATTGATTAAAAAAAAACTTTAAGGTGAGAAATAACCAGGAAACTTCTGTGAATTTTATCTTCTTATGACTCTGTGTATGTTCCTCATCAATCGTATTTACCATTCTTTGATTTAGAGAGAGTTACCAGTATAAGTACAACCTTTGTGATTTTATTTTAATATCGAAAAGAGGACATATTTGTTGATTGTCATAGCAGATTTGTTTTAAAATTCAAATCCAGCTGCTATCGCACATTTTCTTTATATTTGAAGGGGGAGTTATTGAGTAAAACTCACGTCCATGACGGGGTCTTTCTACAAGAAATATATTGGCTCTGTTTCCACACGAATCCGAGACAAAGCCCCCGACTTCGTAAACAGCCCGGTTGTAATCTATCTGTTGGACTTCTGTGTATACGAACTTATTTGAGTTTGCCTCAATAAATGGAATCTATAAAGAAAAAAAAACAACTCTACAATTAAATCTAATGATACTTCTATATGTGTGGTACCTGTGAGGAGAACTTCTCTGAAGACTTACGTCGGAGAATCTTGTCTTGTTCACCATCTCCTCAAATGATTTCATGAGATCAGCTTGTAATTTCCCAACATAACACGTGTCTTTGTTGTTGCCTTGTGACACCAATCCAAATGTATTCTGTCAAAAATATTTTAAAGACAAATATTAAATCTTTTATAGGTTTATAAATTATAATTAATATTAAAGAAAGAGGTACGATGTTCTCACACACCCATCCATGGTCCATTGTGAGGTAGTCCGATATATGTGAACTGTTGTCTGCGTCATATGATGTTATAGTGTGGATGGATTTTCCCAAAAGATCGTGCTCCTCTTCTGTGGTTGTACCATCTGGATAGTACACGCCGAATGCCAACTGTTCAAAATATACTTTATTTCAACAGGAAATTTTCTCTCTCTCTCTCTCTCTCTCTCTCTCTCTCTCTACGGGAACTAACGTTGCAGCTATTGCAGAAAAAAAATTTACATTACTCGCTTACGCGGGTTATGTATTTTATCTGTAACGGCTGCAATATTGATTCTTATACTCTAACCCATTTTATTGTTCAAATAAAAATATCTATAAATTTTTGAAAAATATTTTTTACATTTTTTAGTTTTTTTTTTTAAAGGAATTATACTAGTAAATTGCTAGTATATTATATATTTCTTTCTTTAAAATCCCTGTAAAATGCCAATATTGTTGAACGCAGAATGCACTAGATTTGTATAGACACCAACTGCGCTCTCAGGCCCGTAGGAACCTGGGGAACGGAAGGGGGGGCACCTCCCCCGCAAAAATATTTTTGTCAGTATATTCCTTATTAACTTAGTCAAACAACATACCATCATTCAAATAATTACTTACGTAAGCAGGCGCTGGAATATTTTTGGGTCTCCTTCTAATTGGTCTCGTATTTACTGGAAAATTGCTTTTCATATTTCTACCGTCATTGACAGGTTGCTGGTTTTGTTGTTGCTGATGTTGAACAGATTGCCCTTGCTGATTTGAATGGAAACTATTTACTTGCTGTTGTTCCTGCATTTGTTTTGGAAATCTGATATCCTGTTGTTGATTTTGCAGGTTGTTTGATTGTTGCTGCTGAATAGACTGAATTTGTTGGTTGAATTTGTTTTCTTGTTGAGGTTGTTCTGAATGATTCTGATTCTGCATAGAGTTTTCTTGCGTATTTTGGTGTTTGCCTGATTGTTGCTGCTGCTGAATACCGATTGAGCTTTGCTGTTGTCGACCCGTCTGTACAGTTAGCGATTGATTGTTTTGTTGATGATGATTTCCAAAAGAATCTTGAAGCTGTTGATCAGCTTGCGTATTTTGTTGTTGAACTGATGGATTATTTATGAACGAGTTTTGTTGATTTTGACCAGTTTGTCCATTTTGCAGATGATTTGGTTGTTGGTGTTGTTGATTTCCAAATAAATTATGTTGTTGTTGGTCTATTTTATTTTGCTGTTGACGTGGTTGTTGATGTTTTCCGAGCAAGTTTTGCTTCTGATGACCCACTCCCCCGAGTGTCTGTTCAATTGGTTGTTTATTTGGTAGATTTTCCATTTGCTCATTTTGATATTGGTTTGGTTGCTGTCTTTGTTTTTGCCAACCAAAATTCTTATTTTGCTGTAGACTGGATTTTTTATATTTCTGGAAAGAAGTTTGGTATCCTTGATTGAATTGCTCATTTTGATATTGACTTGCCTGTTGTTGATGTTGATTTGATAACGTTCGTTGTTGTTGACCAAAGTGCTCGGTTCGTTGTTGATGATGAACTAAGGATGGGGTTTCTCGCTGATAATTGCTTTTCTTGTTGAATGTTTGTTGATCAGAAAACGATTTCGTTTGGCTTGTTTTTTCGTTTTGTGGTTGAAATTGTCCAGGATTTGAGAATGCATTTTGGTTTTTTAGCTGTGTTTGTTTATATTTTTGAAGATATGTTTGTTGTGTTTGGAAATCTTGATTCATTTGGGATTCATTTGGTTGGTTGGATTGAGGTGATTGATGTTGATAAACTTCATGTTGTGTTTGAAATTGTTGGTAATGATTGATATTATTTTGCTGGTGATTTTGTTGATTACGATACTGTTGATGCTGATTTTCTCCCTTCTGTCCTGATATATCTGTTGGTGTTTTGGTACTATAAATATTCCGATTTTCAATATTTTGGTTATCAATACCAGCTCGCATCCATTCGTTTGGTGCTTTCGTAGCAAATATCTCTTGTTTCAAAAATGTATTTTGATATGTTGTTGGTACTGCCGTTTGTGTAGGTGGTATGGTAGAAGAATAGACCCATGTATTCACATTGTTCTTTCTTTCTTGATATAGCGATATGTCATTCATTGAATTTTGTGAGTTTGGATTCATTCTTTGCTGCGAGAACTTTGAAGGGTGTGGTGGTTTTTGTTCCTGGTTGTATAAGAAATTGGGAGCAATTGTTATTACAGACGGAGTAGTCATTTGATTATCAATAGGCTTGTGGTCATAGAAAGGAGCAACTGCAGATTTTGAATATAATACTGATTTCTGTTTATCATATAAAGGCGTTGTGAAACCATTCCATCCTAGGTTCTGTCCAGCTCTTGCATTGTTTTGAGTAAATGTAGCTATGCCTGGCTGTAAATTTGGCCTGTTTGGAGGTGCATACATTGATGGAGAAGAAGCAGGATTGAAATATGGAGGTAGTGTAGTAGTGTGTATAAAGTTATTACTAATATGTGTTCCGGTGTTTTCGTTAAACCTTTGACTTCGTAAGTCCTTGGGTTTTTTCCATTGGTTTTGTATTTCCCAGTTTTGTTGGTGTGAATTATCCTGAAATTTAGAGTATACAACACTTGGATGAGTTAACCTTTGTTGAGATTGGAAATTTTTGTCTTTATTTGGTTTCTGTGGCGAGGACTGTTGCCTGTTTTTCAGGTTATTCTTTTGTGAGCTATCCTGAAAGTTAGAGTATACGACACTTGGTTGTTTTTGCCACTTTTGAGAAGGTAACTTACTCTCTTTTTGTGTGTCTGGAATATACATGTCAACGTTAAATGAACCCGAACTCGATGATTTTGTTCCTGAAAAATTGTCTGTTTTGGTGAGACTATGTGTCTTCCTATTACTGTTTATCATCGAGTTACTGAAGCGTTCAGGTGATCCTGCAAGTGACTTTGTTTTGTCAAGCTTATTGAATCCTTGAAAACTAATTGTCAATCTATCGGGATTTGGCTGATTTGGATGTTGCAGCTGGTTATTTGTTCCAGAGGAAAACTCTTTGTTCCAACTTTGCTCATTATGCAAAGACGATATGCCCGGTAGCTGTCCAAGCGAATTCCGTGGATATTGTCTTTTGACTGGAAGAGTTTCCTGATTAGTATTATCGTAGTAATAATTGTTTGAGGACTGGAGATTCAGTTGATCATAAATTGCATTTGGAGGTTGTATTATTTGGGTATGTTTTTTTGGTATATTTTCCCAAGCAACGTGTGTTTCTGGAACGGGTCTTTTCCATGAATTTGTGGCTTGTGTCGTTTGTTTGTTCGTCAACATACTTTTTCTGTGGTTGGATACGATTTCGAAAGGTCGAGGGCGATTTATTTGATTCTCAGAAGGCGTTAAAGAAAATTTCTTTTTAATTTGTCGAATAAAAGGTTTAAAAGACCTACGAAGTTTCATTTGTTCATTTTCATGAAATTGTTTTGGGGGACTAAAGGTAAATATTGCTGTTGACAATTCTTGTTCGGTTTTTATTGGAACTGACAAGTGTGATTTTAAAGACTTATCATGGTTCCTTTTGAATTGCTTATTCGATAGTTCTCTTCCATACTCTTTTCCATTGTATACATGTTGTGCTGGATGATTTCTTGACAATGAAGAAAAGTGGGAGAAGTTGATGTTTTCGCTTTTGTATTTAGGATTGAAGGCAGAATTTTTATTTTCCAGTGATAAAGTTTGTTGATTTTTTGTAGTCTTTGTTAAGTGCCCTTTTGTTAATATTACACTTTTCGCTTTGACAATTGGCAGATCATAGTGTTTTCCCATTGTTGATATTTGATAGCGTGTTGGTGTCTTTAAAATGTGTTCCTTCATAGGTAGACTAGTTTTGTCTTTGAATATTGACTTATCAGGTCGGTTTCCTCCATTATGCACTTGATGACGTTTTGTTGTATCCCTAAAATGCGCTAGGCCTTTCGTTGATAAATCAATTTTCCTTTTGGCAATGGGCAGACCATGTTGGTGGTTTCCCATTATTGACATTCCAGAGTTATTTTGGTGTATTGGGATCTCTGGGAGATGCCCTTTCATAGAAAAACTACTGCTTACTTTGGACATTGATGGATTGGGACGGTTTCCTGAGTTAAGCACTTGGTGGTTCTTTGTAATTGTACCTGATAAATGTTTTTTCGTTGGTAAATTATTTTTCCGTTCAAAAATTGGCAAATGAGAATAACTTGATGTATGTGAAATATGACCTTTCGTTGACAACTGGTTTGTTAATTTCGAAATTTTCGTAGATGAAGTGTTTTTCACTTCAATAATTGACATTCTAGGATGATTTTGCATGAGTGGTACTTGTTGATAACTGTCTTTTTTGTTCTCTTTTATTCGCAAATTTAAGTTTGAGACATTTTGTTTTTCTGTGGAACTGTTAGATATTTGAGAAACACCGCTATTTTTGGTTTTCATTGGCTTCTTCTCTGTCTGTAGAGGCTTTCTTTTATAACCATCGGGTTGAATAACGTTAATATGATCTGTAGTGATATTTGTATTAACGTGATCTGTGGTTACTTTTATGTCGGATGATTTACGTTCGATATTTACTTTTCCTCCAACATTTGGTTCAAATTTTGCCTGATTTCCACTTTTTCTGTTATTGTCGCTGATTTGGATATTTTCCCGTTTTTTGAATCGATTTTCCACGTCAGTTCTATTTGCAGTTACCATTCTCTCTATGTCATTGCTTGTCCGCTCTGTCGCTTCACTTGTTTTCGCCACCATTTTTGAATTTCCTTTCCCCGAAGCAGGCAATTTCTTTAACTGATCTTTTGTTTTATTTTTATTCCCATTAGCATTTTCCAGATGTGTTTTATTTGTTGATGTTTCTCTATCTTTCTTTGTGTTTTTAACAAAGTCATGTGTCTGTACATTGGACCTGATGATTTCTTGAAGACGCTCGCTTAGTGCTGGAGAAATTCCTCCTGCGTAGTGCTTTAGTATGCTTTGTAGTTGTTTATCCAGATTATTTAATGATCCATGACCACAAAAACCGAATTCTATCAGAGTCACAACCGTCTAAAATATCATTAAAAAATTAAAATTTTACGTGTTAAGTAATAGGAATATAAAAATGATATGTAGTGTTTAAGTTAAAAATTTCAGTTGTCATAAAGAGCACCATTCCCAGCAAATGCAGGAATTTACACTGTTGCCATTTAGGCATTTGGATGTGTGACCTTAATTATTCGTTGTAAATAAATTTAGAACTTAGCTAAGATTAAAGATTTCATATTTTTTACAAAGAAGAAGGTTTCTAGGTCTGTTAATCATTCCTTCTTTCCCGCGGGACAAATTAACCTAGCACAAATTAAGCATATTCTAAAGAAGTGGATAAGTATGGTGGTTGTTAAAAAAGAATAAAATTAAGCCATCTAGTTGATGTAATTCGTTTTATTTAAAGGGGATCAAGACTCTGAAAATGGTTTTATTAAAATCTTGAATTATTAATTCATGATGATGATTTTTATAACTAGACAAATCATATTTGCTTTTATCGAGGCGATTGAATCTTATTTCAAATATATATATCTCTGCAAATAATTTTGAACTGGTTTTACGGAACATTGTTTGAACAAATATAAAGTCAGCATCACAAAGATCAGTGATATACGGAATATTTTTCTCACCTGGGGCCTGTTTTACAAAAGAACTTACGACTAAGACCAACATTTAATTCTACTTATAACTAATTTTATATTGATTTGAAAATGATTTTAATATTTTTAGAAAGAATTTAACAAGATATTTTTATGCTGGCAATTTCAATGAAAATCATTAAATTTGAAACATTTTTACAATCAGCTAAAGTTTTGGTCTTAGTCGTAAGTTCTTTTGTAAAACGGGCCCCTGGCTCCTTAATTCCCGCTTCCATAGTCATGACACAGAGGTTATATAAATTATTTAAAAGCGAGGAGGGGATTTGAATGACCACAGACCATTTTTCTTTTCTGTATTTAAAACAAAAATATTTTCCTTTGATTTTTCACTTAAGCAATGTATGTCGTGTAAGCTTTAAAACCAATGCAGAGACCTCTTGATTTGCCGGATAAAACTACCAATGGCTGAAAGTATTACTGGAGAAATTACAGAATTCCATCTTTCAGAGCAAAAAAGTCCTAAATATTTCAAATGAATTTTATTTGATATCACCTAACATAAACTAAATTATTCAAATTAAGTTCTTGCGAGTGAATTTTAAAAAGGAATATCTATAAACGTTTTTGAAACAGTGAAGTTTTCTTTTTGGAATAACATGGCTGCATTTTATTGTCTGACGTCATGGCGTCAGACAGTATTAGATTTAGCCAAGGCTTGTTGGTCAAGTCGTTCAATAGAATTATTGTGATAACTCGATCTTAGAAACTTCATTCTATCTTAACTATCAATTTTGAGAGCATGGGGATTAATGGCTAAACATCCAAACAAACCAAAGCATTGGTCCTAATTATTATCACATTATACATAATATAACATTTGCCCACTCTCTTATACATTACAATTATTCATGTACGTCCAGGAAAACAACAGGAATCTGGTCGATCAGGTCAACATATATGCCGAATATCCTTATCAGATTAACTAATAGATGTTTATTTTCAATGCATACAGTCTTTCTACCTTAATTAAGAAATACACATATGCATAACTCTGCTGACGTTTGCTCATTTAAAACAAGTTTATGATTAAAAAAAAAATAATTCCCCCAACTGTTCACGAATTTTACTGATGTTTAGATTTTTTAATATGTTTTATCTTTTTCTTTCAAAAGCAGTGGTTATATTTATGTATCTAGGAAAAGGCTAGTCGGAAGAATTTTCATGGGGAGGGAATCCACAACCAAAAATTTCAATAGAGGAGGGGCACTATTAAGGAAAAATTCCTTATCATTAATATCAAGTAAAAAAAATTATCATGAATTTCATACGTTATTATTTACTTGAGTTATGGGAATCGAGCATAAAGTAGCATAAGTGTTTTTATAGCATATAATTAAAAGTATATATATCAGCAAAATACGGGGGGGGGGGGTCCTACGGCCAAGAAAAAAAGAAAATTACAGGTAATATTTGTCAGTATAAATAGAATAAATTCATATCTGAGTTTTACTTCATGTTGATGCCGCGGGATTGAACTTTCTTTTGTTTCTTAGCAAAATAACTTATTTCTGGACTCAGAATGATGTTGATTACGCTGGATTCAACTTTTCTTAATTCTTCGTATAATAATAAATTTTGCTCACGTCAGACCAGCTTTTTAAGAAAGCTAATACTTGTCAAATCTAAGCTTATGCCCGTGGCCTGGATAGAATCAAAATGGGACATCAAGTGTTACAAAGAGATATTAGATTTTAAAATTAAACTAAATTTTAAAACTTAATATCTCACTCAATAATTTCAAATGAAGCCAGGAATAATTACCTATTGTGTTCTTTAAAGTTGTTCTTTAAAGTTTAAAAAAAAAAAAACACTTTGTCGCTTTAAAATCGAACCGTTGTTATCTCTAAATGTTAATACGAGCATGAGATTGGAATAATTTGAAATTATTGATAGTTTTAATTTATTCAAAACAGAAGTCATGGAATTTCGTTATTCTCTAATAATAAGGAATTAAAAGGTAGTGTGATAAAATATTTGATGAAAATACAAAATCTTACCAGAAGAAAAACTGGTACATTTCTATTCCTATATACATGCATTTTTCTGAATATTGAGGATGTGAATTTGGTCACCGTTCGGTCGTTCCCTAATCATATTGGTCATAAATATCATATCATATATGTGATAGCTCGACACATTGAAATACGTATTAAATTTACATATACCAGGACACGGAGAGCTCCATATCGAAATTGACCCAATAGATCCATCACAGAATGAAGGCTTTATAAGGCCTGACCGACAGGCGGACTGGCTTTTTAGATTTTGGTTAATTATTGTGAGTGACAGCTGTGGAGAGCAGTGTCCATACTATATACAAGTTAGAAAACAGCAGTCTATGATGTCATCATGGTTATGTACATGTATACGCGTGCGTGCGCGTTTGTGCTTGTCAGAGTTTTTTGTTCTCTGTCTGCGCTTTTTCTGAAATACGATTTGGGGAATGATTCGGATTAGTTACGTTGTATAATGAATTTGATACTCGACCCCAACAGTGTAATGTTGGATTTGAATGCAGAGAGCATATACTCTCTAAAAGTTTTGCAAAATTTCATTTTTTTTTTTTTTTTTTTTTTTTTTTTTTTTTTTTTTTTAAGAAATAAATGACCTATTTTTAGTTCTTTGTGAACGGTAGCTATTCTGGATATTAAAACAGAAGAATCTTGGAGAGACACTTACACATCAATATTATGCACATGTAGTTTGAAATACAACTGGAGAAAAAAAATATTGATTTTAAATAAAATTCCCTTTTGCTTCCATTGTTGAAAATGTCCAAAGGTTTACACTGTACCAATTTTTTCCCAGAAATCCGTTTGACCAGATGTAAAGAAAAAGATTTTGATGCTCCAAAAAGAATTGGTTGGACAGTAACTATGAAGAATGAGATTTAAAATTTTCAACTTTCATTCTTCGTATGTTTCAATGGAACTGGCCGCCATTATTTTCAAGAAGGAACACTTATAAACAAACCCACCCACCCCGTACATAAGTACAGCTATGATATTGTTCTGGGAAAAAAATTGGCTCTGGGGGAAATCACACTCTATAACTATTACACAGAGTAGGACCCCCCCCCCCGCCGGAAAATTGAATCTGGTAGGAAATTTCCGTAGGGGGAATCCTACTCTGGAATCATTTTTCCTTGGGGAAATCCTACCCTAGTTAGAGCCTATTTTCCAGCAGGAAATCCTACTTTAGAGCTACATATATATCAGTTGTAGTTTTTCGGGGAAGGGAAAGCCTACTCTACAAGACCGGTATCAAGTAAACATAAAAAGAATAGTTATTAAGCGGGCTGAGTACGTTGCTGTTAAATACCTGTGTATTTGTATAATAAACAAGTACACTGTGCTAACACCAATAACTGAGCACAATTAGCCTGTGCAGAGTTGTCGTTTGTTCCTCTCTCAGACGTGTATGAGCCGATGGTATACAGAGTATGGGAGTCCGGTTCAGCAAATAACAGGCATGTAGCAAAGTTTTCTTTTCCATAGAGGGGAAAGAGGAAGCTAAAAATATAATTGACAAGTCAACGTTAACGTACCTGATAAGAAAAAATGCCATGCGAAAAAAACGGGAAATAAAAAATTCGATAGACGAAAAAACCTTTCATAAATTTATTCTATTTTATTGTATTTATTTTATTTTATTTTATTTTATTTGAAAAAGGGGGGGGGTTAATGCGTAACTTTCCAATTCTAAAAGTAGAGGTCGCGTCATCAAGCAACGCTAATATGTGGGTAGCACGTGACCTGTATGTGAACAGTGCGTAACAGCGAAAAAAGCGTGATTTAAGCGTTTATCATCTTCCCAAGTCAAGGGTTTATGATCCACTTTGCTCTATTATTTCCTTGTTCACCAAATAAAGGTAGAATTCTAGGTTTGTTAAAGCCATTCTTTAAGGCGGTTTGTGTCATTTATTTGCGATTTGTCCTTCTGCAGTCAATGAAAGTCAGACATGTCAATTTCCTACCTCCAATTTATTTAGTGTGGTTGACCTTCACCCTTTTATTGTGGACCGGATCCATATACAGTACGTCCATAAGAAATATATGCACACTTAGGCCGATTCGTAGGCTACGGAATAATCCGATCGAATGCATCACCATATGATCAAATAAGTTTTGGAATACAGTGATCTATATCAATGTAGCTTATTTACTGGTTTATTATTATTATTTATCTAAAAAGTGGCAATTGGCTTGTGGTAAATTTTAAAAATCGTCGGAAACCCACGCTCGGTCTCGCTTCTCTTACCTCGAGTTAAGAGAAGCGAGACCGACCGTGGGTTTTCGACAATGATTTTTAAAGAACCCGAAACATTTTTTTTCTTCAGAATATTGGTTTGATCGAATAAGTTTTGGAATGCAATGACAAAATCAAATGTAGCTTATTCATTGGTTTATTTTTGACCAATCACTCGGCACCTTACGAACGCCATTACATCTGACGAGTCGTGAAATAACGAAGACAGGTAACCTTAAATCTTTTGCAATCCTCTGGTTGTGTAAGAAACACAAGCACAATATTTATTGAAGAATGCATTATAAGCTTGTCTTAATCAAACTAAGTATTTATTTTGTTACATAGTATGTTTCCTGGAACAGTAATCCTTTGTATAGAGATGGTGTATATTTCATATATATAGAGAATAGACGCCATTGTATTGTAATACTAAGTACGAAGTTAGTGAAACAGAGAGTGATACTTATAACTGAATTAGAGAGAATAAAAGCCAAAATTCATGTTATACTTTTGGCGTTTTGTTTTATGTATTGTCATAAGTAGGCAGTTGTACCGAACGGTAAACGGCATCTGGGACTTTAGGCAAGCTCACTTTTGAAGGGTCTCGCTCTTGCATAAAGAATAAAATTAAGATAGTAGAAAAATGAGACTGGGATCAAATGTTTAATGGCAACAGAGTCTGAATTTTTACCAGTAACAAATGAAACCCTATCATAAAAATCCCCCCCCCCAACAGGTTGGGCACACACCACCAAATGGTCATTTAACCCCCGTTTGGTGGTCAATCGCCCATATCGGAGTCGGTATTTACTGACCGTTTGGGAGAGTAAAATCGTTTTGTTCAATTCTGTGGAATGGGGTGAAATGGCGCATAATATTAACTCGTGGGGAATAAAATATAAACATTTATCGGTACTATGAACAAAAAAAATTGGAAATTCAACACGGAGTTTTTTGCGCAGTGTCATTCAATTTTTTACCAAATCATCACCAATGCAGACAAGTACAACGTTTCTGTGTTTTGACTTTAAAAAGAAATTTTCTCTCCTTCCCAAACGTAGTTGCACCTGTTCATCATGTTTCTTACTTTCTATTTTTATCATCCGGGCAACCAATCAAGTAATTTAAACCAATAAGAAATGATGATCTTTTCCGAACCGGGTCAAAAGTCTGATTTAACTACGGAGACACATTAGCGTCAATTTTCAATTAGAAAGTAAAAGGAAAAAGATGAATTTGCTTTTATTTCGTTTATTTTGTACGTAATGGCTTTATTCTTTATAAAAATAAAATGTACATGAGATCATGATATAATAATTGCTTCAAAACGATGTTCTTGGAATTTAAATCAAGAATAATAGCAACTGTCACTTTGTAAATCTTTTATTCAAAATCTTTGACTAAATGTAGTAGATTCATCACAAATATGCATACTAAACCACAAAGGTCGCACAGAAATCGCAACTTCATCCTAAAAGTAAATAAAGAATAAATGTTACATTCAAATGTAGAAAAAATGACTATTATAGCAGTAAGTGCCCACCATACCAGTAAAGTATGAGGAGCTCGTGTTTAACTGGATTCTATAGAGATTTATTTAGACAAAGATCCAAAGATCGATTGAAAGTTAACTTCTAAAGAGTTAAACCACTGGTCTAAATAGAATTTTTATTAAACTAAACACAAGAAAATATTTTTTGGATTGATTAAGCAAGAAGTTCGGCCTTCACAGACAGCTGTAGGTATCGTTTTTACGAAGTTCCACAGAAATTACACATGGAAAATCGACCGAACTGTATTAATTGTGCGAGGAATATGATTACTAAAATTCCCCGAGGCCTATACGAATGCGCCTTTGCTTTATTTTTATAAAAATTGGATTTGAATAAAAAAGACTACCATTTGGTCAGTAAATACGACTCCGATATGGGCGATTGAGCACCGAACGGGGGATAAATGACCATTTGGTGGTGTGTGTGTGCCCAACCTGCCTAATGTAAATGAAGGTGTATAACACCATTTTTACCCCCTCCTCAATTCGGGCTTTAGTTAAACAGTGGAGTATGCCTGTCATTTTGTTTTTAGCTATAGGTTTATCTGGAATCTTCCAGCCATTATTTCCCTCTGGAACTCCTTGCCACAGCATACCTTACACACTGATTCACTTGAGAACATGACACTGTAAATAGGGACATTGTTTTTATCCAGATTCTAATCCAATAGCCCTTCACTACAAGATTTTAACCTTTTACCTATGTAGGTCAGTGCTCCAGATGGAGCCCTGTAGATCTACATCAATGAAAGAATAAATAAATATATATTTAATAAGTAAATAGCAAGTTTAAAAATTTCACTGGGAAATGAAATGGGTCGGTCACATGATCAAATCCTGTGAAGACCAAAGGCATTCTCAGAAAATTTGATCATGTACCTACCCACCTCATTTCCCAGTGAAGTTTCTAAAATTGTTATTTATTATATAAACATTTGAGATGGACAATCATTTATAACTATTGCACTAACTGCCCATCAAAATGACTCAAGGTGTAGATTGACTTTAAGCGGTTATCCTTTGAATTCTGATGGCAATGGGTTCTGTTTTTGAAGGGAGTATTCTGTGAAAGCTACTTGAGATAATAATTGTGAGCAGATTGTTGTCTTGGATTTTTTATTTCTGTAAGAACCAGTATAATTTGATAGTCGAAAAGCCACAAATTATGAAATTAGAAACCCTAGCTAAATTTTAAGTTTGGAAACTGTAAAGTCCATATTTTAAGTCAATGGAAAGAGCTCATTAAAAGCTTGACATTTGATTTTATTTCATGAAGATATAAGAACAAAAGTCGTGACACTTTAAAACTTACGAAATTTCAGGCATTTTCTTTAATTTTGGCATATAAACGATAAGGGTCAAGTGTGATACAAAATTTTCCTTTTGAGTATTGATTTAATCAAACTGATTTGATTCATGTTCCCAACTGTTTGTGCTGGTAATAGAATAATCATAAAGCACTTATATAAAATGGAATTTATCATACTGATTGAATTTAAGTAATTCTTTTATTTGTGCATTTTCAGAAACACCATGGCAGATAATGAGAATGAGACTGAATTGTTGGATTATGAAGAGGATGAGACTGAAACTACAGCTGATGGGACGGGGGATGCCCCAGTCAAAAAGGATGTCAAGGGAACCTATGTTTCTATTCACAGCTCTGGTTTCAGAGATTTTCTCTTGAAGCCAGAATTGCTGAGATCCATTGTAGATTGTGGATTTGAGCATCCCTCAGAAGGTTTAAATTCTGAACAATTTAAATAATGATTTTGTAGTTAAAATATGTGTTGTGTAAATTTTGGAATAATTATTTTGTTAATATCAGAAAATGTCTGTAAAAACAAGGTTATGTGTTTTTATATCTACAGTCCAGCATGAGTGCATTCCACAGGCCATTCTGTCTATGGATGTTCTTTGTCAGGCCAAATCTGGTATGGGGAAGACAGCAGTATTTGTGTTGGCCACACTTCAACAACTGGAACCTGTGGATGGCCATGTAAGAAACAAAATGGTTTTACCTTGATGTTTATCAAGACATACAGTTAGGGCCCCTACATACAGTTGGGGCTCTTCCTGTAAACTTAGAATGAAGGGTTGTAAACTTAGATGAAAGGATAAAATAACAGTAAAATTCATCACCTAATCTGTCACATTAAGATAAATTTACACCTCTGTTTGCAAGTTATGCTTGTTTTGAGGTTAAAGTCAAGCCTGAGTAATGTTTGCATTTTTAATGAAGGCTTGCATGTTCTCTTTTGGTTTAAACATACATGTAATATAATTGAATTATTATTATAAGATATGTTTTTTCCTCCATAATATCAATACAGGATGCTTTTGATTTCTAATAGGTAGCCAATCTCATTTATCATTTAGGAAGCATCTCCAAATTTTATATATACAGTGGCGCCGCGTTTATCCGGATGCCATTTATCCGGACGCTTCACCATCCGGACGATATTTTTTGGGAACCGATTTTTTCCACGTTATTTTGTCTCATTAATCCGGAAATTCGCGTTCCGTATCCGGACGGTCAATTTCTACTACAAAACGTAATAGTTCATAGAAAAATGACTCATTTATCCGGACGGTAATTTTTCAAGAAACGACTTTTTCACACTTAGCTTGCATTCGTGTTAATTGTTGTAAAAACATTGGCCATGCAGTCAGTTTGAAGACGGTTACCAGTGACCACAAACAATAGCGTCTATAATTAGCGTGTGTTTACCCTAATTCAATCACACGTTTATCTTTAATATTTAGCTTACACTGTGCATTAATTAAATAATAATCGGTTCAAAATCATATTGCTAACTGTATGTACATAGGTAAATTCATGGGAATTTTGGAGAGTTGTAAATAAAATGAACAATTAATAACGAGCGATTTCGTAATGCTCTTTATCATGTCGATTGCGTTAGTTTAAAATACTGTTTTCCATTTCTAAAAACGTAAATGTATTTGAAACGCTTTTTTCCCACAAGACAGTTTAGAAAGGTACATAACTGAAGAAATATCTCTATTTAATATACTACCGTTTACAAACGTCCATTGCTTTAGAAAAGATATATAAACTGGCATTACGCACAGAAGTTGATGACGTTTATCAAGGTATTTTTAATGATCGAAATTCAAACTTAGCGTCTGTAGAAAAAAAATATTGATAATCATGAAGATGGCTTGTGTTTACGAGTGTTTTTAATACTTTGTTTGAGTAAGCTTGCATTTAATTTTATAGTAACCCCGTGTAATGAATATACGGGGAATATACGGGGTTAGTTTATATTTGAACATTTTTGATGATGATGCTGAACAGTTCTGTCATATCATATGAGCTTCAATAATTATACTACTCGTATATGGCTAAATAAAACATCTGTAGATCAAAACTTGCTCAGCCCATGAAGTCACAGGTCAAAGAGAAGGCAAATTAAAATAGGAGGTCTCAGCATAAAATTGCCCATCCATTTTTTTTTATTATGTAAATTACATTTTAATATATTTTTTTCTTTAATCAATTACTGCTTTAAAAACAATAAACCAAAATATAATTTAAAAGTTTTTTTCTTTGCTGTCACATTTGAAACAAAAATGTGCATATATACAATGTACATGCTTAGAGAGTACTTTTTGAGGTGTGATTCAATTACCCGGACGATTCATTTATCCGGACGATTTCGTTTGGGACAGAGGCGTCCGGATAAACGAGGCGCCACTGTACAGTAACTTTTGCTGTTTCATATTGTTCATATATGTATGTTTAAATTTTCTTTTAAATTTTTTCAGAAGTCAAATTAAGCAGCACCTTTACATTTTTATTACCCTTTCTGACTGGTCAGTTTTTTAGTTGCACATGGACTATTTAAGTTCCTTTGATTGCAAATTGCTATGAAGGACATAGGCCTGATGCAAGATAAAAATAGAGATAATTAGCAGTAGCGTTTTCATTTCTTTACTGCCAGTCACTCTATTACAGTATACAACTAGCAATGAAACTTGATACTATGAGGTGTGCAAGTCAACTTCTGTAAATGAATCAACTTTTAATTTATTGAAGGTGTCGGTTCTGGTTCTTACACACACAAGAGAACTGGCGTTCCAAATCAGCAAAGAGTATGAAAGGTTCAGCAAGTACATGAACAACGTGAAAATTGCAGTGTTCTTTGGAGGAATGGCCATCAAAAAAGATGAAGAAGTTCTGAAGAAGAATTGTCCACACATTATTGTTGGTACTCCTGGTCGAATTTTGGCACTTATCCATTCAAAAGCACTCAATCTGAAAAATGTAAAACATTTTGTTCTGGATGAATGTGACAAAATGTTGGCAGCCCTAGGTAAGAAAACAGGTCACACTTAAAAAACTTTTGTATTTCATTAAGAACACAAAACTCAAAAGCTGTTAATTTTTTTTTAAATTGTTGAGATAAATATTGATGTTAGTGACATCTTTGAAATTAAATTTTCAGACATGAGGAGAGATGTACAGGAAATCTTCCGCAACACCCCCCATGAAAAACAAGTGATGATGTTCAGTGCAACTTTGAGCAAGGAAATCCGAGCTGTCTGCAAGAGATTCATGCAAGATGTAATTAGCACTCCATATCTTCTAGCTATGGCTGCGTGAAATGTTGTCTGTATTGGATGTGTTAGTAGGAAGTGTTTGATGGCTTTTTTCCAGCAGTGTCTCTGTCTTTTGTGATCGCTTTGCAACCTTCTGTTGTAGAGCACTGACTTTGTGAATGAACTTTGTCACCCCAGTGGTTGAGTAAGGAGAAAATATGTCCAAGTAATATTTTTGATTAATATAAGAAATGCATCTTTTAGTTTAGAAAAAAAAAATTAAGTGCAAAATTCCGGGGGGTCCTATCATTTGGATGTGGAAAAATCTGGAGATATGAGAATTTGTTGTAATAAGTGCCAGATGGATAATTATAAACTGTAACCGCATTTAGAGGTGCACAAGTCTCACTGCTCTGAAAGTGGTGGGCAGGCTGCATCTCACCATCGTTGGATACATTTATAAAATCTTGGTCTCCTGGAAGTTTTGAATGTTAAGAGTGTTTTCGTGAATTCTCCTGTACCTGTTGACCAGAGAGCTGGAAGCGGGCACATGGACGTGGAGATTGCACCTCCAGTGGGGTCATATTGAACCATTGCATTCATAAGCTGGTTATAGTTGTCCAATCCAGCAAGTATGTATTGGTATCAGTAGAGTGTTGCCAGAGAGTAAAGTCATTCAAATAAGTATTACATTATGTTGACCTCACCCAAAAAAAAAACAAACTGCTAAGTGTTAGTGTTACTTGGTCTGTCTGTATTGATTGCAGGGGGTTCTTGATAGTATTTTGTCAAGGCAAGCTACAGAGGCTTGATTTTAGAAAAGGTCAATTCCCAGCAATATATTGGCACAAGGAGTAGCTTTACATCCCTATTCCTTCTCCAATGACAAATTTAGTAAGATCTTTTGTATTAGTCAGGGATTTTCCACTGCCATGTGTAGGGACGAATTAGAGCGCCATTCCCAATTGCAAAATCCCTCCCTTTTTCCTAAAAAGAACCCTGGGTTCCATTTTCAAATGCACAAATACTAAAGCTTTAGTGGGCCAAAACGTGTAAAACAAGCATGGTGTAAGTCTGGAATCAATAGGATGACTAAAATTTGAAGAAGCATGGTCCTGTTGATGACTGACAGTTTGTTAATAGGTCTAATCTCTGATTGATAGTTAAATAAAAGGTCAAATTTATTCATCATTTGTGTTTAGTTCCTTAAATTTGTCGTGCAATATAACTTTCCAGTGAGATAACAGATATCGTTAAATTTCCAATTCCAAGGTCCCAGGCCCCATTCCCAAAACAAAGTGGAAAATCCTTGTAAGTGAATATCTGTTTTTGCTAAAAAAAAAAAAAAATGGAAAAACATTTGAAACCTTAAAGCGACAGTACGGCTGCAAAATGTGTGCTTTTTCATCCAAATTTACCCAATATGTCATTAAGAAATAAGGTATAAAGTTGATGTAAGCAGTTTGAGAAACAGAAATATTCTCTACTCAAACAAAATTAACGTAATTAGAATCTGCCGGAAAATCAAGGGTCGTACGAACTGGAGCAATCTTAGATCTGTTTATTTGTACCACGTGAATTCCAAAACGGCACATGCCTACACTGTAGAGTTTACAGTTATAATGAATATTAGGTGAAAGCAATTTTCAAAAACACAAATTATCATAACTTTCTGATAAAATAATCTAAAATAATAATCGTAAAGATTTTAGTCTGCATTCAGGCGAATTTAACAGAATTAAAAGTACAAATGTTGACGTTTTGTGTATTGGGGTCCGAGAAAGGAAAAACCAACTAATCATACGTTATCCGGCAAATGTCAAACAAAATATTTTTCTGCACAATTAAAAAAATTATCATTTCAAATGGCAACAATGTTTATAAGTCAAAGATGTATTTTTTATGTTGAGTTTACACTATTTTTTTTCTTTGAAAGCGACGGAAAGATGAGAAATGATAACAAGTATCAACAAGCCTGTCGAGTAGAACCTTCGAGAGCCCTGCTTGAGTGTCGCCGAGTTCCCGTTTCTTCCTTATCCAGCGATTATATTAATCCCCAAACTAAATTTTAGTCAGGAAAGTTGCTTTTTCAAGTTCTATTTCAGTTTCTTTTTATTTTTAGTCGACTTTGTCAATGTAGCAGGCCTACCGGGATTCCCTCTCTAACCATGCTGTTTTGTTTATGAAAACTACGCATGCGTGCATAGCATGGAATGTGGAACCCCGAACACGTTGCGATGTATATATTTACGTCCCATAAATAACTATTAATTTTAATGAAGTAATCCAAATTAATTAATTGTAAAAATTGTAATTTTCTGAAAGTTTATACATTTATGAGTAGTAAAAAAAATGCCAAATCTTGTCGGAAAATTTTATCTAGTCAGTTTTTGATGAGATGCGCCGTACTGTCACTTTAAGGGGACAAGGGGGCTGACATTTTTTCTTTTACTTGAAAAGTTACAGGACTTGACAAAGTTGCAAAACATAAATAACTATGGAGGATGCTATTCCTATTGCCAAAAAAAGAAAGAAAGAAAACTCCATCTGAAGCTTAAACATATTGGAAGTGCACTTTTTGCATTGCCTATAGCAATTTCTGCTACCAGATAATTCACATTAAAAGAGCAGAAATAACACTTATTTTCAACATTGCCTTTGGAAAGTAGAAGCAACTCCTATGGAAAGGATTGTACATTTGTATTAAAACAATGGAAACTTTAACCACCTTTAGAGTATTAAATAAATTATATATATATACATGCATGTTTTGCACTAATGCAGCATGGGCTGCAAATGGAATTTTTTATTTTACTTCCAGCCAATGGAGGTGTATGTTGATGATGATTCCAAATTGACTCTACATGGTCTGCAGCAGCACTATGTTAAACTGAAGGACAATGAGAAGAACAGAAAACTCTTTGAACTACTGGATGTACTGGAATTTAATCAGGTATGACACTTCTCGGTTAAATGTACTTGATTGAGTGTAGATTTGATCATTGATTCTTATAACATTTAATGTGTTTTCTTCAAAAGACTAGGATATTATCATGAGAATTAAGCTACCTTTTAATTATGCAAATCATCCCAACAGAGTATCAGAAACAGAATGAAGGGAATAAATATATATTTCAGTACAGAGTATAAAGGTTGTAATTAAAAAGTGTATAAATATTACATTATTTTCAATTTATAGTATTGAGTAGTTTTGTTTGTAATCATATTGTAGGTCATCATCTTTGTGAAGTCAGTGCAGAGGTGCATGGCGCTGGCACAGTTGCTGGTTGAACAAAATTTCCCAGCTATTGCAATCCACAGAGCAATGACACAAGAGGAAAGGTAAGTCTGTGGAGGTCATTGTCAGCACCTGCTGTAAATAAAATGGATGACAGAATGACATAAATGAAACTTCTTTTAAATCCTAGATTATCCCGATATCAACAGTTCAAAGATTTCCAGAAAAGAATACTAGTGGCCACAAACTTGTTTGGTCGAGGAATGGACATTGAAAGAGTCAATATTGTCTTTAACTACGACATGCCAGAGGACTCTGATACTTACTTACACAGGGTTAGTCAACTAGTATATCACCAACAAATTTTAAAAATGTGTGAACTCTTTCATATATTAAGTATTGTGATCATTGTGGACTTTTTATCAAGGTGAAGGTCATGTGTACATTCAGTTTTGAATATTTTAATTAGGTAGCACGTGCAGGAAGATTTGGAACAAAGGGTCTTGCAATCACATTTGTATCAGATGAAACAGATGCCAAAGTACTGAATGAAGTACAAGAGAGATTTGAAGTGAACATCACAGAGTTGCCTGATGAAATTGATATTTCATCATACAGTAAGCATGAAATTGTTAGCTCACCTGAGCTGAAAGCTCAAGTGAGCTTTTCTGATCACACATTGTCCATCGTCCGTCCGTCTGTAAACACTTTTCACATTTTCAATTCTTCTCAAATTCTTCTTGTCGGAGTTTAAAAGGAGTTTAAATTTTTAAAATGAAGGGCCAAGTCTCCTTACAAGGGGAGATAATCTAGCAAAGACAAAAATAGGGGGAAGTCGTAAAAAAAAATCTTCTTAACAATCAATCAGCAAGAAAAGGTGAGACTTATGTGTAATCTTCTTGAGGTAGTGTAGATTCTAAATTGTTCAAATCATGGCTTTCGGGGGTAGGGTGAGACTACAATGAGCAATCGAAGTTTTACAGTAGAATAGCAGATAATAGTTTTACAATAGAATAGCAGATAAACATAAAAGAAAAAATCTTGAAAAATCTACATAAGCTGTGATTTGTCAAATTCATGTTATGGAAGTATCATCTGGTTGTGTAGTTTCAAGTTGTTTAAATCATGATCCCCTCCTTTCTCCAGACCACCTTTATATTTAAACTTCAATAATGACTGATTTCTGCTTTTTCCTAGCCAATGCTCAGATGAGCGATGTGGCCCATGGGCCTCTTGTTAAACTACTTTGCTCTACAAACTAGAAGAAATTTAGAAGCTTTCAACGTAATTTTAATATTTTCTTTTTCTTATTTTCAGTTGAAGGACGTTGAACACTTGGAAGACGTGTGATTTGAGAGACTTTTACCAAGAAAACATAGACAATGAACAATTTGAGGAAGCTGTATATTTTTAGTGAGGTCATACTATTCTGATTCATAGCAAAATCATGTCTGTCATTTCATTAAATCATATTTGTATTGAATATTTTTTTGTTTTTAAGATGATGTGGAAATATGTTGGGACAAACTGTCGGTTGTTTACCTAGAACTCTTAGTTGACATAAGATCTGCACAGGGTGCACTGTGATATGTTTTATCTTGTAAATAAATACTTTTCATTTTCTGGATTATATTTTTTGATTGATACATGTAGTAATATTTTTGATTTCAGCAGCTATTGAGGTGTTTCTGATTTAAGCCTTCTTTATGAGAACAGATTACTGTAGATTCCTAAATATATGCGAGGAATTAATTATCATGTAATTACGCGAGAAGCACCACTCGCGAAATAAAGTTACCCGCTTTTATTTTTATCGTGCTGAAATCAATGTAAAATCTCGATCAATCAGCCACTCACAAATTATTTTTTTCTCGCGATTTTTTACGAAAAATAAGGAATCTACAGTAATCAGTAGGATGTAAAAAGATGTTTGGAAAGAAATGTATTTTTGGTTTTATGAACTTGGGGTCGGGGTTCTACTGTGGTTGCCCTATGGTGATAAGTCTGTTACTGTCCGTGGTCAGATATTCATTGTCAAGAAAGTACTTGACACAAACTCGCTCAGACTTCTCCAATGAGTGTCTATGGATAGACGTGCAGTGACCTTGAACCAAATTTCTTGATCAAAGGTAAAGGTGAAAATCACCACCTTGTTTGGAGCATATTTTTCTTCTTTTAGCCCATCTGATGCACTAGTCTCCCCACAAACCCTAGGATCCACTACTCCTCTCACAAACCCTAGATGTTTTGAGGAGAATAGTGGATCAGATACCCTTGGCTAGTGAAGAACCTGGCCCAATCTGGCTCAAATTCACCAATGGAGTGATTTTGGGTAAAGGGTGTGCAGTGATCTTGAACCAATTTCAAGTCAAGGTCAGAAACTTCTCTGTAAATTCCTTGTCTTGAGCATGTTTTCTCTTCCCTTTTTGCCCTATCTGGATCATACCTGAGTCACTCAGGTGACCTATTGCTATCTGATTTCGTCCTTCATGCGTTAATATTTGCACATTTTAGCTTCTCTGGAACTATTCGATTTCAACCAATTTTCACATGTAGCATCAATGGGTGAAGGGGAACAAAACTGTGGAGTTCATGGTCCCTGTACCCCTGAGGGTTGGGCTAAATCCAAAACTAATGCAATCTTCAGAAAATCTTATTTACTTTTGGACATAAAAGAATCGAGCTGTTGGCATAATTGTAATAAGCAGTTGAGCTCTCTACCAAAGTTGTGAAAATTCATGGTCCCGAGGTGAGGATGGGGCTCTATAGATCATGTACTGAAAATGCACAAATTATACAAAAATCTCGTCCTTTATATATAGCAGACCAGTGCTTAGATGTGATGAGGAATTGGGTCACTGAAAATTTTTTAATTTGGGGTTCTGGTGTTAGGACGAGGCTCTATATGTCATAAAGTGAAAGTGCATGGTTATAATGAGCAACAGTGCTTCTACCAAAATTATGAAATTTTATGGCCCTAGGGTCTGGGATTCTGGAGTTAGGGTAGGGCTCTACAGAAGTGAAAAATAAAAATGTATTATTTGAAAATCCGTTCGGCCTCTGTAATGAGTATTCGGCAGACAAACTAAGGGCATGGTTATAAGCAAGGATGCCTCTTCCAGAATTGTGGAAGTTGTGGCCCCTGGGACGGATTCTGGGCCATCGTCTCAAGCCACAGTCGGGAGTCCGCTTATAGCTCTTTCCTACCCGCGACTGCTTGATCACAAAGTATCGTAATCTTGAATAATTGAAATCGCATGAAATGTTATGTAACTGCGAATGAGTGTGGAAAGGTCGCTTCTGAGTTTATTTTCTGCCCATGACGTGGAGACCGGTCCTTCGCATGAGACCGTATAAACCGAGGTCCCGTGTCGCAGTAGGTGCTGGCACGAAAAAGATCCCTAACTGCTCAATGGCCGTAAGTGCCGAGTATAGGACAAAATTTGCAGCTCTCCACCGGCAAGTGGTGGCGTCTCCCTATGAGTGAAAAATTCTCGGGAGGGACGTTAAACAAGATACAAACAAACAAACAAACTTGCATTGGTGAATATTTGAAAGGGGCCTGGACACAGTTGCAAGGTTTACTTTTTAAATTTCTATGTTTATTCAAAAATAAAACCATTTAAATGAGTTGAATTTACACTAATTCATCCTTGAAAATTCCTCGATACAAAATAAGACTTTGAATGGGATACAAAAGCTTCCGGTTGGGGTTATAAATGTACGATAAAACCAGAGACTTCCGAGTATTCCATTCCGAGGTCTCTGATTTTATCCTTCATTTATAACCCCAACCGGAAGCTTTTGTATCCTATTCAAAGTCTTATTTTTCATCGAGGTAATTCTATTTCGTCATAATTACTTCCGGAATTATGTGAGATAGTAGTACGCATGTGCAACCTCAGTGTGGTACGAGTTATGAATAGGGAAGGACGTGGTCTTTCCTTTAGCAACTTCAGTTCGTGTCTGGGTTAACGTGGTTAACTCATATTTTGTAATTACTTGGTATCGTTACTGGTAATTTTTAGACACGTTTATTAGTTTACAAAACTCGAGGAGTTTTGTTTTTACGACTACCATAAAGCGGTGTTACGACTTCTTTATGATAAAGTAGTAAAAATGGCGGAACAAATGATTCAAAAGAAACAATTACGTAGCACTACTAGCTTTGAGGAAGAAATAGATACAGAAAAGACAACAGACGAAACATTCAAGGGTAACGAGGTTACCAAAAAGAATAAAACTGAGGTTCAGGGAACAAAAACTAAGAAACACGGAAGTTCTGTTGGTACTACGGTAAGTGCTACAAGTACAAGGTCCAGCGGAACGAAAAAATCTATGAAAGTTGTGGCCGATGTCCATAACAAAGCCGATAGTGATAATACACAAAACGATAGTCAAATTATGGGTATATTGACTACAATACTTGAAAACCAGAAAAAACATGATGAAATTATTGGCACGTTGAATAACAAAGTCAATAGAATAGAAAACGAATTTCAAGACTGTGATGATTACGAATGTTACGATGATGATCAAGCATATGACGAGAGTTGTAGTAATATTCAGCGTACTGATGATAATGTTGAAAATCCAGATAATACTTCTGGGAAAAGGAAGAGTGATCAGTTGGACACAGAAGCTGTTCAAGAAAATACAAGTCGTTTTATGAACATGAGCAAAAGATTTAAGAGCAGAGAAGTGTGTGATGTGAAAATAGATGAGACTTTGGCTACAAACATAACAGATTTGTTTAGAAATGGAATGAATGAAGATCAATATTCAGATCTGATTAAAGATGAAAACAATGCAAGACCAGAAAACTGTGAAGGCCTAAAAGTTGTGAAGACAAACCAACTTGTTTGGGATATTATATCTCAAGAAGCAAAAACTATTGATAGAAAAATGCAAAACATCGAAACCTCTGTTGTTAAAGGTTCCATTATCTTGGCCAAAGTTGTAAACAAATTAGCAGACTTGGAGAATGAATTGGATGATTCACATAAAACGAAATTGGGAAAGATAATAGATGAATGCAATGATAGTTTAGCACTCTTTGGACATGCAAATAGACAAGTGAACATGACAAGACGAGAGCTTATCAAGCCTGAATTGAGATATGAATACTTGCATTTGTGTGCACAAACTGTACCTTATACGTCATGGTTATTTGGTGACGAAATTTCAAAAACGGCAAAAGAAATTGAAGATTGCAGTAAGATTGGTCATAAGCTGCAGTACAATAACAGAGGAGGATCATTCAGAGGTCGAATGAGAGGAAGATTTAGAGGTCGCAGACCAAGAGGACGTGGAAATTATAGCAATTCTGCATATAATCCAAATTACGGATATTCGAACAGAAACAGTGGTGAAGTTAGTGGACAATTTTATCCAAAAAACTCCAAGAAGAGCAACACTCAACAGAAAAGCAAGACTCAATAAATGATGAGGTTAGTGAGAAAAGTGTTGAATTTTATGCAGGTAGATTGAAATATTTTTCCAAAGAATGGGAAAAAATTACATCAGATAAAAATGTATTACAGATAGTTGAAAACTGTAAAATAGAATTTGTAGATGATGTAGCAAATGTAATTTGTATGAACCTAAATTTAATTCAGTAGAATCTGAAGTGATAGATCAAGAAATTGAGAGTTTATTAAAAATGGGAGCTATTGTTGAGGCAATTCCTGGACCAGATCAATTTCTGTCATCTATATTTGTTAGACCAAAGAAAAATGGGGAATACAGAGTTATTCTTAATTTAAAAAATCTAAATGAATATGTAGTATACCATCATTTCAAGATGGATACTTTTGAATCTGCAGTAAATCTGGTCAAGGAAAATTGTTTTATGGCATCAATTGACATAAGACATGCCTATCATACAATTCCAATAGCAATGGAGCATCAAAAATATTTGAGATTTAGATGGAAAGGGAAAATATTTCAATATACCTGCTTACCATTTGGTTTGTCATCAGCACCTAGAATATTCACAAAGGTTCTCAAACCAATCTTTGCAAAGCTTAGAACATTAGGTTATCTTAGCATGACTTACATTGATGATGTTTTACTGTTTGGAGATACTATTGATGAGTGTAGAATGAATGTGAACATCACAAGAGAATATCTTGAAAAATTTGGTTTTGTGATTCATGGAAAGAAAAGTCAATTTGAACCCAAGAAGTGTATCACATTTTTGGGAAATGTAATAAATTCTGAAAGAATGACTATTGAATTGACTGAGGAGAAGAAAGACATTATTTATGAAGAATGCAAGTGTTTATTGAATAAAGATCGCGCTAAAATAAGAACTGTAGCTCGAGTCATTGGACTGATTATTTCGAGTTTCTCAGCTACAGAATTAGGAAAATTACATTACAGATTGCTAGAAACAGAGAAAATAAAGCATTTAAAAGAAGCTAAAGGGAATTTTGATTCCTTAATGTCAATCACTATAAAAATGAAAGAAGAACTAAGTTGGTGGTGTTCCAATATTCATTCTCAGATAAGACTTATCTCTAGAGGTAACCCAGAGATTACTATTCAAACTGATGCATCTTTGTTAGGTTGGGGAGCAATATGCACACAAGATAATATCAGAACTGGTGGAAGATGGAAAGAAGAAGAAAAAATGAATCACATAAATTACTTAGAAATGCTTGCAATTTACTTTGCTTTGAGATCATTTGTGAATATTGTGAAAAACAAATATGTAAGAATATTATCAGATAATACTACTGCCATTAGTTATATTAATAATATGGGTGGCATAAAATCTCAAATTTGCAATAAACTTGCAGTGGAAATATGGGAATGGTGTACTAAGAGAAACATTTGGTTGAAGTGTTCTCATATTCCAGGGAAAAATAACATAGAAGCAGACAAATTATCCAGAGAATTCAATGATCAAGTGGAATGGCAATTAGACCATGATATATTCTTACAAATTTGTTCAAAGCTAGGTTGTCCAGATATAGATTTGTTTGCATCAAGACTCAATGCACAAGTTGAAGTGTTTTGCTCATGGAAACAAGATCCAGAATGTAGTTATGTTGATGCATTTCCATTGAATTGGAGAACTTTTGATTATGTTTATATTTTTCCACCTTTTAGTTTGATGGGCTTGTGCATCAAGAAGATTCGGGAAGACCGGGCAAGAGGGATTATCATTGCCCCATTATGGCCCACTCAGACTTGGTTCACAGGATTAATGAAAAGTATAGTCAAGAATCCATTATTACTTCCGAGAAGGAAGGATCTACTTCTAAACCCTCACAAAAAGGAGACTCATCCTCTGGGGGAAAAAAATGACCTTGATTGCATGCCAAGTGTCCGGCGAGCTTACAGAAATTTTGGATTTTCAAAAACAACTACCTCCATTATTATGGCATCATGGAGAACCGGTACTAAAAAACAATATCAAACGTTCATCAAAAGATGGTTTCATTACTGCTCTGAATGGAAAATTAATCCAGTTTCACCATCTATAAATAATATTTTGGAATTCTTCACTTTACTTTTTGAAAATGGATTGAGTTACAGTTCACTCAATACCGCTCGGGGGGCTTTGTCAGCGTTGGGCATAAAATTAGATGGAACCAGTGTTGGATCCCATGCTCTTGTTATTAGATATATGAAAGGTGTTTATAACATTAGACCAACTAAACCCAAATATTATGGAACATGGGATGTATCTTTAGTTCTACGACAGTTGAAGAAATGGTCTCCTGTAAAGACTTTAAGTTTGAAACAATTAACATTGAAACTGGTAATGTTAATTGCTTTGACAAATGCTGCACGAGCTCAGTCAATTCATCTTATTTCTGTAAATAATATGAAAAAGTGCTTTAATGAATACATATTTGAATACTCCGGACTGCTAAAGCAATGTAGACCGGGTTATAAAATGCCTGTTGTACATATGAAAGCACACCCTCCAGATAGGAGACTTTGTATATACGTTGTGGTGAAGGAATATTTGTTAAAGACAGCACCTATTAGAAATGGAGAACAATCACTTTTATTAAGTTATGTTAAACCTCATAAGGCAGTTACGAGAGACACAGTGTCCAGATGGATCAAAATGGTGATGAAACTTTCTGGGGTTAATACAGATGTATTTGGATCGCACAGTGTAAGATCTGCTTCAGTGTCAAAAGCAAAATCGGCAGCTGTGCCAGTAGATGAAATTTTAAGGAAGGCTGGATGGACTAATGCTACAACATTCTCCAAATTCTATGAAAAAGACATTTTTGTTGAAAAAGAAAGTTTTGCTTCAGGTGTGCTTTGCAAGAAAAATTAGAGTGGGAGACAAGTTCTCAGTAAGTAGAATAGTATTATGATCATGTATTTTTCTTGTGTTTTGAAACATTTGATCATAATGCGCTTTGAAGTCTCACATAATTCCGGAAGTAATTATGACGAAATAGAATTTAAAAATTTGACGAGACTTACCTTGGTTAAGTTGAAGTCAGATTGTAATTCTATGAGTCATTATAATTACTGTAGGGATTATGTGCCTCCCACCACTCCCTGCACAGGGTTTTCAGATATTCATACATATCAGACCAATAATTCAAAAAGTAATAATAATTTAGGTAATTATGTACATTGACAAAATGATTACATTATGACCAAATGATTAAGTTTGAAGACTGAGGTTGCACATGCGTACTACTATCTCACATAATCCCTACAGTAATTATAATGACTCATAGAATTACAATCTGACTTCAACTTAACCAAGGTAAGTCTCGTCAAATTTTTAAATTTTCAAGGAATAAATGAGTGGTTTACAATAAAGAGGCTCGACCAGAGACGTCTGAAACGATTTAATTGACAAGAGTTTCTCAAGCGAACGATGTCATTTTAAAGTAGGCTAATGATTGATATATTAACAAAATACGAGCTTGAAGTGGAGGTGCCTGAAATTGAGTGAAGTACCTTGTGGTAAAAAATAAGTAGAGGGTGCCCCGTATATATGAAACAAGTGCCTGTGGCACGAACTCTGTCCAGTTTAAAGGTGTTAATTATGTAACGCTTTCGTGCACGGTCACCGCTTGCACATAGCCAGACGTATCGAGGGTGAATTCCAATAGATTACTAGTACATATATATCGGGACTGCATTTTGACGTCGAGGGATCAAGATTTTCGAAAAATTATGAGTTCGAGAGATTAAGAGTAAACTTGCTTCATAATATCTATACTTATAAATTAATAAATTTTGCAAATAAACTCCGAAGCGGGTGCACCAGAGTTCTTACTTACACTACACCCCTACTAATGTTATTGTGATTTAAATTCAAGACACGTGGTGTAGGTTGACCCATTCAAAGATTATAGGGTAGAACCGGTTTTATAAATAAAATTGACAGTAAACAGGAAAATGCTATAATCTGTTTCTTTTAAAAACTTTCTGAAAGATTTTCAAGATTTTAAACAGAAATGGGTGGGATTTTAAAAAAAAAATTACAATCTACTTAATTAATCTTCGCTTTTGTGATAATTTACGGCGAAAATTGGAGCTTAGTGTGTTAATTTTTTCCAAAATCGCCCGATACGCTGTAGAAAAAAAAATGTATATGACAAACCTTTGTTTACCTTATATGGCTTTTGTTATTAATACGCACAGAGGATCTTACCACCAACAACTGACCAGTCATTGAATGAATAGCAACGTTAACTTGGCACCTATAGGTTATACATTTTACTTCGAACACGTGGTTCAACTCAATCTACGATCGATATTAAATGGATTGCAAAAGACCAATTAAAAAATTCTTAATATGAAAAATATAAAGAGTATAGAAACTATGAAAGATAAGCCACGGGAGTTTGTAATTTGTTGTTACGTTGTTAACTAGAAAATGCATATAAAAAATGTAGCCTGTACCACGTTCAGAACACTAGTGCATGCTTCAAGGTTAAGGAAAACGAGCAGCATTCCTTACAGTTAAATGGACAACAAAGTTTTTTTTTTTATTACGATGCCCGTGATCATCTGTGCTTTTTGGTCAGGGACAAAGTTTTTTTTATCATATTACAATATCCGTGATCATCTGTGCTTTTTGGTCAGGGAACTCACCAGTGACCTGGCAATTGTATTCACCGACAGTACAACAAAGCAATGCAGACGAAAATCGCCTTACAGTATGACTTTGATAAACCTAGAATTCCTTGTTTATTTAACATGTTAATTACTAATGAATTGTCTGTAATTGTGAGCATGGAAATAATATAATAAAAATATAGACAGCATGAAAATGCATGGAAAAAATGTTCTATTTGTCTTTCCGATCGCCTTGTTTTTATTTTTCAAGCGTAACATTCCTGTAGTATCCGTAGTAACCCACAATGCAATTCAACTCATTCAGATTAAGCTATATTGGTACCCAATTTGCTATTCTATCGCCATAAAATATTGTCCCTGTTCCCATGCAAGCATGTTTGTCCAAAAGAAATTATAAGACATAAATGCAGAAAATAATGTCATGAGGAATACTTATTGATGTTTGAATGAATTTAAGAGAGATTGAAGTATAATTCTACAGATACTATTCAGTGGTGAAAAGTGAAACTCAAGATAACTTTTCTGTTTACCATGTATCCACGTGCTAGTCACTTCCTAGCCATATTTCCGTGAATAATTTACCTTATCTCGTTGTAGTCTCGCTAGATCTCGCCAGAGCTACTGCGAACTCTTCGGATTTTATAATTTGCAGAACACCGAAACATAAAATGTTCCGAACACATTAGTAGGGGTGCACTAGATACAAGATGATGTCCGTAAACTATATTTAGATTTCATTCGCATAGTAAATATCGTACATTAAATTAAAAATCTACTTTCATTTTCTATAAACAGCCATGAAATAGCAAAAACGTGAGTACGGTGGCGGTTCCGATTGGCAGGTCTAAGTTACTGGCAATTTTTAATGAAACTGAAAACAAGAAATCGTTTATTTTTTCATGAAACATCATTACTGAATTATTCAATCAAAAATACTTGATTTAAATGATATAAAAGAAATAAGTTGTGATAACCGATTAAAAAGGGAAATGTGCAAATTATTTTCGTCATTCACCGATCTTAAATATTGACGGAATATTGAAGGGAGATTCTAGAACATCATATAGCATCGAGAGCATCGTGACAACGAACCCAAAGTACAATTTGTACTAATTCGTAATAAAGTTGCTTCCGTAAAAAGAGAAAATTAATGAATAAGGTATTGTTCAATTACAATTACAGCTGTAAAATTTTGTGCTTTAATCAATAGTCTTTTGTATCAAATACTCGGCATATTCATAGGGCGTTAAAATTCTAATTTTTACACAGGTACTTGGGTTTTGGAAGATTTTTCACAGAATTAATGCATTTACACTATATAATCAATAGAGCCCCGCCCTAACACTAGAACCCCTGACCCAGGGGTCATGAAATTCACAATTTTGGAAGAGGCACTCCTGCTCATCATAACTATGTACTTAGTTTCTTTATTTAATACCCAGGCGCAGAGAAGAAGATTTTCAATGAATTAATGCATTTTTCACTATATAATCAATAGAGCCCCGCCCTAACACTAGAACCCCTGACCCTGGGACCATGAAATTCACAATTTTGGAAGAGGCACTCTTGCTCATCATAACTATGTACTTAGTTACTTTATTTAATACCAAGGAGCAGAGAAGAAGATTTTCAAAGAATAAATGCATTTTCACTATATAATCAATAGAGCCCCGCCCTGACACCAGAACCCCTGACCCAGGGGCCATGAAATTCACAATTTTGGAAGAGGCACTCTTACTCATCATAACTATGTACTTAGTTACTTTATTTAATACCCAGGAGCAAAGAAAAAGATTTTCAAAGAATTGATGCATTTTCACTATATAATCAATAGAGCCCCGCCCTAACACTAGAACCCCTGACCCTGGGGCCATGAAATTCACAATTTTGAAAGAGGCACTCTTGCTTATCATAACTATGTACTTAGTTAGTTTACTTAATACCCAGGAGCAGAGAAGAAGACTTTCAAAGAAATAATGCACTTTCACTATATGATCTATATAGCCCCACCCTAGCACCAGAACCCCTGACCCTGGGGTCATGAATTTCACAATTTTGGTAGAAGACTCAATGCTTATTACAATCATGCCAACAGTTTGACTGCTTGGTGTCCAGGAGTAAAGAAGAAGATTTTTAAAGATTGCATTAATTTTGGTGGTTTTAGCCCCACCCCTCAGGCCCCAGGGGAAATTCACAATTTTTGTTCCTCTTCTCCCATACATGCTATATACCAAATTTGGTTGAAATTGGTTAAGCGGTTTCAGAGAAGAAGCTAAAAATGTTCAAATGTTTACGCACGACGCACGCCGACGGACAAAAACGGATAGCAATAGGTCACCTGAGTGACTCAGATGACCTAATAAAAAGAGAAAGGTATGCCACTCTGTTGTACCCCAGCGTGGTATAATATATAAAATTTATCTAGCTTTACAGGGGTTGATAACATAAGGTATTTAAAATGTCTCAATTACAGGGGAAAATGGGCTAGCCCGAATTTGCTTGGTTCCAATGGAAATCTTGAGGAAGGGAGCATTCATTATTTATTCTTGTAAGAAATACAAATAGGTGATATCACCTATTCGAATTGGTGATATCACCTATTCAAATTGAATAGGTGATATCACTTATTCGAAAAGGTGATATCATTTATTCGAATAGGTGATATCACCTATTCAGCATTTCCAATAGGTGATATCACTTATTCGCATAAGTGATATCACCTATTCGAATAGGTCATATCACCTATTCGTATAGGTGATATCACCTATCCGAATAGGTGATATCAATAAATGGCAATAAATACCAAAACGACGCCTCATACTTGCGCGGGATTTCATCTAGCAGGAAAAAATAGGGACCGGAGACTCACTTCGAGCGATAAAGAACTCCGAGAGATCGAGGTTCGAGCCAGCAAGAGTTACCTGTAGTAGTATAAAGTGGACACAAAGATGTAGTGATAGATTTATTTACAAAAAATCATGTTGTTCCTATCCACTGAAAGTACAATTATTCTACAAATAGCATTGATTACTACATTAATAGTATACCTCAATTAACAATAATCTGTTTACAAGAACACGTTTTAATATATCATATACATATATTGTATTTACAATGTTTTGTGTCACATTTGGTATTTTCACAACTTTTGCAGTCTTCTTCAATACACACTAGAGAAACTTTTCACCGACACTCCATCGTATTTCATGCAGTTTCGTTCACTAAAAAATAAAGCAAGACCTCAGGGGATGAAGCGAATGTGCAAACTTTGTCAATTTTCACATAACAAGGCAAAGCCAATAATTTACATGTTCACAAATGCAATCTATAGAGGAGAAAGTAAAAGAACTTACAGTATGAAGAAATGTCAGTCTCCACTGGCATCTTTTCTATTCCTACAGAAAACCGGTTTTGTACCGAATTCATAACTGTAGCGTCTGACTGAGCAGAAACAAATGTGATGGCCAGTCCTTTTGTTCCAAATCGACCGGCTCTACCCACCTGTAAATAGATCTTAAACATTACACCGAGTCTAACACTGGGTATAATTAACAAGAACAAAGTTCAAAACAAGCGTACATATATTATCTACCCTGTGGAGATACGAGTCCGAATCTTCGGGTGTGTCGTAATTGATGACAATATTAACTCGTTCAATGTCCATTCCACGGCCAAACAAGTTTGTAGCCACCAGTATTCTCTTCTGGAAATCTTTGAACTGTTGATACCGTGCCAGTCTGTAAAACATTCATTCTTAACTTCACTACCGCTGTATTTAAACTATATTTGAATTTATTTCTGATATTGTTGTAAAAAGAATAAAACTTAAAAAAAACTATTGTAAGTGATACTTGATAGTGTAACATGTTTTGTAAAAAGTCACCTTTCAGTTTGTTCCATAGCTCTGTGGATTGTCAGGACAGGGAAATTCTGAGCCAGTAGAACCTCGGCTAACGCTCGACATCTACTGACAGTACTCACAAATATGATTACCTAGAAGGAAAGGGGACAGAATCAAGGATTGGATGTACTTCTGTGTTTAACATGTAAACAATCAAAGATAACTGTGTCTGACATATAAACAATCAAAGATACCTGGTTGAATTCAAGCAGGTCTAACAGATCACAAAGTTTCCTTGTCTTCTCATGTTCTTCCATTGTAAGATAATATTGTTGTAGTCCATGGAGTGTGAGGTTAGATTCGTCGTCAATGGTTACTTCAATAGGCTAAAAATAATGCAGGAACATAAACAATCACCTGTCCCTGGTCGCACCTTTTCCATCCGACTGTCATCAAAGGGCGAACAGGAACAATTTCTCGATGAAAATTTCAGGGGGGGGGGGGGGTCATCTCCAAATAAAATGTCATCAATGACTTCCACATTAATTCCCCGAAGTCATATATATTATTCAAATTAAAAAATTAAAATTTAGTCCGAACAAGTTAATTGGTAAGTTTAATGAAATCCATTGTATTGCCAGAAAGCAGCTTTTCCAATGTTAAAGTCTTATCCAGTTTCAGCAGTCCAATATCTACGACGTTTCATTCTTCTCCAGAGGGAAGCTATTGATGATTGTGCAAGTAAACTACAGATATGTCTATCGATCTGCATGAAAATCCCCTCCTTATTCAGGCTTTATCATTAAGCTCATCAGAAGAGTTAAGGATTTTCCCTTAACTTTCACATTTGATATAGTCTATACAACTATGATTAAAGATGAGCACAAACAAAAAATATATTATTACAAAGAACAGAAATGCATTGGGAGAAAATAATTACATCATTCATAAATCGCCTGCACACAGTTCTGAGGTCTTTGTTGAGTGTAGCACTGAACATCATTACTTGTTTATCACAAGGTGATTTCACGAAGATAGCCTGTACGTCTTTCCTCATCCCTGCAACAGATCCACAGTTTCTGCCAAAACTACACTATGTATCACAAAAAAAGTTTGTCCATAATAAAAGATTAATATCCTATCCTAAATTCCCACACTTCAATATCGTTTACCATTTTCCTTTAAGACTTGGTCACACTCGTCCACAATGAAATAACGGAGGCTGTCAAGATTTAGTTTCTGTTTCTGCACCAGAGCAAGCAGACGACCGGGGGTTCCCACCACAACGGTCGGCTGGTTTCTGGCAAGGACCTCTTCGTCTTTCTTAATGGACAGACCACCGAAAAAAACAGCAACTTTTATCTCTGGCATAAACTTTGAAAAGGCTTGGTATTCATCGGCAATCTGGTAGGCAAGTTCCCTTGTGTGTGCAATGGCTAGTACCAAAACCTAGAATTTTAATAAGAGGGATAAGTTATTCCTTCGTCAGTACAATGACAGAGTACACAAAGTCTTAATTTTGTCAACCTGGTGTCGTTTATTAATTTTCAGTTTGAAGTTAAAAAATGATATTGAAATTAATAAACGACACTATTCTGATTATAGATCTAAACTGACCTTGTCGCACGACTCTTTGATTTGTTGGAGCGTAGAGAGCACAAAAACTGCTGTTTTTCCCATTCCTGACTTTGCCTGACACAGAACGTCCATTGATAGAATGGCCTGTGGTATACACTCATGTTGCACTGAAAAATATTAAAAAGTTCAAGCATCCGAGATACATAAAAAAAAACACAATGCACTTGCTCGACAGCTCCAAATCTTGAATTGTATTTTACAGTCTTTTTCTCGGTACTGTTAATCAGTCACTGAATCCCTCACTCCATTCTGTATAAATTTCACTAACCATTCAAGGCTTGTTATTTGTAATGATTTTAATCATTCTATTCCTGTATAACCAAAGGAACCATCACTCAAGAAAATCTGTTTCGAACACGTCTTTCCTTTGTGAACGATGCTTAGTTTTTTTCGAACCTCAATACATCATTCCTTCACAGCATCGCATGTATAGTCCTTCCTGGAGGTTTACCTTGAGAGGGATGGAATGACTATAGTCCTTTCTGGAGGTTTACCTTGAGAGGGGTGTTCATAACCTCGGTCTTTGATGGCTCGCAAGAGTTCTGGTCTCAAAAGAAAATCTCGAAATCCAGAACTATGCATAGACGTGTATCTATCTTGCACTTTCTGTGCTAGGTTGACGATGTTTAAATGATCACACTCCATCTCCTCTTCGTAGTCAGGAATAAACGCTTCCGAAGACATAGTTGTAGATGGGTATAATCTGAAAGACACGATTATATAGAGGTGTCTAATTAATCTGGAAAAATAAGCACGTATGCACTGTACCATCGTCGCAAGCCACGGGTTTTGTGTCCAAATAGAATGCACACAAACCCTTTGGCTTGCGACGATGTCACTGTACATGCTAAAATAAAAAGTCTATGTAAGTTGCTTGAGCAGGCCCGTATCAACGGTTTCAAAATGGGGGAGGGGGGGCTAACTTCCAAAAAAAAAAATCTGACATGCAGTAAAAAAAAAAAGAAGAAGCCATTTTACTGTCCGCATCCTGGAATTACAACATCAAAAAATGGGGGGGGGGGGCAACCAGCTCTAAAGGAAATTTATTATAGCAAAATGCTATGCTCAGAAAAAAGTGCCCCCCCCCCCCCGGGCGTTCTACGGGCCTGTTGAGTATTAACCAAAATAGACAAATGTGACTACTCGTGCATGTGTCTTATCAAACCTGTCTTCTATGAAATTTGGAAGGGGGTCTAAATTGTGGTCTGATATATATTGTCTTACTCAAGAAAGCTCGAGCCCTCTATTAATTTGGGGGCCTCTTAAACTACATAATTAAGTACCGTTTCTGAGCAACAGGCCATCAATTACAACATCAAAGTAAGTAAGTAAGTAAATTTTATTTAAAGTCGGCATTTTTTATACTAGACCTAAAGCGGAAACTGTATGTTTTGGTGTGTACCGAAACATGTTGTCGAAACTGGTGGGATGGGGGTGGGATCGCACCTCCTTTTAAAAAAGAACACCCGAACATATATCGTTAAAAATATCATTATTCATCTGTTTAAAGTACATAGATATGTGAAAAAATGACTTTGAAAATGCACCAGAACACAACATATCTAAAACAAGAGGCCCATGGGCCACATCGCTCACCTTCAGCACTATGGCTAAAGAAAAGCAAAATCATTTTAGTGTAATTGAAGTTTAAATTTTTTAAGTGGCCCTAACCCCGAGGGGATTGAACGAACTTGAATGTACAGAAACTGACGATGCTTCCAAATAAATATGATATTAATCATGGCTTTACAGACGATTTTTTCTTATATATACGTAAAAGTTTGATACTGAATTGTGGCTCCGCACTACCCACGGGGGACATGATTTGTACGAACTTGAATTTACACTATCTGAGGATGCTTCGATTTTTATCGATATACTCGTATAACGAATCATGGGTTGTTGTTCTTGAGAAAAAGATTTTAAAAGATGTTTTACTGTATATCTCTAGGTGTTACTTTGATTCCCTGTTATAACGTCACTCTATCCCCGGAGGTCACGATTTGAAGAAAATTTGAATCTACGTTATGTAATGAAGCTTTCACGAAAATTTCATGTCTTCTGGTCCAGTGTTTCTTAAAAATTGACAAGATTTTTAAAAGATGCCAATAATTTTTCACCAATTCTTAATTATCTCCCATGAAAGAGGGATGACCCTTCACGTAAACAAACTCAAATCTCCTTCACCCAAGGATGCTTTGTGGCAAGTTTGGTTGAAACTGGCCCAGGGTTCAGGGCCGGGTCCATTTTATAAAAGAACTTATGACTAAGACCAAAATTAAATTATGCTGACTACTTTCTATTTTACATTGATTTAAAAAAGGAATTTAATCTTTTTAAACAGAATTTAACAGGATACTTATATGCTAAGAATTTCAACCAATGTCATTAATTTTGCAAAATTTTAAAATCAACTAAAATTGTTGGTCTTAGTCGTAAGTTCGTTTGAGAAGTTCTGGAGAAGGAGTCGAAAATGTGAAAAGTACAAACGAGCAGGTACCCCTCCTAGACCCTAACCCCATTCACACCCCCCTTTTCCAAAAAGCTAGCGACGTTGTAATTGTTTCAAGGATTCTTCTTCTTCCTTGAATTCGCAAACCACCTTTTGGTGTATTGCCGCGAATAATCTATATAAACCATATAGTCTCGGTTAAATAACTATTATCTTTAAGTTAAAATTACTTGAAACGTTGAAAGATTTTTCTTTTGTAATTTCTTGATAAAAATAAAATATTCATAAATAATTAAATCATGATCAGGGGCATAAATATATAAATAAATAAATTAATTAATTAAATAATTTCATTTAAAATCAGTAAAAGCAAGATAGTTGAATAAAACATTCTTAAAAGAAGTACAATGAAACCCTTACCTAAAGTTGGCTGAAGATGTAATAGTTAAATACAACGTTTTATATATCACAGGTATATTGCACAACCTCTTGAAATCGGGAAATCCGGGGGGATAAAAATAACTAATATTACAACACTCGACAGCTGCTCGCTCGTTTCCGTATGCTTTCGGAAAAAGCGGAGAGTGCCGAAATTAACAGCACCGGAAATAGCTCTGTTGTTGAGGCCACATGACACAAAATATGGCCGATGATGTAAACATGGTTAGAAATCACGAAAATGGTTTTGATGAGACCCCTGGCGAGAATAATGAAGAGATAGTGACAGAAGAGATTCACACTGAAGAAGAAGAAAATTTAGAGGAACTTGTAGAAAATGCTAGCAATGGTAATATTTGACAGTTCTTTATTATACCCACACTTTCTAAAGAAAGTTCGGGTATATATTGTTGTTATCATGATCAGGTCCGTCTGTCACACTGTCTTTTTCCTAAATCTACTCCTACAGCAGCAGCCAACTCATCTTTTGGAATATGATTGGTGGTGCCATGTATACAAAACGAAGCAAGTTTGGAAATTAATTTGCCACTAAAAAGCTTATAAATTGTTAGGTTTATAAATAGCATTTAATGAAATGTTTAAGTAAGAATTAATCAAATAATTAATCAATTTGGAATAGCTTTTTTTCGGTATTGGAATACATGGTAGCTCAGCGCTGTTATGAAGTACAATTTAATTCAACGTGTGAATCTACATGAAAACTAAATGATAATAATAACAACTTCAAGCTTTGTAGCAGATATTGTTCTTTCTTTATAATACTCACATTCTGAAAATAAAACCTATCATCTGCTTTTAGGCTAAACCAAACCAGAGTTTTCTTTTATCTTTATCAAACAAAATCAAAGATTAACTTAAAGTGTTTTGTTTTCATTCAAATGCCTGGTGAGGGGAGACAAATATTTACACTTTCATAAATGTTAGCATTCAGTGTAGAACTTGTGAAATGTTGACTTCAAACAAGACCGTTGATATCCTTGTTTCACCTGTTAGTCAATAGCCTCCCTTGTTTTAGAAATTGTTACATAGAGCATGCTCTTGCGTATCGAATCAACTGGGAGACATAAACTCCATATGCAAGTGATAAGGGTATATTGCTACATAAATAAGGGAAGTTGAAGATAGAAAAGTTGAAGTGATCATGTTTATCATAAAGTTTTGTTGTTAGGTCACCATTAAGGTCTTTTTCTAGTAAAATATCCAAATATAAAACAGATGTGTCAGACTCTGTGGTATCTTTTATTTCAAGTTCACTGGGATACATGTACATTGAGTCGACATTTGAATCCATGGAGGTAATTATTCAATTGATAATACATCGTTGATATATCTAAATGTTGAGTTGAAGGCCATGGCAAGTGTTTTCTTCTTCTCATGTAGCGGTTAAATTCTGCTTCATATGAATATAAAAATAGGTCTGCCAACAAAGGGGTGCAATTGGTGCCCATGGGAATTCCAACAGATTGTTGGAATACTTGATTTCCAAAAACTTCATAGATATTGTCAATCAGAAACTTGAGCATCTTTTTAGTATCAACACTGAGTACTTTTGTGTACAATCAGAATGTTTTTAAAGAAAATAATTTTGCAAATGACCAATGACAAGGTAAGTAAATTTACGAGTTCAATTTTTATTGAAAAAGCAGCTGTCTGTGATGTCAAAAAGCCTGGACTTTAATTCATCATGGGGAATGGTGGTATAAAGTGTTGAAAAGTTGTATGTTTTGATGTCATTGATTTGATTAGGTAAAATTTTGTGACTTCAAGTTTTCTAAAGGTTCCTTGGAGTTTTTATGTATCCACATCTGATTTACAACACTTCTTGAATATATACTGTTGTACAGTACTCTTGAAGTTTCTCAGTTTCTCCTTCATTACAGTAAACAGTGAGGAGTAAAGAAAGAGGCTTGGTAGAACATTTACTGGAACCCCCTATATGTATCTTTGTTTGTAAGGATTTTTATGTAGTTTAAAGACATATGCAAGGTACCTTACCTACTGATAATTTTTTAAGATCTTCTTGATTTGAAATTATAGTACCATTAGATGTTTGCAGACAAAAAATCAGCATGCATTACCAGGGGTTTTGAATAAATATCAAATGATGAAAAGTCTTGTAATATTCAAAGAAATTAGAAAAATATTAAAAAAAAAAAATACTCAATATATATTGTAGATGTTTTTTACATCCAAATTTGTTTTAGAAAAGGTGTGCAACACCATATATAGACAGTAAAAGAGTAGCACACAGATCCTTCAAGTACTGAAACTCTTCAACTCCAGGGGAAAAGACAATAATGTTCAAACTACGTTGCGTATGTCCTTAAGAATCCAGTTTAAGTATGGTAATTCAAATTCATTTTGATTGTTGGGAACATTAAAAATATTTAAAACTGACATATGAATTTGAAGAATTTCCTCCTTAGAAAGGGAATTATGGTATAAGTTGGATTACCACTTGCAGAATTTAATCCCAGCTCCTCTAAAAACAATTAAAATAATGAGCCTTACAAAGACAAAGTTGTTACCTGCTTTGTCAGCTGGGATCACTGTCACCAGTACATATTGATTGTGTAATCTATCTGATTCTTTTTTCACTTCTGAATTATTGAAGACAGAAGGATAGATTGTTTTCATATTACCCCTTCAGTCAAGATTTGACATCCATTGAACACTTTTAATCCATTTCTGACAAAGTGTCAAGGTCTTCTTTTTCATGTTCGGCCCATCACAACAGAATTCATTATATTTGTGAAATTATGACGCCAGTTGAAAGATCCGGCTTCCCTAAATTATGCCCTTTTAAAATAAGTGATTTAAGGTCCTCGTCATTAATTATATTTACGTCACCAGTAATGATGTGTCCAGCAGGCTTATAGTTGTAGGGTAAAGAAGAACATGAACAGGTTGGGGAATTATGTTTCAGATGTTTGATATCTAGCCATTGTAGAGGTTGTACCTTATTTTTGTACATTAAATGTAAAAATACCAATGGAGGCCAGTATTGTGGTTGATTTAGTATTTGTAGCATTTCTTGCTCAGGCACTGTTATGTTGTTAGGCTTGTTGAAAGTGACAAATGTGCATGCACTTAGTACTGGCACATACAGGCAAGAAAATAGATCTTCTTTCTGAGTTCTTGCTTATATCTACTCAAACTATATTGTTGATCCCTGATCATCCTATTTCTGTTGTTTTGAGCAACATAAGTATCTTCATCTTTAGCAACATATCTTCATCTTTTTTAATTTATTTATTTTTTTGTTTTATCATATAATTATTTAACTGCCATTCTATGGATCTTTTACAGGGATTTATTACATAATTGGTAATACTAGTACATACAGGTTGTAAGCTCACCTGAGGGTGTTCGGTTGTCTGTTGTGTGTCTCATCCATAAACTTTTTTTTTTTTTTTTTTTTTTTTTTTACATTTTTGACTTCTTAAGAAACCCTGGTCCAATTTCAGCCAAACATGCCACAAAGCATCCTTTGTTCAAATGAAGGGCTATGCCCTTTTTCAAGGGGAGATAATACAGAATTATTGGTAGTTAAAATTTAATGGCATCTTTTAAAAATATTCTTTTCAAGAACCACTGTTCCAGAAAAGTTGAAACTTTTGTGAGAACTTTCATAGTGTAGATTCAAGTTTATTTTTCAAATCATGACTTCCGGGGCTAGGGTTTGGTGACAATGAGCAATCGAAATTTTTCGCATGAATATAAATTGCCAAATGTCAAGATACATACATGTATTATATGTTGTTCTTTTAAGTGATTTTTCTCAATTCTTATTGTAGAATGTAGACCTTTTCTCAATGGTAAACAGGGATTTTTTTGTTTGATGTTAGGATGTTATTTTTCTTACAACTTATAGTTCTCAGTAAGACTTTGAGACGATTTCCCATGCTGTTTGCTAAACTTTCCCATGCTAGTTATTAAACTTTGCTCTCTTGTAGTATTTTCTTTGCACAGGGGAGCATGACTAAAACGAACCAGACCTTGGGACACTAACTGAACAAACCTGAAAGTATGCAACAAATTTTTTTAAGCGATGACATTTTTTAAACATAAGAGGCCATAGAAAACACTCCATCAAAAGAAAATTAAAGCCTCTTCATAAAAAAAAATCGTTTATGCATAATTGAAAAAATGTTATTTGACTCTTGGGGATAAATGAAAAAAAGGACCAAATTAATAAATAATCACAGGTAGAAAAGCGACAAATTTCGATCATTTAAAGCTGACTTGAACACATGGTTCAATTTGGGCAAAAGACGTAAAACACCATTTATCATAGTGTATTTTCCCCATCTCTGTTGTTCCCAAATATCTTAAAAAATCATTGCAAAAGTACTAGAAATAATACACTGATTCTTCATCATTTTGTTGTTCGTTGGAACCACTGCTGTTTCCGGTCAAATGTAGTCATCAATTGACCTTTCTGTTCTCATCTGCTCCTATTCTGTTGCCTTTAAATCTTAATGGAGTTCTCGCTTTTTTCTCAGATGACTGATCGCTGTTTTTCTCTTAACGATTTTGAAAATTGTAAGCCGAGTAGTGTTGAATGCTTTATATCTAGAAAGACATCAAAGAATGTATTCTACGAGGAGAAAATGCAGTCTTACACTTGAATCATTGATTGGTAGAGCAGTTGTGAAGCTTTACGGAGCACAAGACAACAGGAACTGCTATAGCTGAGCAGGTTAATCAGAATTGACACAAGAAGCAACTTTGTTATATTGAAAAAAAAGTTCTTAAGTGTATGTAATGTTCTTTCGTGTTCATTGAATTCACCGATAGTGTGTCTCTGCGAATAGGGTAGTGTTTTCTTATCCTTATTTTCTTTCAGCACACGCAAGGTGTTTACGTTTGCCTTGACCTTTGACACGGAAGTTGAAAATGAGAAAAAATCATTAACGTTGAGAAAGACCCATTCGACTAACTTTACACATGTTATCTCATCATAAACTTCATGCTTCAATAAATCACGATGATTTGTTTCGAACATAATTTTTTGGAGTTGAACTTGACCTTTGACCCTGAATTTTGTAATAAAACAGTGACTCGCTTTACAATGACCTATTGTGATTATATCATTTAACTTCACACGTAGGTAAAGTAAGATGAGGTTACTTAATTAAGTGTTTGTGTACCACCATTAGCGCTGATACCTTGGCATCTTTGTGATTTAAACACATCTATCTCTCTGTGGATTTCCTCAGTCATATTTAAAACCTAGTTGAATTAGGATAAAATGATTTCAGTACTCTGATGGACATTATCCTATAATAAGGTGATCCCTGATGTCGTTTATGTGCCATACATGCAAGTGTCTAAGACTGTAAACTTCTTTTTAAACTGCTAACTTTTATGTTGAATGACCTTAATATTTAAAAAAGATAAATGGTTTTTAGAGCCACGTTTTGGTTGATGGGCTTAATTAGGACTCAGCACAACAATCAACATTTCTAATAAAAGGCATTTTCACTGATACGCTTGTAAAACTAAGTAAACATCTGGGGCAAATACTTCGTTTGCTCATCTCGTGATTAGATACCCTAGCGCAGTAAAGATTTAGCCTACACGACTATTCTTGATATTCTGGGAATATTACCGCAAACCATTTTTTTCAATAAAATATCCTCAAGAGAAATCCAAAGTGAAATATGGCACATTCTCAATCTGTTCTAGATATATACTAGGCAGAGATGTTTATTCCATTTATAAACCGAGATTTTTACTAGAGTTCCTGTCAGTGTCAATTTCTAAGTGAATTTAATCATGGCGACATAGATATTGCGCTTCATATCTATGAGAATTTGGTTACAGAGAAGGGAAAAATATCGGTTTCATGAGTTTTTGATATGAGCCACTGCATGTGTTACACGTAAATTGCATCATATATGTTATACATTGTAGGAAAGGTTGAAATACATAGCAAAACACAAGAATCAGAGTTCTAGCTATTTTTTCCCCCGACCTGCGTCATGTTCCTTGTTCAGTATCGCTTCTTTATTCTGACTAATACTGTACTTGGGTTTTCAATCATTTCAGAATATGAAGATCTGAGCAACACGCTAGACCAGATCGATCGATGGATGACGAATTTAGAAAATCAAAACGATTCCCTTGTGGATAAGCTCCGGGATCTCCTCGAGTCAAACCGACAAATACGGGCCGAATTTGAGCAGGAAAACTCACAAAAAAAGAACAGCTGACACATCTAAAGCCTTAATGGAACCACATTCCTCTGGTGCATTGCATTAGTGTTTATATCTTTCCACGTAGATAGATGAAATCTATTTATATATGTTCGTATTTTTCATTTATCAGACTATATTGTTATGAACTATGGACGTTTTTTTTTTTTTAAATAAATTCATCAAAAATGATTTAGCTTGTATTGTCATACATCTAACATACTGATGAAAGAATTCCAGTTCTAACTGTACACACATAATGAAGAGGTGGATTGTATAATTGTACACACGTATGAAGAGGTTGTTTGACAACCTTCATTTTGGACTCTTTTTTTCCAAATTCATGGACGTACCGATTGGCAAACAACCTTTCTACTGTATAAACATTCTAGTGTTATTTTCACTTTTATGAACGGTTTCCCCTCGATGTATCATAATTTGTTATTCAGGAATACACAATTTATTAAATTATGTTTTAAGATAAAATAATTTATTGCTAAGTGCATTTGTTTTTGGCAAGGGTGTTGTTTTTGTATTGCGATTCTCACCACAAAATAGAAGCTGTATCGTGTTGTGTTCTTCTAAATAGTTGTTCTTCACAATTCTAACGATCTTTTAAATAAATAGAAATTGAACTATGAACATCTAGACTTTATTTCACAAGTCACTAGACACAGGATATTTACAATACAAGGAACCTGCAAGCCAGCGTGATAACAAAGGCGTATCTGCCTGTGGTAACTACATGATTTTAAATCGGTCAGCGATTCCTAAATGTCTGAATACAAGGTCATCCTCAGCTGACCATTATGTGTGTCCGTAAAGCCCCTTTGTCATTTTTTAAAGAACATCTGAAGTATGATCTGTATTTTTAACATAATTTTGTCCAGTACGTCTTTATACCCGGTATAATGGAGGGGCTTTCTGGTTTTTCTAGTTTTTAAATTATTTCATATGCCAAATAAGGTGTGCATTGAAGTCTACACCATCTCGAGACTCCTCGCCACATAAGTGACAGACAAACGGACGGACTGGATCCGCATGAAGGGTCTTGTGAACAAGAAACATGGAGTAATTTCTGAAAAGAATACCACAGTTTTTACATTCATGAATTTGCTTTAGAGACTCGAGCTGGGAGAGAAGGGAATCTATGTACGGAGCCTGTTCCGTCTGTATTTGCTTGGAGTCTTTAGCTACTACAGTTAGCTGTCCACTGTAGTCATGGTTGCTCATGCGATCAGATTCAACAGACATACGCTGAGATTTAGGACTGAAGCTAGAGGTATCGGGATCGGATGCTACGCTTTCTGCTGAAAATTCCGCCCCCTCGCCATCCAGTTGCTCTTTCTTGACAATAATGCCATTCTCTGTGGCATGAAGAAGGGACGTTGGGTACACGACTTCATTGGCGCCATTATAGTTAGTTGTGGGAAAACCACTGTCGTGGGACCCTGAACTGTTGGGCCTTTCGTATTCTTTTCCCAATAGTCCAATATCTACCTCAGACATCACGGAGCGATCAAATCCGGAACTGCCTGTAATGGAGTGAGTACTTCTAGAACTCTCAGACATCTGATCATCATAGCCGTGATCCTGATCAGCGTCAACACTCTGGCAAACTCCATGAATAGAGCTGTTAGCCTCATGCGTTGCTAACGCGTTGGCGCCGTTGAATGTTGCTCCACACCTATTGCATTTGTGCTCGTTAGATTTCTCATGGCACCGCTCGTGCATGTTGCGTCGTCGACTGTTGGGAAACCTAAGGTTACAATATCGGCATTTATATGGTTTATCGCCAGTGTGAGATTTTACATGCATACGCAAGTCATTCGCTGTTGAATATGCAGCCGAACACACAAGACATTGAAACGGTTTTTGGCCATTGTGAAACATCAAGTGTTTCTTTAAAACGGCCTCAAAACCAAAGGAACGTCCACAAATATTACAGTTGTAGGGTTTTGCACCGTCATGGGTCTTCATGTGTTGACGGAAATCTTGCATGTCGTCAAACATTTTGCCGCAGTGGCTGCATTCCATTGGTACGCTTTCCTCGACCCTGAGGTGAATCTTTTCGTGCTTCTTGCAGCTGCCATTGCTGTTAAATTTCTTTCCACAAATACTGCAGGAAAAAGGCTTCTCGCCCGTATGTATCCTCTCGTGCTCCCTCCGGTAGTAGATCCTAAAGACAGGAATGTGGATATTTTAGTGAATAATAGGGTGTATACGGGTAGTAGATTCTACATTGACAGGAAATTATAAGGTATAAAGGTATATGTACAACTAAAATATTTGGCAAATCATTAAACCTGTAAAAATATAATAGTTTAAAACTGATGTTTTCGTTATAAAACCAGTGGAATCTGTTGTTAAATCTGAAAAAAATTATGACGGAGAAGTTTATGTACGGCTTCCAAGCCGCAGGATTTTATATCTGGAATTTCTAAGGACTGTCTGACAACCGTGCACTTTTAGCTGTAAACTAACAGTATTCTCTGGTAAATATTCATTGTATCCTTTACGAAAAATATGGGGAATTAAAGCATTATTTAATGACAATGACACCAAACTGCCAACCAGCACCAGTAAAATGTACATCTTAGGTTGATCAATGCTTCATAAACTTAATGACATAAAAAAAGTTTCATCTGTAATATGCTTCAGTTGTGAATTTCTTTGGACCTTTATAGATGCACACCATATCTGGACTATTTTCAAGTACTAGTAATAAATAATTCATTTGTATGCAGTGAATCCCCAATGTGCATGCATGTCCAGAGTAAATGAACTTGTTCTTCGATGAGATTTACCGAAAAAAAATTACAATATACATGTATTCTTTTTTTAAAAATGGATTGAAATAATCTACTAAATAACACCAATTCTGCAATAATAATTTTTCGATCTGTTGAAGATGTATTTCATTGTAAATATTGTGCCACAGTAACAGCATTGCAGTTGGCTATCAACAGGGAACACCTACTATGCAAAACGTGAGTAGTTTTTCCGATCTGATTAAGCAGTATTACCTTGTAAATATTTTGCCACAGTAACAGCACTGCAGGGGGTTATCAACAGGGGACTCAACTCTTTGGCCGTTGGCATTATCTGCACTAGTTGCTTGGTCCATGATGAGTGGAAACACAACTGATACAAAAAAAAAATAATAATATAAATTCTTCCGTCAAAAGATATCAAGATTTATTTCTTTATTTAAAGAGAAAGATGGATACCAGATCAAGAATACAAAAGAGAATTCAATGACTTCAGCAAAATACACAGGAAAAATCCTATTATTTTTTTTTCCAATGTGCCCCATTTCCGTGAAAGTACAAAAGTTCTACTTCAGATCGACAGAGCGATTACAGTTCACATACGCCTGTCATGTCAAAAAGGATTTCCCGCAAGGAGACTAGCCAGCATTACATTCTCCACATGTTGATCAATGGCTGACGAAAATCGTCTGCTCGATCGCCAACTAGTGCTTGGTAATATCCGCCAGCACTGTGTACGGACAGTATTAACGACAGTCTTATTTGCATTAAGTCACTTTAAAAAATATACATTATATGTACAATAACACCTGAAAATTCAGCGAACGTTTAGAACATTATGATCAGCATTATACACTGAAGAAAACTTACCGATCACGTTCCTTTCTACTCGGCGCGGCGTTCTTGCCTGGATGTTGTTCTCTAGCGAACGATAGCTAGATATGACGTGGCGTGCTTTGTACTTCAGACCAGATGCATAATGAAGTATTGGAAAGGAATGAGAGATCGTTCGCTGGCCACTAGCTTTGTGAAAACTTTGAGGAGCCGTACAAAATTGGGTCAATGAAACTGTCTAAATTTCTCCAGCCAGATGTTTTGTCGTCTGTAAAGACCAATTTGTGGTCGCCGAGTAAATCGTTCCCTATAGGTTGTAAAGAATGATTATTAGTGTAAGGGTACTTTACGAATTTGTGGGTTTAGCTGGAGTTATGGAGTTACGAACAAGTACTTGTTGTTGCTCTAGTAAACAGGAAAGCATTCGTGTTCGCTGTACTGAATTATTCCAACTATCTAACTATACGGGGCTTAGTACTGTTAACCAAAAACAGGTTACTTCCGGGAAAACCCCTTTGGGAATGGGACCGGATGTAACCATGCATCAGATATGTAACCGAAAAGATATTGGAAATTATAAGATCATCAAGAAAATACCAGACCCAAAATACTGCTTTCTCAGTCGCGTAATAACCTGCGAAATAAAATTATTTTGGATAAAAAGAAGATATTATTAACGTGCTAGGGAACGAGTTGCATGACCTTATTTTTCATTTGATGAATAGACAGCTCAAATTGCATTTGATCTACAATACCGATGAAAGATTTAATATATTTTCTGCATTATTATGCATGTTTGATCAGAAAACCATGATTACAAAAAAAAAAAAACCTTTGTGCAGTTAAAAATAACACTCGGTTTTCTTGAAACTGCTTCTCGCAGCAATGCTAATCACATAACGCAGCGCAAAACACTCGGCGGGCATTCTTCAGTTGCTGAATCGATAAAATATCAATTTTCTCCAAACTCGAGGAAGGCAAAAACAAAGAGTACTGGCGGAAAGATTGAACGTTTCCAATTTATTGCCGAGAGGCTATGTTGAGCTCTGAGAGAAACAGAACATAATTTGACATAGCTACCGTAGATTCTTTTTTATTTGAGTTTTTGGTTAAGGTGTTATACATGCAAGCTTTTTATTTTTGTTCGCCTCCCTTGTAAGCTCTTGCTTCATGTATATACGTGTTTTATGCGTTTAAACAGTTAAAGGGAGTTATTTTCACGTGCAAATACACGCGTTAAACAATCGATTCCTTGCCAAGTTTTGTCAACCGCGCTTATTTTCTTTCGGTGGATTAAATACAAGCAACGTTTGTGTGCAACGACCAAATCAAAAATAATTTTACCTTACCGAGAAAACTGATATGTTCGTTTTCGATAATAATTCATGAAAACGGAATTAAAAGTATCGTTTGCGCAGAAAACTATTTATGTCTCGTTAAAGAATATAGGATGTAAACGATAGTTACTCAGATTTACTATAGCTACGAAATAAGAATTGAACCATCGATTGAGTCGCTTATTAACTGACATACCCCTGGTATAGCAGACAACGGATTCAAAGCAATTCATATTTAGCATACAATCGTTAATTCATTTTTTTGCGTACCATATAAGATATATTTAAAACCTTGATTCTTGCATTGATTTATATATTTATATACATGTACAACATGCAAGTCTTAGGTACATGCTCATTTTTATACCTTTGTTCATGTTTGCTAGATGAACATTGAATCTGATCCGCTCCCTCCCGACATAAGAGACACTTGGTAACAAAGATTGCAGTAGATTCATTTCACTTCTGCACTAGCTCGCAGTTAGTTGTTTAATTATGTGACTTTCAAGTTTCTTAATTACTTGTATATATAAAATACTAGACGTATTAATCTTATCTTTGCCATTAACAAAACTAAACAAACAGTTCTGGCATACACTCGTTCTTAAAAAACTTTTTAAAAAAATCTGCTGGCTAAGAGCAGGTACACTCCCCCGTAACCCCCACCCACCCTTTCCAGAAACTTGGACGGTCCTGCAATGATGTGTGATTACTTAATTTTCAAAATTCAAAATATCATTATTGTTTTAAAGTGAGAAGTTAATATACAGGAAAACAACGTTTTCATAACAACTTAATCGAATTATGGGTGTAAACCTGCATTGATCGCACTTGATTTCAGAAAACAAGAGATAGTGGAGCTGGTGCTGTCATGATTTACATCCTCAAAACCATCACCAGCTATAATAAGCCCATAATCCTTTCTTCTTTTATTCTCAAGATAGTGTTTAAGCTGAGGTCTTAGTTCTCGACACATGGCGAGGTTTCAGGATCACAGAGCATTTTATCTGTACACATATTTTGGCAGGATCTTCGTATATATACCATACTTTGTCAGCATTACAAAAGTCAGACAGTCTGTTAATATGCTTTCAATAGGGGGAGGGGGATTTTGTAATATTTATGCCTCCGTAATCGGAGATTCGGGAGCATTTAGTTTTGGTCCGTCTAGCTGTCTGTCTGTTAATCTATTTGACCAAAAAACTTTAACATTTCCTATAACTTTTGAACTGTTGGTGTTGTGGTTTTCATATTTAAATTCTGCATTCCTTGTGACAAAACCTTTCTTTGGGTACCAACTTATTTGACCTATTGACCTTGACCTTAAAGTTTGACCTACTTTTGCAAACATTCACCAAAGCTTAAGGTCAGACGACACGTTCCTCAATAATACATATTTTTTCCCAATAATTTGTTATTGAAGTATTTCTACTTTAACAAGTTTCCTCGCAAAAAATTGAGGTAGCTTACCAGGGATTTTTTGAAGGTATCGGAGGATGGTGTTTCCTATATAATCCTTTCTTAAATAAATTGAATAGCTTATATCACAATTTTTTTAGTCTTTATTTTTAAAAGATATTATAAAAACAGTTTAGAAATAACAAGATAACAATAACTATAAATATATGTAATAAATTACAAAGAAACACAAAAGCAGATATCTGAGGAACGTGCCGTCTGACCTTAATCTTGGCCATAATTTTGAACGGTTGAAGCTAGGGCTTTTATATTTCACATGTGTATCCAATGTGTCAAGACCTTTCTTCGAGAACCAACATTTTTATGCCCCGCCATGAATATGGCCGGGGCATATAGTGTTTGTCATGTCCGTCTTCCGTCCTTCCATCATTCCGTCTGTCCTTCCGTCGCGCTTTGCGTTAAGCTCAGTTTAAAAGAAACTATCCAAGATATTTTTATTAAACTTCTTATGCATATAGATATTGATGAGAGCTATCGACTGCATCAACATTTTTTGACCTTGACCTTTCTTTTGACCTTGACCTCACTTTTCTTGAATTAGTGTTTAGCTCAGTTTTAAAGAAATCGTTCAGGATATTTTTATCAAACTTCATATGCTAATACATACTGATGAGTGCTATTCAACTGCATCAACATTTTTTGACCTTGACCTCTCTATTGACCTCACTTTTCTTAAATTAGTGTTTAGCTCAATTTTAAAGAAACCATTCAGGATAGTGTTATCAAACTTCATATGCTGATACATACTGATGAGAGCTATTCAACTGCATCAGCATTTTTTGACCTTGACCTCTCCTTTGATCTTGACCTCACCTTTCTTAAATTAGTGTTTAGCTCAGTTTTAAAGAAACCATTCAGGATAGTGTTATCAAACTTCATATGCTGATACATACTGATGAGAGCTATTCAACTGCATCAGCAGTTTTTGACCTTGACCTTTCCTTTGACCTTGGTCTCACTTTTCTTAAATTAGTGTCAAACTTCATATGCTGAAACATACTGATGTAAGCTTTTCAACTGCATCAACATTTATTACCTTGACCTTTCATTTGCCCTTGACCTTACTTTTGTCAATTTCTGTTTAACTCAGTTTTAAAGAAACCATTCATAATATTTTTATCAAACTTCATATGTTAATACATACTAATGTAAGCTTTTCAACTGCATCAACATTTTTTGACCTTGACCTTTCACCTTTCCTTTGACCTTAATTTCATTTATTTTAAGTTAATTGTTAGCTCTGTTTTAAATAAACTATTCAAAATATTTTTATCAAACTTAATATGCTGATGCGTGTTTGTGAGAACTATTCAACTGCATCAAAAATGTTTGACCTTGAACTTTCTTGTGACCTTGACCTCACTTTTCTTATATTTGCATTTTGCTAAGTTTTAAAGAAATCATTTAAGATATCTTTATGTAAGCTTATGCACTTATACATAATTTGGTGAGAATTTATCATCTATATCAAACTTTTTAGATTTCAATTTTAAAGAAACTACTAGTATTCAAGATGTTCTCATCAAATTTCATACACGAATACTAATTTCATGTTGGATTACTAATATACCCTCGGCGGGGCATTCATGTCCTATGGACATAATTCTTGTTTGTTTTTTTTTTAACCTTCGACCTTGATCTTTGCGTTTGACCTACATTTGGAAAAAAACTTTAACATTGGGCATAACTTTTGAACGGTGGAAACTAGGACTTTCATATATCACATTTATCTTCCATGTAATAAGGCCTTTCCTTGGGTACCAAAATTTTGACTTCATGACCTTGGAGTTTTGACATTTGGAAAAAAAACATTAACTTGCCTATAACTTTTGAACAGTTGCTGCTAAGGCTTTCATATTTCACATATGCATTCCTTGTTGCTATTATTTTTTTGTCCTCATGACATTGACCTTGGAGTATGACCTACTTTAAAAAAAAAAAAAAAAAAACTTTAACCTTGGCCATATTCTCTGAATGGTTGGCACTAGGGCTACAGTGTATTATACTAGTATATTATATGTGTATTCCTTGTGACAAGACCTTTTATTGGGTATCAAGATTTTTGAACTCTTGACCTTTGAGCTTGACCAACTTTAATCTTGGCTTTGAGCTCACATACGGGGTCATCATTGTTTCTCAAACACATCTTGTTTCAGTAGTAAACTTGTATGGACAGATCTTTATATCCCCCCTCGTCTGCTGCTATATAATTTTTCACAAATAATTTCCCCATTATTATGTCCCCTTTTTTGGTTCGCTAAAAGAGATTGTCTCTCTCTCTCTCTTTGTTTTCTTTTTATTTATTTATTTGTGGCCTTTTTTGTCTTGTACTGCAAGTTGGCTGTAATCTTTTTACTGCTGATATTCTCTAAGGTCACAAAATCCATTACCTCAAAGTATGCCCCCCTCCCTCACACCATCACACACACTTTTTATACTTTTCTTCTATTACAAATGTCTGCAATTCAACAAACTCAATCAGATACAAAATCTTGTTTTATACTCTGGAATGTACATCATATACAAATAAAGTGAGATCATTACAAATACTATATAACATTTTTGTATAAAAACATAAGTAAACAGGTCATCAATCTTGATTAAAAAAAAACAAAAATATTAATAGTCTAGTAAATAATGACTGCACAATATACAAATGCTCCAGTTTCACAATTTATACATATATCTTAAAATAGAAAACCTCTGTTTAATTGATAGTGTGGTCTTCAATAAATGTAAAGCTGTTCAATTTGACTTTTCCAAATTACAATCTGTACAAATAAATCCCATGTATACATTCAAAAAAGAATAATGTCTTTAAGAAAAATATTTTATGTCATAGTAAAAAAACATAATGATCTCATTTTGCTCTATGCATTCTAAAAATTTGGTTGTGAATATTACAGAGTGATCTCCTCCTTAAATTACATGTAACTCTGTCACATAATTAATGACACTGTATAAATCTAAATCAATCAGTAAAATATTCAAAGGGCTGAGACATTGGTTTGATTTTCAAACTTAGATAAATAAAAATAAAAGGAATATTAACTACATATTAGTTGTATTATAAATTAGATATGTAATACACAACATACTTTTGCTGTAAGTGAACACACTTGGGTACACAATTTGTTGTATCTTAATATCTCCACATAAAGTTGTAATATCAGGTTTTCTGTCATGGAATGTTTGTGAATAATACTGAGCTCTAACAGATACTTTACATGTCCTATATAAGGATGGATTAATCTGTCAAAGTGACAAGTTATTTCTTATGATTTCCAATGTATGAAGGTTTACTTTAATGTAAGATACAAAATTAAAGACATATTATTCCTACAGTGGACACATATTAGCTCTAATTGTTAAATGCCAACTTATACAAAAAGAAAAGAACTGAATACTTAAACTTTCATGTATTTGACTCTAGATTCTTATGCTACCTGTTTAACTTTTATGAATTTCAAGAGTTTAGAACTGTGACAATAGGCCTTTGGACATACAATGTTTAAACACTACATACTTATTTAACCTTTGTCATAGAGCTCTATTGAAAGAGAGTTAATATTCTGTACGACCATTACTAGCAGTAAATAAGGTTCTACCAAATTAAAAGGTCGTCCACTTGGGTTTCCTTAGTCTACTAAAAGTTCGGCCTAACAATGAAAAAACGATAGTACTATTTTGTGTGCTTTCTTTGGATTCCCCAAAATAAGACTTCAAATTTTATCGATGCATATATATGACATACTGACTATGGTTTAAAACTTGTGCAGTGTGAAAAATACTCTCTCTTTGGCACTTGTGAACACAAATTTAGGTTACATGAACGTTGTATCGTCATGGTTCTTTCCCTTGGCACGAGCCTCAAACAGGTCCCTTATCAGTGAGGCTTTCTCTTTCTCTAGCTGTACAATCTTATCTGACTTCTCTCGGAGTTCCTAAAAAAGAAATCTTAATCAATGAGCAGATTTCCCACACAGTAACCCTACACCAAATCAAATATCCTGACAGCATCTGCCATTTCAATTATTTTCTTGTCTGGTAAATGAAAAAAAAATTTTAATTGTTTGGCAAAAAAAAAAAATCACCATGAAAATATCAGTTTATTCTGTTGAGTTATAAAATTATTGTTAAAAAAACCTGCATTTTTTTTTTTTAGAGAACTAAAAATTCTACTTTTTTTTTTTTTAGTTTTTAACATAGGTAATCAAAGATTAAAAAGTTTACCTCAATCAATGTTGCCTATAAGTAAGACTAAATCTCACATTAATCAAATATTCTGGTAATGTGCATCCCTAGTAACATGCATAATCAATGCAAGTTCAGTGACAGCATGGCTAAAATGGACCTGCTCTAAATGTTTAACTTGTTCATTCACCTGGAAAATGTACGTCAGATAAAGGCTCAAGCATGTCATGATCTGTAATAAATCTGTAGTGTGCATCCCTAAATGCATCATCTATGCAAGGCTAGTCTAAGTTGTACTTATAGCTACTTGTGAATAAACCTTCTTCAGTAAATGTACATGTATATAAGATTCAGCATCCGAAGCAAGTCTGGTAGTGTGCATTCCTAGGTGCATAATCCATGCAAGGTTGGTCTAGGTTTGGTTATAGTTACTTGCAATTAAAACTGCTCCAACTGCTGTTGGTTAGATCCAGCATCCAGAGTAAGTGTGCATTCCTAAGACTCATCCAGAAAGTGTAGGTCAGACCCAGCATCTGAAGCTAACTGGAAATGTAAACCCCTGGATGCATCATCCATGCAAATTTGGTCCAGATAGGGTTTATAATTATACTAGAATGGATCTGCTCCACAAACTTTAACCTGGTCACTTTTAGAAAAGTAGATGAGATAGAGCAACTGAAACATGTCTGGTGGTGTGCATCCCTAGATGCATCATCCATGCAAATTTGGTCTAGGTTGGACTTATAATTAATTGGTAATGGATCTGCTCCAAAAACCTTGACATGGTCATTCATCCAGAAAATATAGGTACGTCAGATCCAGCATCCAAAGCATGTCTGGTAGTGTGCATTCCTAGATGCATCATCCACACAGGTTTGGTCAAGGTATGGCTTATAGTTACTTGCCAATGGACCTGCTCAAAAAACTTTAACCTGGTCACTCATCCAGAAAATGTAGGTCATATCCAGCATCCCCAGCATGTCTGGAAGTGGGTATCCCTTGATGCATCATCCATACAATTTAGTGTAGGTTGGGCTTATAGTTACTAGGGAATGAACTAGCTCAAAAAACTTTCACATAATCACCCAGAAAATGTAGGTCAGATCTAGCATCCAAAGCAAGTCTTGTAGTGTGCATCCCTAAATGCATCATCCATGCAAGTATGGTCAAGGTAGGGCTTATAGTTCCTTGGAAATGGACTTGTTTGAAAAACTTAAACTGGGACACTGGCGCCAACACCAAGGGGGAAAGCACAAGCTTTTATTGATTTCATCGAGGTTCAGCTAAAAATCAAATTGATCTCTTCGAAACAAAAGGTTGTAGACTCTGTGAGCCCCTCGTAAGCTCCTGGCTGGAAAGCATAGAACAAGTCTCACCTTTCTGAGTTGCTTCTGGTCATCCTGAAGAGTTTTCATAGATGTGGTATCTTCCCTTAGAGCACTGGAAGGCCCTACAGCCAAATTCATGTGGAGTGGAAAACCCTAACAAAACAATGGAGAAAAGTTTTGAAGACTGCAAGTTAATCTATGAAACACGTATTGTGGAATCATTTAAAGTTCTGGGGGGTTGGGGTGGGGAGGAATGTAAAATTTTACTGGTTTGTGGGGGCTTAATTTTTATGGTTAAAAGATACAACAGATACATCATCAAAGTTATTGTACACACTACACAGGGATAAGAGTAACCCACACAATCCACGAACATTGGTACCCCAGGGACACTGATGATTCACAGTACCCTTATAAGCTTATATTACAATACTGAAAATATATTGGCTCTTTTATAGGCTGACTGGTCCCTGTAATGTCTATTTTACTTTCCTCAACCTCTTATTATTTTATATATGAAATATGAAACTTTTATAATTTTATTACATCATATTTAATTCCCATATCTATAAAGCTTATCAATAGATTTTTTTATGTATAACTTCAGTTCAAAACAGAGAGTACCTTTGGAGAATTTTCTGCATAAAACCCCAATAGAACTTACCCTCTCAGAACTCTCTATGAGAGTCTTGAGTTGCTGATTGACTTCCATAATCCTAGCAGACTGGAAGTTCATCCTCTCCTGGTTAGCCTCTAGGTTGTAGTCCTGAAAAAAAAAAATCACATTTACAAAGACTTTTCATACTAAGGTACTTAAAGTGATGAAAATGTACTTAAAGTGATGAAAACATTTCATCCAAGTTTTTACTCAATTTTTATACATTATTTCTGAGTAAAATCATATTTATTAAAAAGTTAAAATAAACTTTATACTAACAAACAATGTATCCTAGCATCATTTAACACCAAGAAAGACGCTTCTGCATCTAATATGGCTGACATTTATGACACTTTTTTTGAATCAGCATTGCCTTGATATGTATGTTTTAATGCTATGCTGTGTATGTTAGTATTTAGTGTCGTATCAAAGGATGACCTCATTTTAAATGGGGCACAGACCTCAAGGGCCAAGATTGGTTTTAGTCTTTATAAAAATCAATTTCCATTCAAGTTAATGACTTCAGGCTAAAAACATGTACAAATTGGCTTCTCATAGTCAGATAATTTTATCTCTAGTCAATGCATGTAGGATGAAGAGACAGGAGGAACCTTTTCATAAACTTTATCTATGTAGCTTTATATTGTTGATAAATTTTGACTTCTTTTTAATCTTGAAAAAGTTTTGATAGTTTTCTTTACTTTTCATTGTATTGATAATGTCTATAGCAATAATTCTCTTTAGTTTACAACATAATTCAGAAGAAATAATAACCGGAAGTCTCTGATGACACTGTAGCTCTAATGGTTTGTACTTGTAACAAAGGATGAGAAAAGTAGCACTTGGATTTGAAACTTTGTAAAAGCAATAAATAGAATAATGATCCTTAGTTTTGTGATGTCTTCAAGCACTATCAAGATATTATGTCATAATGGAATATGACATCAAATCACTGCAAGCTTGAGCTGTCATGATGGGGAGTAGGGTCAGAAACTTTGCTCCTGATCTTCCCCAACCAACCACTTTTTATTACAAGAGTAATATTTTGCTGTTAAGGAGATGGGCGAACATAGCGTGCAGAAAGCCTATACCTTCAGATATATAAAAGTCATGTTCAATTTGTGAATTTTATTTAGAGTAAAGTTCTTATTATTGAAATTTATAAAATCATGATAAACAAAACTTTTCTGAGGAAAATTTTCTCGGCAAAATTTATTCTTTTATTAAAAAATAATATGGTATTCGTGTGGCTCGAACCCTAGCAATAAAATCCTGAGGATAATTTTCTTTCAAGACTAGCGCGCTAACCACTAGACTACACAAGTCGTGATGAATAGTGGCATTTAAATCATGTTTGAGATATGACCCTCGACTTAATGGACTTCAAGTATTTCTTGAAAAGATGCGACTGTTATGTCATAAAAGTATATTTTTAAGGTGTAGTGGGTCTTTGCTCCATATTTTTGTTGACCAAAAAATGTTTATTTTTATGCAAACTATGAAGATTAACTTTAAAAAAAATGGAGCGAAGACCCACTCATATCGAAAAATAGTTTTATAGTATGAGAAAATGGCTCTTTTTGGCCTCTTTAGGGTGTGTATAATATTTCATAAGCAAATAATTTTATCGTTGTGAGATTTTTGCCAATTGTAGAGATTTTACTTAAAGTATATTTTAATGTTAGATGAAATATCAAGGAAAATTTTGATATAATTGAGATTTAATTTTTTACCTTCATGTTTGTCACACTATAGGCTTTTTGCTCGTCATGTTCACCCATCTTCTTTAATATGGAAATTTTCATTGTTAGACAAGTGCCCCTTCTATTTCTTGTTGCTGTATGGTCCAATCCTCAGACACTAATGTAATATCTCGAAAAAACTGATGGAACCGACAACCCTTCCTCCCCCAAAATAGGAATTTCAAGTCTGGGCAATTTTTCCTTCTTTAACTTTTGTCAATTTTTTTCAGTATGTTGTCAATATTTTCCCCCTCCCCTCCTTTGGAAAACAATGCTATATGCCTTGCATGGCCTATGTATTCTCAAATGATATGAGGTGTGGCCTATGTACTGTATACTCACATGATTTGAGGCATCCTATGTACTGTATACTCACATGATATGAGGTGTGGCCTATGTACTGTATACTCACATGATTTGAGGTGTGGTATGTACTGTATACTTACATGATATGAGGTATGACCTATGTACGGTACTATATACTCACATGATATGAGGTGTGGCCTATGTGCTGTATACTCACATGATATGAGGTGTGGCCTATGTACTGTATACTCGAACGATATGAGGTGTGGCCTATATGTACTGTATAGTACACTCACATGATATGAGTTGTGGCCTATGTACTGTATAATCACATGGTATGAGGTGTGGCCTATGTACTGTATACTCACATGATATGAGGTGTGACCCAGGTAATGTAAACTCACATGATATGAGGTGTGGTATGTACCGATACTCACATGATATGAGGTGTGGTATGTACTGTATACTCACATGATATGAGGTGTGGCCTATGTACTGTATACTCACATGATTTGAGGTGTGGCCTATGTACTGTATACTCATATGATATGAGGTATGACCTATGTACCGTACTATATACTCACATGATATGAGGTGTGGCCTATGTACTGTATACTCACATGATATGAGGTGTGGCCTATGTACTTTTGTTTCTCCTCCACTGCCACCACCTGTCGGTGGTACCACCCCCTCGCTTGCTCCACCATGTCTAAACCTTTCAGTAAACTGTCTTTCTCTTGCTCCAATTGTTTCATCCTTTTAATCTGTATACAACAATTTTCAACTTCTGGATACATGTATAATTCAGAATTCTCTATATAATACTTAAGTCAGGATAAGTAATTAATATCTTGTGTAGTAACTCACAAATTAAAGTTTAACTTCAGTATCTTGAACAATGATATCTCGAATACCATGGATATGTCGAAGTAATTTGGAAGTCCCAAACCCTTATTTTTTAAGTTATTTATCCTAAATATCATTGGATGTCTCAAAGGTTTTTTTTTGTTTTTGGTCCCATCGAGTTCGAGATAACAAGGTTTGACTGTACTATAAATCTGGAAATCTGATACTGATTACAGCATTGTTATGTAGTTTTTATATACATTGTACATATCTCGTGAATATACCATATTATAGTCCACTCCATTGGCTAGGGTGTGTCTGCGAGCAGAGTCTCTCCTCTTGACAGTGACCTGCCTCTGTTGTGGTGGTGAAGTGGGGGTAGATGTGGAGGGAACTGCTTCCTGTCTTAATAAGCGTACCTGCTCTATGTTCTCTGCAAAGTAAAATTTCATGGTAGAGTCAAGAAAATCAATATACTTACATGAAGAAGGGCAATTACGCTAAGGATTACCTCCCTTTTTCTCTCTCTCTCAATGTATGCAAATAAGCAAGCATATTTGGGGCCACTTCTAAGTCATATTACATTAATCTTGAGTTTAAAAAATAGACTAGATTATGCAAGAAAGAAAAATGAGAAAAATGCAAATACATGAGTAAAGTATAATTATCTTTGATAAATATAATTACAAATGGAAAGAACTTCACATAACTGTGTCATACCTTAAATTGTGCAGTGCATGAAATGTTGGTCAATCAAGCAAAATTGCTATTATTCAAAGCAGATGCTAATATGAGGGCAACGAAAAATCAGTCACACAATCTAAAGAAATTCGACAGTTGCCACAGTAGAATTTTATCGATTCAAACTGCAGAGACACTACTGCTAAATTTTTAAGTCACTCATTGTGTAAAAAGTCATGTTCCGTGTCCATGATCCTTCATAAATTTAACTAATATCTACTTGTTCCACATATGTATATATATAAAAATATATATATATATATATATATATATATATATATATATATATATATATATATATATATATATATATATATATATATAACTAAAACAAAACACACTGACAAACTACACATAGATTTATGATAGAACATGAAGCCAGCTGTGAAACAAGTTACCGTGATGATAATGCTGATGATATAAATGACCTACAATAATAAAATTCTCTCACGTTAGTAGAATATATGTACATGTATGAAGTGTTAATAAATTAATACATGTATACAATATATCATATTTATAAAGATTTTACACTGTGTTCTCATCATTATATGTGGTGCATTTTTAATTATGTGAAGTTTTCTATCACTTAATATTAATATCATCATGGATTACAAAGGACCTTCTAATGATGAAAGGACTAATGGTACCTGAAGTTTATTAATGCTTGTCATTATCATCCTAAAAGAAACACTACAGTGGAAACTAGATATCATTGAGAGGGTGCTCATATCAAAGGACCCCGCTTCTAGTGAAGGACTTTAGAAAGAAAGGGACTTGTAGTTGTAAAGGATTGAAAATGGAGTTTGACCTGTGACTAATAGGCCAAAGAAAAAATATGTTTGCTTATGGTTACAAGCAAAGCAGAAAAAAATGTCTGGAAATCTAACTGACTGAATGATGGAGTAACAGAATGATGGAATGACGCAGCTATGTTAAGGCTGTCCAAAGGCTTAATAGGCATTAAAATATACATTTTATTTTGAGCTAGATTTTAATTTCAATTTGTAATATATGTATGAATTTGCAGTCAACTTGTGATGAAAGTGTAATAAGGAATTATAATAATGCATTTTTGTGATGTCTCATGACTGTTGATCACGTGAAGGACATTTATAAATTCCTAAATGTTGCACAAAAATCACATCGGCACAAGTGCAAAACAACATTATTGAGAAAAATTTATCACATAAGTCAATTCATCGTGAGATCTTTGGTACATATTAAGTGCGGGGGGCAAGTTTGAATTTTACTTCTTGAGAAAATATTCCATGAGAAATTCAACTTACTCACATACAAGGGAACATTTTCCACTCTTTATCACAATTATACAAAATAGGATAAATAACATACAATCCCCCAGAAAAATTCAGTTAGAGGACACACTTCTCTAGTAGATTCACACAGAATAACTTCAGTTCATTTTTATTAATCACTTGTGCCAGTCAAATATATGCACGATTTATAAATTCCAACTCTGTTCATGGATGTGTAAGAGGGAGCATTTCACATTCATTTTTTTGTTATTGTTTGAAGATATGTATATCAGACAAGTTAAAGGAAAAACGATATCAAATTGCAAATTTTCAACATCATAACAGCACACTTAAGCTTTAATCCAGACACTTGAATCAAACAACAACGCTAAAAAATATTTAGTTACATGGCATGTGAAAGGGATGTAAAAGTTATGACACTTTCCCCGTCATGTCAGCTTAAGTATGCAATGACTTGACTTCATATGCTATTATGGCATCATATCTAGGTAGTTCAGAGAAGTTACTACAGTTGGAACAGTTTGATATTTTACGAACAGCCTTATCCTAGCCATGGAGAGACAGAAAGGGGTTACACTATATGCTTCAGTCATTTCATGGCGGAGGCATAATAAAAGCAAAATCCTACCTATACCGACCCTATTATTTATTAGCATATACACAGGTAATAGCAAATAAACATTAGGACTTACAACTTTACTCATGGCCACACTATGAGTATAAGGTATTTAAATTTAGCCAGATGGGGACAAGAGGAGAAAAATTATGCTCTGGACAAAGATTTTACATAAGATTTGCTATGACCTTGACCTCTGATCTATAGATATGGTTAAAGGTCATTGCACATCCCTTATCTAAAGGCACTCTATGGGTGAAGTATGATTCTGATAAGACCAAAAGAATTGAGCTGTGGAGAAGCATATTATATGGAGATTTGTTTTACCTTGACATTTGATCAAGAAAATTTCTTTAAGGTCACTAACTCACAATAGGTGAAGTATGATCTACTGAACAGGCCTGGGGGGAAATGATTTCAACCAGGGTTTGATAAATAAGCCTGTCCAACTGACCCAGTCAACAAAATGAGTGGTCTGGTTATGTAATATATATGTGAACAAGGCCTATTAGTCTTTTGGATAAAATAAATGTACTAAACCATTATTTTAGTCTTTAAACTAAACATTCTAAAAACTGTGATTTTATCACTTGTCAATTGTAAACACTCAACCATCGCTATGTAAAGGAAAATTTCCCTGCATGACACAGTCACTATTTTTAGCCATGGCCTTAATTTTTTTTAATTTCCATTGGTGAAACAGTCTATCAAAAGACACAGTAGTTAATCTTGAGTGGGAAACAAGGTCTTAGTGAAAATATAAGAAGTAAATATGCAAGTTTGGTCAGGTCCAGTGGTTTTATGGTCAGGTGCTGGTCTAGTGAAAATCCTGGAAAGTAGCCCGACTGGACTAGTACTCATAAAACTTAATGTCACATTCTTACATCACTGTGTCATCACACAAATCTGCTTTCACCTTGATCTCTGACCTAAAAACTTGGTTCAAGATCATTGCATACCCTTAGAAAAGGACACTATATAGATTACCGGTACGCATGAGCCAGAGAGGGCCAAGGGGAAAGAAATTATTTCAAGACAAGGATTTCACACAGATATTTGCTATGACCTTGACCTTTAACCTAGAAAAATGGTTCAAGGTTACTCCACACCCTCTATCAACAGGATGAAGTAAGAGCAAGATTTGGCTATAGGTAATAAGAAAGTATGCTCTGGACAAGGGTTCTATACAGAGCTTTTTTTTTCTCATGTGGAAACTTGGTTCAAAGTCACTGCACACTCTCTACCCATGCCAAGCACTCTAAGGGTTAAAGATGTAAGATCAAATCTTTAGATGATAATATCCTAGGTAAAAAATACTTAACACTTGTGGACCAATCATCTTTAAGTATGAGCAAGACTGGGCAGGTGAGTGAGGAGAGAGAAAATATAATTCGGACAAGTGATATCGTATGGACAAATGGATGGACAGACTGATCAATATAGGCAGGGCCCTAATGAACAGAACACCATATAACACTGTGTTGACATTATCATACACTACAAAAACTTAGTTCTAAAAGGATAATTAGACTAGCACTGCATACACTGATGAGATCATGGCATATATAATGTCTATAATCCTCACATAAAACAGTCTTGCCCCTGGTGAAACAGGTCTTATGCATGTACATGTTGTACTTTATATCTGTACATGCATAAGGCACTTGCTTACTGATGAAGTGTTGTAGGCGTATATAGGGCACCTTATTTGCAAGTCTCGTCTTGCATCACTTGCGTTTTTTTTTGTTTTTTTTTACATTATAGTTGTTGTATCGTATATTGGTACCTTTGTATTTTATAATGCCAAGTCTTTGTAAGTGATGGATGACGAGACTTGCAAATTAGGTGCCGATTACATTAATGGAATAATGTAATGTGACTGAATAATTTACAAAATTTATATACAAAATTTACCATAGGTATTGTTCTGCCTCCCTCTTTCCCCTCTGTCCAACAGATTGGAATCACTCTTTGTGGACTGTAGGCTTTTTGTAGCCTGGCTTTGATCGTTGGCTTGATGGTTCATTCTCCTCTGCCAATTCTTCAGTTCCATGATGATATTCTTGCTTCTATCTCTGGGGGGAACCTTTGGAGGAATTTGTCCATCACTATTCACAGATGAATGAGTGGTTCTTTGAGGTCTTGGAGGAGGAATTGGCTTTTTAGGTGGTAAATGACTTGGTGTCTGATTTGATTTACTTTCTCTTGTTTTGTCATACTCTGTCCTTTTGTATGCCTTCTGTTCGAAACCGTTTCTCTCTTTACTATGACTTGAGATGGCATTGTTTGGTCGCACTGCTGCTGTGTTTGTTGCACCAGAGGGCATTCTGTTTAGAGCATGATTGGATGATGACCTTGTCAGTATTGCATCTCTTGGGGCAGCAACTGGTTTGCTTGCATGTTTTAACTGCAAGTCTTTGACAGGCTGGCTATTTTCTTTATCATCTCTGAGATCTTTGGGTTTCTTCTGGCTGGTCAATAATGCCAATTTTAAACCTGCTACAAATCTATCAAAACTGAGGTATCCATTCGCTGGAGTAACTTTTCTCAAAGCTTCAGTTACTCCGCTTGGAAGTCCCCTTACCCCTTCTTCATGCCATCGTGCTTCAATGTCAGAAAACTTCACGTAGCCACAGTTCCTTTCATCAAGAATATCGAATAGCACTTTCAGGGAGGAAATAAACTGCTTAGGGAGCCCCTCAATGCTATTCCATGCAGTGACGCTCGTCATTTTGATTTTATTACCTTGCTGACATCAGCTCACCTGTACAAATTGGTCTAAATCATAGTAAATGGTCAATTGTTATTTCCATTGGCTAAACCAATTTCCGGTCGACAGGTAAAACTTTTAATTATTTCATACATATAATATTCGGACAAAATGTTATTTCTTAAAAGGACAAATGTAATTTTTAAGTCTAAACGTTAATTGTATTATCTTTCATTATGTCTTAGGGAATTTGTTTCTGTTTAAAAAAAAAATTAAGCAATCAAAGCCTTTGTCTAAAATACAATAAAATGCAGTCAACCGAATAAAAACAGTGCGAATAACTGCGCTCCAACATTTTTGATATGGTGCCATTTTCTTCATAATTCTTCTGCAAATTACAAGCAATTTTTTAGTCAAGAGGCATTTTTCTGCAGATTTATCATTGTTCTTTTTGAACAACTGTTGGTAAAGGTAATATATGGGGGGATTTGACATTTGAATAAACAGGTACAATGCAATGTTTGGAGGGTGTCTAGCAGGTTATCACCACCACTACTAACCTGTGAATGTAATAACTATTAAGGGACCAATTCTTTGTCTTTGGAACATTTTATTTTCTGTAGCAGAAGTTAATGACTGTGTGATTTTTTTTTAAAATGGAGATTATGAACATGCATATATCTTTGTGTTTTCTGAGGGGAGGGGGGGGGGTTAAAAGTGAAAGTTGATCTGTGCAGGAAAATGCGAAAGGGAGAGAATATTTTTTTTTAGCTAATGGGTGATTAAAATCGAATGTTTCATAGCAATTTAAGAAAATACATAATTTTTTCAAATGGAAAATATGTATTACATAGATCTATTGTAAATTTTTGTGTTGTACTGTATCTTCAGTAACAGAGTTGTCAAAAACTATCAGTCCTGTCAGAAGGCTGGTAAGAAATTTGGACCAATAGAGTGAATTCACCATGGATCACACCTCTTCTTACTTTATATTATAGAAATTGTCTGGACCAATAGAGTTAATTCACCATGGATCACACAACCTCTTATTTATAGAAATTGTCTAGACCAATAGAGTGAATTCACCATGAATCACACAACCTCTTATTTATAGAAATTGTCTGGACCAATAGAGTGAATTCACCGTGGATCACACACCCTCTTATTTATAGAAATTCTTTGGACCAAAAGAGTGAATTCACCATGGATCACACAACCTTTACTTTATAGAAATTGTCTGGACCAATAGAGTGAATTCACCATGAATCACACAACCTCTTATTTATAGAAATTGTCTGGACCAATAGAGTGAATTCACCATGGATCACACAACCTTTACTTTATAGAAATTGTCTGGATCAATAGAGTGAATTCACCATGGATCACACAACCTCTTACTTTATAGAAATTGTCTGGACCAATACAGGGCTCGACATTAACTTTTTTACCTACTTGTCCATTCGGACAAGTGACCAAGACATTTACTTGTCCGAACTTCAACTTCACTTGTCTGAAAAATTTTCAATAAAGATCTAATACTGTTAAGTGAAAAACTAAATATAAAGTCCATTACATGTGCATGATGTTATTTATAAATACAACAAACACATAAAACAAAATTTTATCTAGACTTTCTGTCCTGACAACATAAATGCTGTCAACATAAAACAGAATCCAAACTTCGTCAGTTCCATGCCTTTCCAGTAGTATGCAATTAGTGAACTTCGATCCCGATCGAGTGTACTCAATAACATAGCAATCTATATGGGGATCGAAGTTCGGTTTTTATGTTCTGTTTCCGTCTTAAAGTACCTGTAAACTTTCAACAGTCGTTCTTTTAAATATTTAGAGACTAATTTACATAAAAATGCACTTGTCCAATCAAACAAGTGCCCAGCAATATTCACTTGTCCGTATTTTTTTTTCACTGGTATCGGACAAGCGTACAAGCGTTAATGTCGAGCCCTGCCAATAGAGTGAATAGTGAACTCACCATGAATCACACAACCTCTTATTTATAGAAATTGTCTGGACCAATAGAGTGAATTCACCAAGGATCACACAACCTCTTATTTATAGAAATTGTCTGGACCAATAGAGTGAATTCACCATGGATCACACAACCTCTTATTTATAGAAATTGTCTGGATCAATAGAGTGAATTCACCATGGATCACACAACCTCTTATTTATAGAAATTGTCTGGATCAATAGAGTGAATTCACCATGGATCACACAACCTCTCATTTATAGAAATTGTCTAGACAAATAGAGTGAATTTACCATAAATCACACAACCTCTCATTTATAGATGTTGTCTGGACCAATAGAGTAAATTCACCATGGATCACACACCCTCGTACTGTATAGAAATTGTTTGGACCAATACTTATAGGGTGAATTTACCATGGATCAGACACCCTCATACTTTATAGAAGAATGAATGCAATATACCTAATACAGTGGCTATTTTGTTCTATTTTGATATGCCAATTCAATGTATTGTACATTTCACAGCTGGTAGAAAAAAAGCCTTGATTAAGGATGCATAGATGAAGGTCACATGTGCAACAGAGATGGCTTTGTGGCCAATAAAATTCATTATGAAGTTACTCTTCATGAAAAAAGTTTAAGATGAAAAAAACGTTGAAAACGATAAAAGGCATTTTAGTCTAGTTACTTTTTTTCTTTCTGTTTGAAATAAGTAAAGTTACATGTTTCTGATCTGACAAAACTTTATCTGGTGTGGACAGACCAAATGTCTGACAGTAAATTAGAAACTATGACAACTCTCTGTAAACTCTCTGGTTTAGAACAATCATGCATTTAAAATATTGAAAATTAAGAGAACAATCTAAATAGGATTTAATTTTTTCCCCAAGGAATTTTGTATGATGCTATTTTTCTACTAAATTGAGTATCCTGTTTTCATAATTTTAATTATAGAAGTGAATCATTTGAATACTTTCCAATCAGTAAATTTTAGAAGGTGTAATATACCTTACTTTGAGCACTTCTACATGACCTACTGCTGATTTATGTAAATATTCATGAAAGATTCAAGAAGATTATTAATTGCCGCTTATTTTACAGATTTGTATTCAAAGCAACCAATGCCAAATTTGCTAGAAGTTGAAGTAAAGAACGTCACAAAATGAATCACTTAAGAGGAAATTTTGGACAAGGGCTTCTTGGAAATTCTCCAGCTTCTTCAAACTTCTCTATCCATGATCAGAACAGATTCCTAGGGGGAGATGGCTCTTTTCTTGGTAACCAGGAAAGTTACATTGGAGATGGAGGAGGATATGCCAGGGATTTGGGAGACAGTGGAGGAAGAATGGGAGATGGAAATAGTGGGGGTTATTTTGGTGATACAGACTTGAGAGGGAATTCTTTTAGAGAACAGATTAATGGCAGTAGTCGATATGGGGATGGTGGCATGAACTTAAATCGAGGAAACAGAAGATTAAGTGGAGACCATGATTACAGGAATGAGGAAGACTTTTTCTCAGGGAGAAACTCCATGCAGGGAGGGAGACAGGATAGATTGTCAGGGGGAGGCAGCTTTGGTGAAGACAGGGGCAGGGGAGTTACACAAGATCAATTGAACAGATTAGGAATAGGAGGATTAGGACAAAGTGTTAGGACTAAAACTCAAGGCATTCTAGGATCAGGACCAATTGTAGGAGGTGATACTGATCTTCGAGTTCAAGGTACAGCTTCCAGGAAAATTTATATACTATAATCATAGTGGTGAATCAGAAGGTTAGAGAAAATATTAAATCAGGCTGTTTTGATTAATAAGTTTAACATTTCATTTTCCTAGGTGGATTTGGTGGGATTGGGAGCCAGGCCAGAGGTGGGAATGTGCAAGGTGTTGGAAATCTTGGCTTTAGTCCCCCAAATATGGGAGGTCAAGGTATGCAGCAACAGAGTGGTGGACTTGGACTTCCCTTGGCTGGCATGGAAACCAACTTGCTGAATCTACAGATACAACAGAAACAGCAGGAGGCTGTACTGAGAGATACACAGCTACAGATGGTGAACAATCTACTGCTACAACAACAAAATAAAAGAGGCAAGTACAGAGGCGGATTTCCAAGATACCAGGGGTGTGCAATAAGCATCGCCCGATGCCCGGGGCTACCAATTCTGGGGGTCGGGCTAGTGGTTTTCTGCAGGGAGGTAGCCCCTTGGGCTAGTAGGAATTAAAACTACACATGTAATACATGAAAAGCACAATCGGTATTTTCACTCATTTTTTTGCTATTAAATTCCCAACCAGTGAAAATTTTCCACGCAGCATGCTCCTATTGTCCATAAATCTCCACAATCTTTTCCATTTTGCAGTACTATACCTGACTTATTGACTTCAAAAAACGATCGTTTTTTCCTAATCTGAATTTCCTTCATTCCTTTGTTATGGTAAATACATGCAGATATCTCATTATATTATTTACGATCACTCAATCAGCTGAAAGATAAGTGTTGTGTAATTAACATAAAATATATTTCCAGTGTATTTAATGATTTAAGATGAAAACAAAATGATTTTTGCTTCATTTTAGATGAGCTTAGAGCAATGATCAGAAAAAGGGAAGATTCAAAATCTGTTTTATTTTCTATCATAATCATTAATTTATATATGATTAATCTTTACTAGCGAGAATTAAACTTTAATTTTAAAAAGAATGACCTTAGTACCCTGACTTTTTCAACAATTAACTTTTTTTTCAATATTATACATTTATTGACTGGGTTCGAGGGCAACATGCGTTTTGTCGGACCCAAGAACCAAACCCTCAGGCAAACAGTTTGGTTCTTGGGTCCGACAAAACGCATTTTGCCCAAGAACACAGTCAATAAATGCTTTGTTTTACCTTTTATTTATTTTTTTTTTGACATACATGTATGTCAAACACCAACGAATGCAAATGAGATTTAGCTGACCCCGCCCGCTATGTGACGTAAGCAGTCCAACATCTCATCGACAGGTCCAATATCTCACTCCGCGGTCAAACATCGATTTTTTAATGCCCGCTCAGTAAAATATTGGAAATGTTAGACTTTTATTAGTATTGATTTATATAGGAACAAATTTTTAAAGGTATAACAATAGTTTTTTTTCTTTTTTTTTGCCTCTAAATATTTGGGCTAGGAACTTTTTACTTGGGGCTAGTAAATCTATTGCTGCCACTAGCCAATGGGTTAGTGCTTGAATTTTTTAATTGCACACCCCTGGATACATATACAAATTGTCTGTATGTAAAATGGTCAAATTTGGAGGCAATTCTCTGATCATTCTCAGTGATTGGGAAGGGCTTGCACCATGCCCCATAGTCACATTGAAGTGAAAAAATGAAGCAGGAAATCAACCACTGGCAGCACCAAGGTGCACATTCAAATTTTAGCAATGTCTGTTGGAAAACTGTCTTAATCGCTTTACTTTTGTTTTAAATGCAGTCATTTTAGTACAACAAATCTCATTGGTTAAAACTCATCAAAATCTGCTTCCTGTTAAATGAAGCTTATTATAGGACAATAGTTGTACATTACCTCACTCATTTTGCTCAATCCAAACTTTGGCATTATTGATCCAAAAATACGGGTAAATCATATTGTATGTGGGTTCCTTTAAATGTGCTGTACTACATATGTGAAAAATTAAGATTAAGTTAATTTAGAAAAATTTTTTCTTGCATATTTCCTATTTATTTGTCATTTTCTTATTTCTTAAAATGGCCCCTCAGAATATGTAGATGGCCCATTCATTTTCAAAATAGCCCATTAAAATTTTTGACACCATTGACCTTGATGTTCTTCCCAATCACTGCATTCTTGATGCATCTATTTTTGGCTGTAGTTAGCATTTGATAAAAGATGGTAAAATTTTAAATTCTACTATTCCTTTGATATTCATTGTGTTTTACTGATGTATTTCTCTGATGTTCAGTTGTCATACATTTTTTGACATATTTTTTGGTTTGTTTGTTTAGATGATTGTTAAAATTCTTTTTAAAACAATGTGTCATAAATTATTTGATAAATATTGTTTTTCAATGAAAAGGAAATCAATTGAATCCTGGATTTGGAGGACCAAGCCTTTTTGGAACCCCCCAGAATTTACCATCAGGATTGATGGGAAGTCCTGGTGGTAAACCAAGAAGCACAGGTCACATTCCTTCACTGCTGGACATCAATACAAAGAAACCACAGGGAAAGAGAGGGTTCTCAGGACAGAGGGACCAGGGAGGGTTCAAAAAACAAAGAATGACACCACAGAAGGTACCTGGTATTTTGGCATGAATTTCATCATGTAATTATCATATTCCTCACCATTTACTATTGATTTGGCTTCCTTATACAAACATTTTGTAAAGATTCTTGTGCAAATTCTAATCTCTGGATTTTTTTTCCTATATGAAACCTCCTGGATGGTTGTTATACTAAGGAATGGATATCTTTTATGACAGTGGATGTGTTTTTTCTTCATCAATATAAACAATGTATTTCAAGATTTGGGAAATAATTGGGTTTGGCTAATCTTCAAGATTTGTTCAGACATATACAGTAATGAATTTCAATTGATCCTGTCTATTTTTTATGCAGTGTAGTTGTTGCTCTTCAAGATTTTCCTTTTTCTTCACTGAAATTCAAGTGTCATAAACATATAAATTAAAATTAATCATCAGAATTGTGCTGCTTTGCTATGCTTATTATGGAAAATAATTAAAAATACAAACAAAATGCCTGAATATCATGTATGTTTTGTGACTATTGTCAAAGATAATGTTAATGTTGTTGAAATATTTTAGTTTCTTTTGTCTCCTTTGGTCACCAAGTGAAAATGTCTGGACTTTCAGGGACCTCTAAATCCTCCTCATTTTCATAGATTGTTTTTACCTGAGTAAGGTACATTAATGCAAAACTGTATTATCTCATGGAAAATGCCTGATATGTGCTTCTTTCCAATATGGATTATTGACTAATACTCATCATTTTCATTTTCAAGTTTGAGCTTTCTCTTGTTCAAGTTTATCTACAGAGTAACCCAGTGCATTTTTTTATTTTGAAAACCTTTGAATTCACAGTTTTATCAGATGTTTATGAAGTTGGTCCTTCTTTCTCTTACCAGTTTGCAATGTTGTTAGTTCTAGTATGTTATATGCTATTTTGTTCTTCACATTTTACTGTTATGTTAGGTGGAAGAAATATAACTTGTTATTAGATTTTGTTTTTTCATTTATTTTTTTTATATCTTAATACTTTATCATAAGTAATTTTTCATAGATATTGGTTGTTATTAGCAGAAAAGTTATTGAAATGTCTGATGACAAGGTTTTGGTAAGCTGGGGTTACAGATGGCATTAAATTTCTTTGTATAAAGATAACATACTAATTTACCATTAGCAGCCACAGTTGATCATTTTGATTGGTTCACCTATTCATCATTTAGTTTGATTGAAGAAATACAGTCTCATGTTAAAAGTATTCGTAAAAAACAAAATGGCAGCGATGTAATCAAAACTAGGTCATCAATGTTTTTTCTTCAGTCTACATCATTTTATAAGTTTAACCTTATCTCAATATTTTGTTAAACACTCCATATCCTTTATTACTGCTTGGATTCTGCGTGGAATGCTCCTGTAAATGTCCTGGATGAAGTTAGGATGATATTTTCCCATACCTATTGTATGGCTGTTTCCAGGTCATTTGCGGTTCTCAAATTCTGTACCCTTTTACACAGTTTCTGTTTTTAAGTTTTCATCAACAGTTTTCAATTGTATTCAAGTCGGGGCTTTGAGCAGGCCATTCCATTGTCAGAATATTCTCTTGTTCCATAAATTCCTTCACAGACCTGGCCCTATGAACGGGGGCATTGTCATCTTGAAATAGGTAATCATTTGATGGAAAATGTGCTGCAACAACAGCCAAAGATGATTGTCAATTATCTCTATATATTTCTGAGCATTTATGTTCCCATCTACAATACAAAGTGTGCCGACTCCATTGTAAGTAATGCATCCCAAGATCATTAAATCCAAACATCGCCCAGCGGGTGGTGCAATACAAGGTGGGTCCCATTCCTCTCCGGCTTTTCTCCATACATATATTCGTCGTTTGCCATCGATCATAACCTTACATTCATCTGTAAAAATTACTTTTTTCCAGTAGTCATCCACAGTTCTCTTCTTTGCTTCTTTGCACCATTTCACACACTTTATTTTATTCACTTCGCGCACACACAAGTCTCCTTCTGTATCCATCTCTATTTAAAATTCTTTTCACAGTGCTTTCTGAGACAGTTCCAGGATCAGTTTCATTTCTTCTAACATTCGTTAATTCTGTTAAACTTTGCTTGCAATTCATTTTCACCATCCGAAAAATTTGTCGTTCATCCTGTGCACTGCATTTTTTTGGGTCGGCCACTTCTTGGTTTGTTTTCAACATCTCCAGTTGTTCCCTGACGATTCAAAAACACATGGACTGTTGATAATGGCCTTCCGATAATATCCAATATTTCTTGTAGCGTCAAACTTGCTTTTCTAAGTGATAAAATTGACTGTTTCTCTTCCAAACATAATTCCTTCCCCTTTCTACCCATGGTTGTTTACAGTCCGAAAGTAACTAATGCAGATGACAAAATACGTCATCAACTAATCACGTGATAAATGTCTCTCCTAGTGAAGTTAGATATGGATTAAGAGAGATAACTCTACTTTTGTTTCTGAAAACGATGTTGAAAACAAACGTTTTACCGAATTTCAACCTGAGCGACGCCATGTTTTTATGAATACTTTTGACACGAGACTGTAGATGTTGAATCATAATGATTTTCCCTAAGAATACCATTGCAATACTGACCTAGCTGAGATTACTGATATAAAGATCCTGGGTTTTTTTTTTATAACAGCTTTAAGGTACAGCTGTATATTTTCAAGTCCTTAAAGGATTTCCATACTGGAAGTAAACATATTTGGCTTTATTTGCTCATGTATGCTCATCTGCTGAATGTGAAAATGCGGAGAAAATAATAAAAATGGAACATATAGCAGCATGAATCAGTGATTTTTCAACCATGTTAATTCCTGTTCTTGATATGCAAGCTTCTGCAATGATCAGGATAAAATTTGTTCTCTCCAACAGATACCTTTACTGCATTTGGGTGATGAACAATGTGAAAATATGATGTTTACTATTATGATGCATTTCTTGAAGTTATTCAGGTTATGGAGACATCCTTCCTCTTCAGAGAAGTTAATTATAGAAATCATTAGAGATTCTTTTGAATTCATTGTTAATCCCCTTATACTTACAGACTTTTAACAAGTCTTGACTGCATGTAGGAATTATCATATTGGAATACTTTTGCCTTGCATTTTGTATTCATGAAATATATTTATTTTTTCATCTAACTCAGTATATCCTCTGAATACAGCCAGGGTGGATAGAATGAACTCAAAAGTTTACCTCTGTTCAACATTAAATGTGAATTACTTTTGTTTGGATTCAGATGTTATAATAAATTCTAGCTGTTTCTGAGTACAATTAATTCATTTTTCAACAGAGGAAGATAGTTCTGAAGAAGACATCCATGGACAAGCACCAAAAGCCCACCAAAACAAGAACAAAATCCCAGTCTTCTTGTAGATCAATCTTGATGCCAGTCCTCTTCAATTTCTTTTTATTTTAGTCCAAGTTTATGCCAAAAATTTGTTGAAGGTCTTTTATAATATCTTTGATTTCTGTATTTCATTTAAAAGTTTTACATATTATCCACTATAAATATAGCATCCTGTGTGTTGGTTACTGTTAGGAATATGAAATTCATCTTACCTATATCCCCTGAGTCTCTCCTTTGAATTGTATGCTCTATCTAACAGACATTGACTTAGTTTATTTGAATGTTAAAATGTATTTTTCTCTCAATTTCTAGGTGAAGATTTTTGCCAGTGATGTCTTGCATTCATCACATATTAAAGTAAACAATTTGATTCCTCCCCAAAACCTAACTTTCCCTCCTATTAAAGTCTGTCCTCAACATTGTTAATCTTGTCTCTAGTCAGTGCCTGAATGTAGAACATGAATTTCTGAAAGAGCAAGACATGACTTCATGATCGTGTTCTTTTCCTCGCATCATGTCTGTAAACGTTGTAAGATACCTCCTTTATCAAATTTTAAACCTGAAGGTTATTCTGAGAGCACTATGTCAAAAATCTGACAATTTTCTTACAGACTGCAAATATCCTATCCTATTTTATGCTATCTGATGAACTCTACCCAAGGTATGGTTCATAGATTACTTTATATGAGAGTACTCGGTAGAGGTACTAACCTGAATGGGTTAATTTGAATTGAGTTCCAGGACTCCTCAAAAATTTGTACTGATGCAAATTATAAGTATTCTTTATTGATCCTACATATTTACTTCCAAATCTCAGTGATGTCCATCCATATCTAAAATGTTTTCTATACATTAGCACTCTCACTCATCACAGGTATGAACAGAAATTAAAGTTCATTTCTGAATGTTACAAGTACAAATGTACTCTTATTACAAGCTTCCCTGACCCTATTCTGTATGCTTTTAGCAGAGAGTGTCCTCCCATACATAGTGATCATCCATCTTTTCTACAGCGGTTTTATTCTGTTGATTTCTAATCTATATACCCTGCAGTACTGACATATTTCAGCGAACTCCAGACAGAAGACATGACAACAGTTCAAATCGAGGTCCACGGAGACGTTCTCAGGAGAGGGAGCGTTCCTCTGAGAGTACAGACTCTCGCTCTACTCCTCGCAGGAAGGAGTCAGGTATTTTCATGCTTGCAGATAGATTTATCTGCCACACTGCTCTCTCTTTTATTCCCATGGTAATGAGTAGGGGTGATTCAGATCTGAATTTCTGGAGTGTTTGTAGTCTGCCAGCATTTGCACTCATCAGTAAAATGTTCTACTAGTTTATGTGTTCTGTCGAGTAAGTGCTTTCTCAGACACTGGAATTCTTACTCATCTAATATATTTCCACTTAAAACAAACATGAAGTTAGTTTGTACGTTATTTTTTATGTCACTTCTTCTCTTTCAGAATTCTTTCTTTCTCTCTTTACATTTACATTCTTTCTCTTCCTCTGTGTCATTTGGCCTATTTGGGAGCATGTTTTGTTTTGTTTTTTTATCTCATTTTTTAAAATTATATTTGCAAAAACTGTCTTAGAATGTGACATTTTTTTTCATTTGTTAATTTGTAAGATGGAGCTCCGGGAATCCTTGGAAAATGTCCAACCACACCAGGGGTAAAACCACTAAACAGCAGTGTGACTAAACTTCAAAGCACATCAGAGGCTAAACAACTTAGTACAAAATCAGCTACTTCACAAAATACTGCAGAGCCACAAGTCTCACCAGTAGTAAAGCTAAAACAAACTGACCTGGCAGAGAAATATGACCCTGAAGAACCAACTGAAGATGAGGTTAGATTTTAAAATATTTAGAGTGAATGGACTGTGACATGCAACTTTTAACCAACCCAGACATGCATTATACATATATTAACATGTTGGTATATATAAAGATTTCATGATAATTATCAAAAGACATAAGATATCCAACAGGGACCATATTAATGAATAGACATAAATCAACCATATCAATATATTTTTAGCTCAGGGCTATTCCAGGAAAAAACGTACGGGAGGGTTGGACGGCACTTCATATATTTTTGTATGGGTAGTGGGTCTGGAGCAATTAAATTTGTGTGGGTGCATGACGTATTTTAGATGGGTGGTTGTATTAATTTACCCTCACAAATAATCAAGTGCAAAATACTTCTTTCCTCTCATTTTGTATAAATCGGTAAATACTGATATTTTCGTCCTAAACAGTTGTAAAGTGTGTTTACATTGAAAGTGAAAGTAGAATCGAACAAAACGGAAACAAGGGCAGATAACTATAAAAGCATGTGCAACTGTGACTGCAATGACAGTGGAGGATTGGAAAACGGATTCGTTGTGCTTTGGACTCCCTGGTCCAGTTTCTTTTTGCCAGTTTAATCAAACATGATTACATTGGTAGATTAAATGATATTAGAAACAATCAGAAAGATCGTTTTATTTTAAACCGAAAGTAGAAAAAAACGTATCTGATAATGAATGTTTTAGAGCATGACTACGGAGTTTGCAAGTCAAATATTTTACTTTATACTACATACAGAGTAAAAGGAAGATGAGATATGAGTTTGAAAACAATATGAAATATATTATGTCAAAAACATGCCAGTCCTTAACCTGTTAAGTGTTAACTTGTCGAACTTGTATGCACCAATGGTCCAAGTTGTTAGATGGGATTTAGAATTCATTAAATATATATTTTTTTTAATCAAAATTTTCACTTCACAGACACTGCCTACAGAAGTTTAGTCCCCCCCCCCCCCCAAAAAAAAAGCAGGAATCATTTTGTTATGAACAAGGTGAACAACAATTATGTTAAGGATAGCTAGGCTATAATTTACAATATTAATTTTAATTAATTGTAGGAATGTCATTTCTACTAGTACATGTGTATACATACTTGTAAAAGCTTTACCTAAGCTTTACAGACTACAAAGTCATGCATCAGAACAGATATACAAATCACTATGATAAAGGCTTTCAGTGGTGTGTATCATAGGCCTAAAGGAACATATTTTTTTAAGCTGTAGCAGGAACACGGGGAACTGTTTTACAAAAAAACTTAATATTACTAAGACTAAAAACTTTAGTTGTTCATAAAATCTTACAAAACTTATGTTTCTGTTAAAAATTGTTGGCATAAAACTATCTTATTTTTTTTCAAAAAGATTTAAAACATTTTTAAAGTAATGCAAAAAAGAAATTTATTTGCATAATAACATTTTGATCTTAGTCATAAGTTCTTTTGTAAGACAGGCCCTGGTTGGATAGATGTCAAAACCCAACACTCATTCGAAGTCAGATAAATTACAATACCTGAAAAAAGTACATAAAATTTTATTGCATATATATATGTGTGACACAATTTTTTTTTTGAATTTAGATGGGTGGTTGTATCAAAAGCAATTTTAAATTAACGGGGGGTGGGGTAGAAGGTAATTAAAAATGTATGGGTGGTGGGGTAAAAATAAAAGTGCCTTCCAACCCCCCCATACAAATTTTCCTGGAATAGCCCTCACCTGATCCAAAGGCTCAATTGAGCGTGTCTGTTGTCTGTCAAAGTCTTTCTGGTTATTTTAATAAACTTTTCACAATTTCATCTCTAAATTTACTGACCCAATTTTAAACAAACATGGCACAAAGCATCTTCGGTGAAAGGGATTTGTTCGATTGAAGTGCCAAGCTACCCGGTATCTTTCAAGGGGAGATGATTAAGAATGAAAATTTAATGATATCAGTAATTATTTTAAAAAAATAAAAATTTCTCAAGAACCACTGGACCTGAAAAGATGAAACTTATATGAAAGGTTTGTTACAAAGTGTAGATTCAAGTTTATTTGAATTGTAACCACAGGGGTATAGTGAGGCTACAATATAGGGCTGCCACGAAATCAGAAAATTTTCAAATCGATTCAGTTAAAAAAACCCTCAGTTTTCAAATAATTTCGAATCGATTATAAGAAAAAGAACATTTTTTATTTTTGTATAAAATCTGTAATGTTTGATAATTCAAAATAAATAATGATTCATACTTTAATTAGATTTATTAAGATGATATGGAATGTAAAGCCAAGAAACAAAGGAAACACCTAATGTTCTAATTACAAAGAATGACCCAAGAATCAAATGTCTGAAATCTGAATTATTAAGATACTGTTCATTGGTTTCAACAGATGAAACATGCAAACAAATCTTTCAAACAAAACCAATGATTGCATATGCTAAACATAAAAGTATTGCTGATTTGCTTACAAAAGCTATTTTGCCACAATAGAAATTACGGTTAGATCCCTGTTGTGATTTAAAGTTTTGATTCACCAATACGATATCAAACCGCCAAAACACATTGCTGTCATAACAATACAGTTAATAATTAATTTCACATTCAAAACGATGTCAGTATTTAAAAAAAATAAGAAAATTCGCAGCACTGTGTTGCATCCTCTGAATTCAGGATTGTGTGGCTGATGGGTGTTGCCTATTAGTAAATGCACTGATCTTCTGTGCCATCTTACTTTAGAAAATGGAACTTTGAAGTAGTTCCCCACCGGTTTTCTTAGCGGCCATTTTCTGAATTTCATGTTTTTGTTTACTGTAAAATGATTTGCCATCATTTCTTCCGATTAACCAATCAGAATGTGCCTAACAACAGCGGACGTTAGTGTGAAAAAATCAAACCTGAATCGAATCGAAATCCAGGAAAAACGTACCGAATCTAACCAAAAGATTTTGAATCGTGGTTAACCGATATTTCGGTTAACCGTGGCAGCCCTACTACAATAAGCAGTCAAAGTTTTAAGTAGGAATATGTAGAAAAAATAGTCTTTCAAAATCTCTTCTCAAGAAAAACCATGATAAGTCGTATTTAAATGGAAGTATCCTTTCAAATTTTTTCAAGTCATGACTTTTGGAGTAGTATGAAGCGATATTAGTTTACTTAGGAATAAAGAGGAAAAAAATCTTCACAAAAAGCAGGGTCAGAGTGACTCAGGTGAGCATTGTGGTCCATGGGCCTATTGTTTTGGATGCATAGAATAATATTTGGTGAGATTTGCTTATATAATAAACTGTGTAAATTTTTAAGATCATGGATTTTGAGGAAGATAAAGAGACAATCACAGTTTTGGACTTAACTGAGGAGATAGAGGAGCAGCCACTCCCAGCAGAGTCTGAGGACATTGAGGATGTCACTATTGTAACTGTGGAGAAAGATCAGGAGGAACAAGAGGAGAAACCTAAAGAGGTTAACAAAAAATTGCGACATACAATTCTGCCTTGTGAGGGGCATGATGAATTATGACTGTCCCACAATTTTTAAAGTTAGGTCCTAGCTTCCCAGCTCTCTGGGGCTTGACATTCATTAAAGCTTGAATTCAGTGTAAAGGGTGTTTTGTGATATTCAGAATTTTTGTCATTTGATCTTTCAATTGTAGCTTGGAAATTTTTGCATCTAAATTTTATTTTGTTTTGTATGTTACCTAAAAAAATATACAATGTAGCAAGCTTAGGACATCTACTGATATTATCCATCCTTCAGTGTACTGTATACAGGGAAATTACCTGGTATTTCCCTCGTTTTATTTTCGCCCCTTTTACCCTTTTCCCATATGGGCAAATTTAAAATGGGTGAATTTAAAGAAACATCATAATTTATTAAACGCAACTGAATCTTTGCAAATTTTAAACTGGACAAAATCATTTGCACTTGTGAAAGGTTGAAAATAACATGGGGCAAAAATAACCCCATATACAGTATTACAATAACAATTTTGTGAATGAATGAAAACTAAATTCTGTTACAGAAAAGTAACTCAAACAAGAAGTTAACCAATTACTACTGCCATGTCTGCAGCACGGAGTGTCGAGATGCAGAGGTAGGTGAAGCTAATTTTTCCTTTCAATGATGGGACAAAGAGCTGCTGTTACATGTAAAAGTCATGTCCTTTTAATTTTGTACAATGTGATGTATCCAGTAGTTCTAATAATGTGATTAACAAATAGTATGTACAAGTACTAATATTATTTATTTTTCATCAAAGGGATTTGCCAAACATATGAATGGCATAAAACACAAAAATCGTATGGACGCCATGATGGGTCTTCACTTAGAAAAGTCAAATCAGCTGATTTCTCGTATCAAGGCTGAGGAGCACCTTAGAAAGATTGAGTCTTCTCCAAGGTAGGAAATTATAGCCAGTCTTACTGTAAATATCTGTCTTTGAAAATAACTTCATCTGTTAATAAAACAATTATACAGTCAAACCTCATTATCTTGAACTCGATGGGACTGAGAAAAAACTGAGAGATATCCGAAGGTTCGATATATTGAGGGTAAAATAAGTGCTTGGGACTTCCAAATCACATTGATATATTCATGGTTTTCAAGATTTCAGTGCTCGAGATACCGCAGTTTAGCTGTACTTTGGAAATTTTGGATTCCTATTATATCTTGCAAATTACTTATGGAAAGTTTTAAAGGAAGAGATTTCACACACAATATGAAATTTGACTGTGTATAAATATCATGGGGGCACATATTTCATAGAATTTATACATGTAGTTGTATAATTATTTGCATGTGTAAAGTAATTGTTAATTCTGGTATTGTGGAAGAGATATCCTACCATGTAAGAGTTGGGGGGGGGGGGGGTGATGGCTGATTTTTTATACATGGGTATTTTGAAAAAAAACTAAACCTTGCTTATGAAACTTACCCTAGTTATTATAATATTCCAGAGGGGAAGAAAGAAAAAGTGATGGTGAACGAAGACGCTCAAGAGAAGGACATGATAAACATGTAAATAAACAACTGCTTTCTCCTAAATATGATTGACAGGGTTTGATTCCATTACATTGACCTTTTCACAATATTTGATATTGTACAGGTGCATAAGTTTCTGATACTGACACCAGTATTTTTCCAAAAAAAAATCTCCACATGATGTTTTCAGATGAAACCTTATTCTGTCTTTTCTTTGATCTGTATCTATTTTAAACTTGTTTACTAACAGTTAAGTTTCTTCATTTTTGCAATTTCATTTTCCTCTTTTCTTACCTTTAAATCTTAAACATTGATCCTGTTTTCTTTCCTCTGATTTCTCTCAGTCTGGGAATTATTTCCAGCGTCCATTCTCTGGACCTTTACGTCGAAGAGGTGCATTTCTTCAGGTAGCTAGCATTTCTGCCTTTCCTCTCGTTTTTTACTTCTGACACAATGTTGTTGATTAGTTAAGACCTCACAACTATTGTGGGAATACCCTATAATAATCACTTTGTCTGTTTGGTCCACAGTTTTTATTTTTATTTTTTCTTGATAACTCTTTATAATTATTTTATATGTTCTAAGAGCTGGGAATGCTAACTCCCTGCCTACATTTTACACACTCATATTTCAACATGTTTGAAATATTTCCTGTTAACTCTTTTTTTAATGTAAAGTTGACTTCATAAATAATTGATTAAGTAACCTTTTTATAGCATTACCAATTAGAAAATGTTGGAGGAAAAACAAACATAGATGAAAAAAATCCCAATGAATTTAGTGTTGATTTTTTATTTGCTTGATTGTATTGTTCAAAAATGCTTGAAAACTTAAAAATGCTTGAAAAATAGCCTTAAAGTGCTGGAAAAATATTGTTTGGCTGTATATCCGTAAATTCGCTATGTCCTTACAGATTTACAAAGAATTGATAAGAATTTTGTTGGGTATTCCAAAAAACTTTACTATATCCGTAAATTCGCTATATCAGTGTTTGTAATGAACAAGTTTTACTGTATTAAAGTTTTGTTTTTAATATTTCCCTGAACATATTTGGTAGTCATACTTCAAGGAAAATATGTATATTGCAAATTTGTTATTTATACTTTAATGAATTCATTTTAGGGCTATAACAAATTAGGGATATAGCAAAGTATGTTCACAGGTCCCCAGGACTTTGCTATGACTTAGTTTTACTGTATCCTGAAAATTTCTTCAAAAATAGCCAAAAGTGTATGTTGTTATTCCAAATTTTGTATAGAGCACAACCTCTGACCCAAAATGTGCAATTATATAATGATAGAACTGTTTTTGAGGATTATAAAACATATTTTAGTTTTTTTATAAAGGGTTTGCTCATATTTCAATTCTTTGTAGAAGATACTCAAATATGTCTGTTTTCTGCAAAATTCAAGAAAATTGCAATTTCACAATGCCTGTCTTTCAAGACTTGTACTCTCAAAGAAATTTTTAGGCACCCGAGTCACTCAGGTGACCTATTGCTATCTGTTTTTGTACGTCATCATGCATTATTTCTTTGAAATCTGCTCTGCTCCTTGGCAAACAGTGTACAAAGTTGTAATAAGCAAGATTCTGGACCACTTGGTCAAGTTTTCTGGTACTGGGTAGGGCTTTGTTAATTTGTATTCTTCTGAGAGAAGTTATTCCCCTTTGCTATTCACCTAGGATAATTAATTACTGTAAAAAATGTCATTGAAAGGTCAATTAAATAAGAGAATTACACAACAATTTTTATAATATTTGATACAAAAAAGTACTTTTCTTGTTTTTAGCTCACCTGAGCCGAAGGCTCAAGTGAGCTTTTCTGATCGAAATTTGTCCGTTGTCTGTCGTCGTTGTCGTTGTTGTTGTCGTTGTTGTCGTAAACTTTTCACATTTTCATCTTCTTCTCCAGAACTACTGGGCCAATTTCAACCAAACTTGCCACAAAGCATCCATGGGTGAAGGGGATTCAAATTTGTTCAAATGAAGGGCCACGCCCTCTTTCAAGGGGAGATAATAGAGAATTTGTGAAAAATTAAAAGCATCTTTTAAAAATCTTCTTCTCAAGAACCACAGGGCCAGGAAAGATGAAACTCATGTGGAAGCATCCTCAGGTAGTGTATATTCAAGTTTGTTCAAATCATGACCCCCGGGGGTAGGGCGGGGCCACAATGGAGGATCAAAGTTTTACATAGAAATATATAGGAAAAATCTTTAAAAATCTTCTTCTCAAAAACAGCAAAGCCATGATGAGTTATATTTATAAGGAAGCATCCTCAGGTAGTGTAGATTCAAATTTGTTCAAATCATGACCCCCGGGGGTAGGGTGGGGCCACAATGGAGGATCAAAGTTTTACATAGCAATATAGAGGAAAAACCTTTAAAAATCCTCTTCTCAAGAACAGCAAAGCCATGATGAGTCATATTTATATGGAAGTATCCTCAGGTAGTGTAGATTCAAATTTGTTCAAATTATGACCCCCGGGGGTAGGGCGGGGCCACAATGGACTATCAAAATTTAACATTGAAATATTTAGGAAAAATCTTTAAAAATCTTCTTCTCAAAAACAGCAAAGCCATGATGAGTTATATTTATATGGAAGCATCCTCAGGTAGTGTAGATTCAAATTTATTCAAATTATGACCCCCGGGGGTAGGGTGGGGCCACAATGGAGGATCAAAGTTTTACATAGAAATATACAGGAAAAACCTTTAAAAATCTTCTTCTCAAGAACAGCAAAGCCCTGATTGATCATATTTATGTGGAAGCATCCTCAGGTAGTGTAGATTGTATTGTTCAAATTATGACCCCTGAGGGGGTAGGGTGGGGCAACAATGGAGGATCAAAGTCTTAAATAGAAATATATAGGAAAATATCTTCTTCTGAAGAACTACAAAGCCATGATCATAAGTCATTTTGATTAGGAGGCATCCTCAGGTATAGTGTAAATTCAATTTTGTTCAAATGATGACCCCCGGGGGTAGGGTGGGGCCCAATGGGGGATTGAAAATTTTACATAGGAACATATAGGAAAATATCTTCTTATCAAGAACTGAAAATCATGTTAAGTAATTTTTATATGGAAGCATCCTCAGGTAGTGTAAATTCAATTTTGTTCAAATGATGACCCCCGGGGCAGTGGTGTATTCAGGAATTTCATAAGGGGGGGGGGGGGGGGCAGTAGAGGCATTGGGTCTGGGGGCTGCATTGAAGCCCCCAGTGGGTCTAGAGCAAGGCCCTGGTGGGGGTCTGGGAAGCTGATGAATTCTTACAAAGAAGAGATGTTTTTTCCTTGATTTTAGGATAATGGACATATAAGTTCTATATAAAAAAAAATTAAAACGGGGGGCGCACGCCCGGGTTGCTGGCCCTGGATCCGCCTTTGCAGGGGTAGGGTGGAGTCCAATGGGGGATCGAAAGTTTTACATAAGAACATATAGAAAAAATATTTCTTCTCAAGAACAGAAAAACTGTGTTTAGTCATATTGATATGGAAGCATCCTCAGGTAGTGTAGATTCAAGTTTGTTCAAATGATGACCCCTGGGATAGGGAGGAGCCACAATGGGGGATCAAATTTTTACAAAGGAATATATGGGAATTTTTTAAAAAAATCTTTTCAAGTACAACAAAGCCATTTGTTAAATTGACATGGAAGGTTCCGGTTGTTTAAAATTCAAGCCCCCACCCCACCCCCATCCCAAGGTAATCTTTTCAATACTGAACTGATTTGTACTTTTGCCTAACCAATGTGCTCAGGTGAGCGATGTGGCCCATGGGCCTCTTGTTAATGGTTGCATAGACTTGTAAAATGAGTAATTGATAAATAAAAATGAGACTAAAATACCTTATCTTTGAATGTGTTAAATATATTCTTCAAAGACCAAGAGAAGCCATTGTGAGAGGGAATGAGATAGGTTCAATAATAGTTCAATTTGCATGGTGATAGTGACAAATGGGGGCAAGTACAGGCAAGGAGATCTACTTTAAAATTTGTTACCGAGTTCTAGACTAATTATTTTCTTTATCCCTGATATCTTCTTTCTCTTGAGCAACATAGCTTCATCTATCAGTTTATTTATTATTATTCACTTTAGTTATACTTCTGTGGATCCTTTACAGTGTTGTATTATACTCAGATGACTGTTAAGACCCTTGGTCCTCTTGTTTTTTTTATCGGAAAAGAAAGCGCTAAGTTCCTACTTTATATTGATGTTTCAAATAGGACATAAGATGTTAGTCATTTAATTGGTATATGGACTGGGCCATTTCATGCATCAAGTTCACCTAGCTCTTTCATAATCACAATCCCTCTTTCATATTTTTCTTCTTTGTATCCTGTAAATTTCCTTTTTATTTTCTCTGTATCACAAATTCACCCACCCTTAGATAAATATTTCTGAGTGGGCTCCTTGCTGACTGGAATGTTTTCTAGTTGTATAAAATGCACTACAATAGGCTCGGAATGCTTTGTCTTTATATAGAGTGATAGTAATACCTTGTCTTTATTTAGAGTGATAGTATTACCTTGTCTTTATTTAGAGTGATAATCGCAGTAAGAGAGACAGACATAGGTCCTCGGACCAGGAATTCTTCCCAGACATTGGGGACCTGGTTACCTTGGATACTGTGGGATTTGAGGATGAAAGTATGGTAAGTGTAGCCAAACTTTTAAAAATAATATGAGGGACTTCATCAAATTTATGTGTACTGTGTAAGTAAGAACCCTCCATACACTGCACACTAAAGAGTTCTAATTATGTGGGAGTTTATACATTAAAAGTGATCTGCCCTTAGTTCTAAAATAAGATAAATTAAAATCGATACTATATTACTCACTTTGAATCAATTAAAGTATTCTTAATATTTTATTAAAGCCAAGATAAATTATTGGACATTTTATTTGCATGTGTTTTCCCCTATAAGTAAGCAACTGTGATTTCTGTTCATCAGTACTTACAATGATGCACATTGAAGTGGTAAAATTTTTGAGTTTGAATGGAAAGTTTGTGTCTGTCTTATCGAACATCAATTGTTACATATAGACACGCCCATTTCTTTAGAAATGTGAAAGCAATCTTCGTCTCAATGTTTTAAGACATCCAACTCTCTGCGACTTGCAACAAGAGTTGCTGAAATGAGGGTTTTATGAAGTTAGAAGAGAGTTAAGACTCCCCGATTCTGTTAAACTTGCATATTGCAAAGAACATACATAATTAGGAATTTATCATGCTTATTGAAGTTTTCACATGTATAGATAGAACATGTGTTACTCATTGTTTATGTAAACTGCTAATCTGATTGGCTATTCTATTTATTGAATACCTATTCTACAGGTATTTAAATGAAGCATGTGACGAATCTTTCCTTTCTTATGAAATGGGCGTCATTATGTAAGCCCATTCAAACGAAAAATACCACTTCAATGGACATCTTGTAGTTATCTTTGAACATTTCTCCTAGAGGTAAATGGCTGGTATCCGATATTTTATATTAAACTCAGTATTTACACCTTTATATTCTGATTCTAAATGTCCAAAAAACTTTTTTTCGTGTGTTTATAGAGGTTCCTTTATTTTTTGAAGTGAAGATGTACTGTGTGTTAATGAGTTTTTAGGATTAATAAGCTATGCTTGATTTGAAATTTAGGACAAAGAAATAACGGAGACCAAATCACCTGAAAAGACCAAGACTTCAGAGAAGTCTATTGATGATTCTGAAAGGAAGGAGATGGAAAGCTCAATTAACAAAGCAGAAGATCTCGCAGTGAATCAGGAAGTTCTGAGCAACAAGAAATCAGATACTCATATGACGTCCTCTGAGAGCAAAAGAAGTTCACAATCTGTTTCAAAGGCAACAAAATTAGACGAAGACAAACCCACCAAAAAAGAAGAACCAACCAAAGAAATCAACAGCAAGACTCAGAAAAAGCCATCTTCCACTCCAGCCAGGAAAGCAACTGATGTAGAGAAGAAAGCAACAGAGGAAATGGAAGACATAACTTCAAAACAAGAACCTTTCAAAGGTCCAGCTGGCAAAACAGCAGATGAAAAGGAAAAAGAAAACCAAGGCATGGAATTCAAAATTCCAAAAAAATCCCTCACAAGTCCAGCTAGCAAAACTGCAGATGCAAAGGAAAAAGTATCCGTAGGCATGGAATTCAAAATTCCAAAAAAATCCTCTGCAAGTTCAGCCAGGAAGACAGCAGATGTAGAGCAACAATCAACAGAAGCTATAGGAGACAAGCCTCCAATCTCTGATAACCTTACGACCAAGCAGAAGAAGGATGCCTCTGTCAAAAAAGACATGGGTACAGCAGGTGCCCCTGCAAGTTCACCAGTTAAAGAAATTAAGGAAGTATCCCATCAGACCTCCGAGAAAACTCCCTCTCTACAGATCATGACAGATCCCCCTGTGACAGACAACAAAGAGCCAGAGATTCCTCCATACAGTTCTGATGTTCCTGTTGGTTTGTATATTTGAATGATCATGTAATGGTCAATATCTATGGCTTGACGTTTTTGTGGTTTGATTCTTCAGTGGTGGCATAATAATTTCTGTGCTTTTATTTTTTGAGATTGTGATGCTGAAGACTAGATTAGAACATTCTTCTTTTCTATTCCCCCCCAATTTTGATATACAGTTAAAACTGCCATAGCGACCCACTGTATTAAGCGACTCACTGTCATATGTGACTAAGAATTCCTCCTAACGCTTTTCCCTATATATTATACCTGTATTAAACGACTACCTGTCTAACGCGACAAGCGACCGTGATTTTCCTGACCATTTTTTGTAATTTCAGGCAATTTTACCTGGATTTAACGACTATATAATTTCCGATTCCTACTTTCGATTTCGGTCGAGCATGCTACTTTTTTTTTTCAAAACATCTACATTTCATTTAATAATTATATAATGTGAGTTTTACGAATAAAACAACATTTCAAAATAAATATTTTTACTTACATTTTAATATTTATTGAATAAACATTAAAATCTAATATATAATTGATAAACATTCACGTTTTTTTCTCTCCAATGATCAAGTGCCATTTTAAAATTAGACGTTCGAGGTCGATCCCAATATCATTTCGTGCTATAAGGGCCAAATGGATATTCAGCTATAAAACCTGCCTGTTTTAATTAATAAGTAACTAAATCCTAGATGTTTATTGATTTTCATGATTTTGACCCCATGACCTTGGAGAAACTTTTCAAAAATTTTAATACTGGTTATAACTTTTGAATGAGAGAAGATAGAGCATCCATATTTTTGACATGTGCATATTTTTGACATGTGCATTACCTGTGACAAAGATATTTACAAACATAATATGATTTTTGACCCTTGACCTTGAGGTTTGACCTAATTTTCAAAAATTTTAACATTGGTGATAACATTTGAATGACAGAAGATATGGAATTCATATTTGACAAATGCATTACCTGTGAAAAGAAGTTTAGGAATGTGCTGTGATATTTGACCCCTTGACCTTTAAGTTTGACCTAATTTTAAGAAAATTTTAACAGTGCTGATAACTTTTGAATGAGAGAAGGTAAGGCATATATATTTAAAATGTTGTGACAAGACTTTCCCAAATGTACTATGATTTTTTACCCGATGACATTGGCCTAATTTTCAGCAATTTTATCATTGCTGATAACTTTTGAATGAGGGAAGATGTGGCATATATATTTGACATGTGCATTACCTCTTTCAAGACCTTTCTGAATGTACTCTGGTTTTTGACCTCATGACCTTGACCTATAAGTTTAATCTACAGTCTTTTTCATATTTTTTTATGGGAAGAACATTTGAATGAGAGAATATATGGGTTTCATATTTTACATTACCTATGACAACACCTTCCAGAAAGGTATATCATTTTTGACTTCATGACCTTGATCTAGAAATTGAAGGACACACAAACAAGACAGTTACAATATGCCATAAATAATTGCATCCCTAGACAACGAAAGTTGGGCACCACAATTCTTTGAATATACTTGTTTTTTCATATATTCATACCTGAGCTTTTGATATACTGTTTTGCAGGTCAAAATTATATAGTTGCTGTAACTGGATTTTACTGCAAGCTTTGTAGTAAATTTTACAACAATGAAAAAGCAGCTAAGGAGGCCCATTGTCAAACCAGGGCCCACTATGATAAATACAAGGTAGAAATCCATTGTTTGTATATTTCCAAATGTTAAAGAAACAAGAGATTAATTTCTTTTTCTTGAAAAACAATGATGCTATAAGAAATTATACATCAAGTACCAAGATTTGAAATGTTTCTTTTAAAATTTTGTTTTTAAAAAATGTCGGTTTTCTCTGACATGCATCATATATGTACCTATATTTTAAGCTCAAATGGTAAGAGACCATAAGAGCTTATGCGATAAAAAGGGGTCCATCCGTCTGTCTGTTCATCTGTCTGTAAACAATTTTTCAAAACTAATCCTCCTACAGTTTTAGTCTGATTGCAGTATAACTTGGCACTACACTAAGCTACATAATTCTCTTTATTGGTTTTTGATTTCAATGAACGGTGATGCCATAGTTACTAAAAAAAGAAATTTCTGTAAAATACATTTAAAATGCTACTCCCTTTACAGTTTTGATCTAATTTCAATATTACTTGGCTCACAAGTAAACTACACTTATATACATATTTCAATGAACAGTATTGCCATGGTTACTAAAAATAGAAATTTCTGTGAAATGCTTTCAAAACACTACTCCTCCTACAGTTTTGGACTAATTTCAATATTACTTTTCACATAAGTAGACTACACTAAAATACATAATTCTATTTATCGGTTTTTGATTTTGATGAACAATGTTGCCATGGTAACTCAAATAGAAATTTCTTTGAAGTACTTTCAAAACGCTACTCCTCCTACATTTTTAGTCTGATTACAATATAAGATAAGACATATAATTCTGTATATCGGTTTTTGATTTTAATGAACTTTGTTGCTTGGTGACTTAAAATAGAAATTTCTATGAAATACTTCCAAAACATTACTCCTTCTAGTTTAAGTCTGATTACAATAGACTTGGCACATAGTAGACTACACTTAGATATATAATTGTATTCAACGGTTTTTGATTTCAATGAATGCTGTTGCCATGGTTACTAAAAAATAGAAAAATTTATATATTTATAAAAATATCCTCCTACAGTTTTGGTCTGATTTTCATATAACTTGGCATGCAAGTAGACTACACAGAGATACAATTCGGCTTTATTGTTTTTTGATTTTGGTGAACAGATGTTGCCATGGATACTAAAAATAGATATTTCTGTAAAATTCTTTTAAAAGGCTACTCCTTCTACATTTTTGTTTGATTGCAATAAATCTTTCCACAAAAATAAACTAAACCAAAGATCATTATTCTATTTATTGCTATTACAAAGTTTCAAGTCCAAGTCATACTTTTCTCTTCCTTTATGAGTACAAAACCAGTAGAGCTTCAGTCTCATCAGAGACTTCTGGTTTAATTTTTTCTGGTTAAATTTAATTTAAAAGTGTAAGATTACATACATTGAAATGAACACAAATTATTTTCTTTCCAATCTTTCCATACATTTCTTGTACATGTACATGTATCAAGTACATAAAACAAAATGTGAAATGTATTATAGAGTGCCATGATGGGAGTGAAGACACCTGTGGGTGGAGTTACCAAAAGTGCAGAAAAAGGTGAAGACCAGCCAGCTGCTTCATCGGATGTGAAGGATGAAACCAAATCAACCATGGAGAGTCCCCAGACTGACCAGGAGGGTAAGGAGTCCAGAGTGTACCTGCTACTAATGTTAATATTGTAGTAGAAAACAAACCAAAAATATTTTAGCAGAAATTTATTTTAATCATCAGTAAGATGCAAGTTTCCAATCAAGCAATACTATTTTATAAATTTATAGGAAGTACAAGAGGAAGAGCTGGATCCTCTGCCAACAGAGGTCATAGAGGTCGCAGGGGCAGGAAGTGATGTCATCGGTTCACTTGCCATATCTTGTCAACAGTACAATTCAGTGTAGCATCCTGTTTGTAGACCAGTATCAGATTTTGCACTGTTCTTTGATGGAATGCAGTTCTTTCATGAGAATGTACTTGTACATGTTTATATATGCTGGCTTTCTTAAGATAGAGTCATGGTTAATAAAATGACTTTGAAGTCCTAAATAGTATAAATTATGGTGATATTTAGTCAAACTTTTTTAAAAAAAAAAGTGTATCAATGGATGTTAAAAAAAAATTATATTTGTTCATTTCACTGAATTAGAAAGATGATGTAGGTGTTTTTTTTAACAGCAGTGAATTTATAGTATTATTTATGTATATAAATATTTTGTACATGTATTTTGTATAATGGCAGCATTTTTTTTTTTTATAAATGAAAACTGGAATTCTTCTGCTTTCTGTTAATGGTTTCATTGTATATACTGGACATTTTTATTTATTTTTTTTTTTTTTGAACATGCATACATCTATCATTCTAAACTAGTATTAATGTAAAACGGTCCATATTAAATTTAAATGTTTCAAAAAAAAAAAAGCCCAATTTCTTTTGAATTGCCACTTGAGATATTAAGTAGAAAAAGCTTTCCATTACAATCTGTATTAAAATTGGAAGGTTTTGTAATTTTTAAATGCCAAGCAGAATTTATCAAAAGCTTTCATGGTATACTATTGTTTCACTGTTGAGAGATATGTACTTCCAGAATGATAATGGATGTTACTATTCAATTGAGAATAGATATAACGTCATGTCAGTTGAAAATATACAGATATATATAGTCATGTCTTCAGTAGAATCCGAATATACTTGCATTTAAATGGTCATCATAACCACCAATTGAATGGTAACATCCATTATCAATCTGAAAGTTCTCTCAACCATGTAACAATAGTATATCATGAAAACTTTTGTATCTGGAACACTGATATCTTGAATACCATGGATATATTGAAGTGATTTGGAAGTTCCAATTAATTTTTCTTTATATTTTTAAACATGGATATCTCGAATCTTCAGATATCTTGAAGTTTCTTCTCAGTCCCATCGAGATAATGAGGTTGGACTCGTTACAGTAAAATATGCTCATAGAGCACAGACTTATCATGAATTTATGCTTACAGCAAAGTGATTTTCATTCCCCATATAACAAATTACTTTTATAATGAAGCAAAATTGTCTGTCCCTTGCACTTCACTGTAAGCATGTTTTACTGTAATAAGGATGCTTATTTCAGAATTTAAACTTCAGAATATATAAGTATCCTCAAAGTCTTGTTTGCTTGTTTGTTCTGTAAAGAAACAAGTTTGATTTTCTGTTAGTTGTCATGTCTTAGAGGAGGCTTTTTTTTATGACATCAGTAATAATAACTTTGATTTAACTGCTGGTTTTAAGTGTTGAGTTTGGAAGTACCATGATATGAGACAATGTGATGTTTAATAGAGATTGTGAGGTATGGCTTGAGAAAATTCTTATAACCTCTTATTCATGTGATGAATTAAAAAAAAAAGAAAAGAAAAATTCCCTTCTACCTGTATTTTAAATTTGTATAATGAGTATATTTTAGCATTAAAGGATGAACTGTTTTGGTGGCCATTGGAAGGGTGAGCAGAAATGAGAATACTGGTCTGCAATGAAACAAGAGATCCTTATTTTACTCTGTTGATTTTATGGAAATCAGATTATTGTGGATTTTTATGCTTTTAGTACATAAATATGAGGAGACAAGGAGAAAAGAGGATTTTCCTATAGTAGGTAATAAAAAACAAACTTGTGCATCATTTATGCCTGGGTAACAGGTACATGTTGTATCCACAATGTAATTGCATACATCTTAAAAATACAGGTACTCTGCATATGGAGCATTGTTAATATCACATGGTGATCCTTTTAAGAAGAGTCCATGGAAAACAGGCAACTCAAGATGTACCCATTAGCACACAGAATGAAAACTGGAAAATCAAATTTGCTCTTCTGCAGTGCTGAACTAAAATGCATTTCAAAATGTACAGTGATTTGTCACAACCACGTTACCAGCTGCTATCCCTGAAAGTTAAAGATGTTAATTCTTCAAATCATACATACTTCTTGAGGGCCTCAAGTAACTTAACAAGGCCCATGGGCTGCAATGCTCACTTGAGTAAATCTTTTAGGTCACTGAAGTCACTCTGCTCCTAGGAATTTGGCAGACAATTTGAGTGCATGGTTGTGCTTCTTCCAAAATTGTGGAATCTTTTTTTTTCAATCAAACACCCATCCTCAATTCTGACCCTACCCTCCCCTTAGGGGTCATGGTTTGAACACAGGGATTTATCAGCCTATTTTGGGAAACGCCATTTTTGGGGAATTGGGAAAAAATTATCGGCTTTTTGATGAAATTGGGAAAAATCAAAAATGTTGCTTAAATCATGTATTCAGGTGTAATTCATTTAACATTTCAGCATGAACTCTAATTTGCATGGGCAACCAAATTACAAACATTTAAATATGATCCAACTTCACACAAGATCAATAATTATTATGAATAATAGACTAATAAAAGTAAATTGACTTCAATGAGTGTAAAGTGTTTATACAACTTAGGGTAGTACATTTGTGCATGAGATTCCAATTTAGGTCATTATATAGAGTCTGTCTGGAGATCATAAACACATCTTCTCAAAGTCCTCTTTTAATATGTAATAATGCATTGAAAATATATTTTTCTATTTGAAATATTGCCAACAGTCCTTACCATTCACTCGTAGATCAATTGAGTAGGTAGAAACAACTTAATAAATCTATATAATTACACAATATCACTAATTTTCAGAAAAAACTGAGGAAATTCGGAATAAAAGTTGGCGATGATTTTACAGTGTTTTTAAACACTTGTTATGACTGTACCTTTGCTACACGAATTAAATAGATGAAAATTAAAGACATTCTGACAATTTTATTTAGTGTTTTCCCAAGATGATTAAATATAAAAGCATTGTTTACCAATTGGGAAAAAATACTGCCAAATTGGGAAAAATTGGACTTATTTTCTATTGGGAATGGGGCCGAATTTCGGCCCACGAGAAGGTACTGATAAATCCCTGGAACACTATACACCTATGGAAACTTTCAAAAAAGTTTCACCTTCTTTTGGCCCAGTAGTTCTTCAAAAGATATTTTAAGAAACATTACACCTTATTTTGGCCTTTTCTTCATTATCCCCACATGGAAGGGGACTTGGCCCTCCATTCAAACAATTTAGAATTACCTTTACTCAAGGATGCTTGGTGCCAACTTTTGTTAAAATTGGCTTTGTGGTTCTTAAGAAAAAATTTAAAAATGTGAGTTTACCCACAGACTGGAGGAATCCAGAGCTTTTAGCTCAGGTGAGCTATTAATAAAACTTTCGTTATCACTGCTTTTTAAAATACCTAAAACCATGAGTCAGTTAAAGTGATTTTCAAACTAAGTATCTCTATAGAAGAGCACTTGGTGAATGCAAACATTTTAGCTTTATTTAATATAGTATTATCGGTCTTCTTCCATACTAGGTTTTACTGAAATCAAACCAACATTGAAGAATAGCATTGTTAAGAATTCATAACAGATATTAGGACTGATTATAGCCAGTAAACTATAAACAAATGATTACATCATTGGAATTTATTATCCAAAATGCATATTTCAAAATCCCAATAAAAAATAACTGTTGCACAGCAAGTATTTTCCTTCCCTTTCACTGAAGAACTGTATTTTTAGAAATAAGAAATATAGTTCTACTGATCTGTTTCATCAACCTTATAAAATTCACTGAACCGTGCTTCCACTGATCTGCAACACCCACTTTATAAAATTCACTGAACCATTGTTCTATTGATCTGTCACACCAACTTTATAAAATTCACTGAACCGTGATGTTAACTCCACTGCATCGTTATATAGTCCCATATCTGAAGTATAAAAAGACAAGTATGTACATCAGCGACATTTAAAGTTTGACCTTGAAAAGATTTATACACCACTTAACAGATTACAGTAGCAACTCAATTTGAATGCACCCAATACATTAAGAAACTAGCACCTGTTGTTAGGTTTATCAATGTCTGTCTAGAAAGATATACTGGATGCTTCGATAGATCAAAGATGGTGAGGCAAAGTAGATCATAGATGCTGAGGCAAAGAAGATCAAAGATGGTTGAAGCAAAGAAGATCGAAGATGGTGAGGCAAAGAAGATCATAGATGGTGAGGCAAAGGGTGAGGCAAAGTAGATCAAAGATGGTGAGGCAAAGTAGATCATAGATGGTGAGGCAAAGAAGATCAAAGATGGTTGAGGCAAAGAAGATCAAAGACGGTTGAGGCAAAGAAGATCAAAGACGGTTGAGGCAAAGAAGATCAAAGATGGTTGAGGCAAAGAAGATCATAGATGGTGAGGCAAAGAAGATCAAAAATGGTGAGGCAAAGAAGATCATAGATGGTGAGGCAAAGTAGATCATAGATGGTGAGGCAAAGAAGATCATAGATGGTGAGGCAAAGTAGATCATAGATGATGAGGCAAAGAAGATCAAAGATGGTGAGGCAAAGAAGATCACAGATGGCAAGGCAAAGAAGATCATAAATGGTGAGGCAAAGAAGATCATAAATGGTGATCTGAATTTTCCAATTTTTCTCTGATGTATAAGAATTTCTACTCACAATGACTTTTTAAAGTACTATTTCTTTTTCATCAGTGTTAGATTTTTATGTTTTAAAAATAAGTGGAAATAAATACATAGGTAATCAGATTACAAAACTCACCTCAATGAATTTTATCTTTAAGCAAAGTCCCAAACTAAACTAATAATCTAGTAGTGTGCATCCCTAGATACAACATTTATGCAATTTTGTTCCAGGCAGGGCTTGCAGTAACTTGGGAATGAGCTTTTTCTAAAAACTTAAACTGGTCATGTATGTCAGATCTAGCATACAAAGCAAGTGTTAGTGTGCATCCCTTGATGTATCATCCATACATGTTTAGTCCAGGTAGCCTTATAGTAACTTGGGAATGGACCTGCTCTAAAAGCTTTAAGCTGGTCAATCATACGTAAAGCATACTTCATATCCAGCATCCAAATCAAGTATGGTACATGTAGCATACATCCCTAGATGTATCATCAATGCAAATTTGCTCTATGAAGGGCTTTAAATTAAACTGGAATGAGCCTGCTCCGAATACGTTAACCTGCTCACTCATCCAGAATGTATAAGTCAAATCCAGCATCCAAAGCAAATCTTATAGTGTGCACCTCTATATACAAAATCCATGCAAGCTTCGTGCAGATAAGGCTTGAAATAACACTGGAATGAGTCTGCTCCAAAATTTTAACCTGGTCATTCATCAAGAAAATGTAGGTCAAATCCAGCACCTGAAGCAAGTCTGAGAGTGTTCATCCCCTGATGCATCATCCATGCAAGTTTGGTCTAGAGAGGGCTTAAAATACACTGGAATGAACCTGCTCCAAAAACTTTATCCTGGTCACTCATTACTCATAAATGTAGATTAAATCCAGCATGTGAAGCAAATCTGCTACTGTGCATCAATAAGTGTATCTTCAATGCAAGATTGGTCAGCAACTCAGCATAGGGCTTACAGTAATACTTTACAATGAACCTGCACCAAATACATTAACCTGCTAAAATCAAGCATCTGAGGCAAGTCTGGTAGTGTGCATACATAGATGCACTAGTACAGAGTTGTCAAAATTTTCATATTCCTGTCGGACATTTGGTCTGACATACCTAAATTTTCTATTGTACCGGATGAAGTTTTGTCAGACCAGTTTATTGTACCTTATTTTGTACAGAAAGGAAATTGCTGAATATAAATAACTGCACCGACATGCCCTTTTTTGTTTTCAAAAATATTCCATCTCACAATTTCTTTTCTTAAAGAAAGTCTTTAATTCAGAGATATAGATAACGATTAATGTCTCTGCTTTATCAAATTTGATTGACCTCCGTCAACAAGCAGTCATGTTTTTTTGTGACCTTCAAATGGGCATCCTATCTTTTAAAAAATTTGCATCAGCCCAATTTTTCCAAACGGTTATTTCGACTGGCATTTTCTGGCAAGTTATCTGTCAAAAATTTTTTTTTACCGGCCGTGCCAACAGGACCAACAGTCTTCAACAACTCTGGATGTATCATTCATGCAAGTTTGGTCAACATTGGGCTTACATATACTTGAGAATGAACCTGTTCCAAAAACTTAAACCTGGTGGCTCTTCTGGAAAATGTCCAACATTAGATGCAAGTTTAGTGGTGTGTATCCTTTATATATGTATCATGTAAGCAAGTCTCCTCAACATAGGGCTTATAGTTCCTTTAGAATGAACCTGCTCAAAAAACTTCCAACTTGATCACTCTCCGGGAAAATTTGTGAAATCCAGCATCTGAAGCAAGTCTGGTAGTGTGCATCTTAAGATGTGTCTTCCCTGCAAGTTTGGTACATCTCTGATCAATATAGGGCATACAAGTACTTGAAATCTGCTCCAAAAACTAAAACTTAAACCTGGGATGCCGGTGCCAAAGGTATTTCATAATCATAAGCTCTCCTAACTTCACTGAGATGAACTAAAATTGCCAACCTATGTACCCTAATATAATCAGCTTGAAGGCAGAGAGTCAGACAAACATATTTTGTCTAGGTCTAAACTCGAAAAATACAGCTTGAAGGCAGAGACAAACATATTTTGTCTAGACCTTAACTCGAAAAATATCAACTGTTAGATACCTTGAAAATAATGTGTAATTGAAATACGATTTACAAAACAGGGTTTGACAAACCAGAATAGTTCACAGGGCTAGCAATTTTTAAGTCTTACTAGCCTTGTTCAAGAATTAGTTGTCCAGCAGCCAAAGACTGTGTGCCAAGTCACAAGGTAATGAGATGGGGGGGGGGGGGGGGGCAGTTGGGGACATACCAAATCCTGCATTCTGATTGTTTTTAGGGCAAAATTATGTCACTTTATAAATGTACATGTGCTTGTATTCTCTGATTTTACATCAAAGTCTCAAACACTTTGGTGATAAAGATTACTGACAGGTCAGGCTAAAATAATGTTAGGCAATAACAAAATCGACAGTACGACTTACCTGATAATGACGTTCTATTTAAACCTTACCAACAAAATATTTTAAATGTATTTAAATACATCTGATTACTTGTAATTGAAAGCAGACTTAATTACAAGTACTTTCAATTACTTTGTAAAAATGTATTTAAATACAGTAAATTACAATTACTCATTTCAATTACCCCACCCGTTATTTTTTACGACATCCACTCATTTATCAATTAACATTGGATCAATTTGATATATTCTTACCAAATGTATCACTGATTTCCTTTGGAAAAGCTATGTAGTTTAGACAGTGAATGTTATTCTGTGCATCTACATTCCCATGGACTTCAGTTAATCCTGAAACATACTCTCCAAGCTGAAACACAAATTAGGCTATTTATTTATTGAGGTGTTTAGTCAGTGGAAATTTTGACATCTTTTAAAGAAAGTTTATATATAGCAGAAATATTAAAGAGCATTCCAACATCTAAAGATCTGTAGAATTTGAGTTCTATTCAAAACTTTTTCAAACTAGTAGGAAAAATATCTTGCTTAGGTTTTAACTATTTACTAGTAACCAAATAAGGAACAATTGTGATAAAATAACTATAATATCAGCTATTTAATTTGAATAGCCTAACAGAGATGACATCTAACCATTTCAAGCTATATAGCTAAATCAAGAAATTGTACAGCACATGTTAAAATAAAATTTAAAACTGAATTACAGTGCAATATTACTCCTTTGAACTGTTTATATTTCAGAGGCTAATACACTTACCGGTTCCTGCATGATTATTCTTATATCTTGACCATCACTTGTTGACAAGGTGAAGGCTGTTCCATTGCTATCAACCTAATAAAGAGCAATATCCTAAAAAGTACCATATATACTCGCCTTTAAGTCGGTCCGCCTGTAAGTCGGTTGTATTTTTTGCCACTGACCCGCTTATAAGTCGGTGCAACTTTTTGCCAGAATCAGTTGACAATTTCAAATGAATGCTTTAATGTTTTAACCTGGTGTCAATTAAATTAATATTTTTAGAAATGATGCCGATATTTAATTTTAAATCATTAAGAAAAATACTAAATGCACACTTAAGATAAAAATAAAGTTTTTAAAATATGTAAATACTTGTACTTTATGTATAATCTTAGAATGCATAAATGACATAATATATCCAGACTTTGTTCAACGATAATCTTTGGAAATGTTTATAGAATACTACATTTCGCTGTCCAGAAAAATACTAATCTTTTTATGACTCGCCTATAAGTTGGACATAGAGTTTTGGACCAAAATTTAACTCCCAAAAAACCAACTTATAGGCGAGTATATACGGTATTAATATAAATTGGCAAGAAATAGGGTTTTTACAAACCAGTCTCTGACAAATCCCGGGAATCCCAGGATCTGGTAAAGTTGGAAGCAAGCATGTGTAAATTGCATACTTGAAAACCTGAAGGGCATGTAAATTCAGAGGCCTATAACACTATATCATTAATAACAATGTACTTTTGTATTTGATTTGAATGATCAATTCATTCATCATGTACAGTTGAACTTCGGTATCTTGAACATGGATATCTCGAATACCATGGATATGTTTAAGTCATTTTGAAGTCCCAACGCTTATTCCTTCAGTATTTTACCCTGGATATCTCGAATCCTTGGTTATCTCGAAGTTTTTTCTTGGTCCCTTCGAGTTCGAGATAACAAGGTTTGACTGCAATTCATTTTCATTCATGTATAATGTAACACATCAAATTAAATAATATCAATAACATTAAATATACCTTAAAAGCATTTGTCTGATTTACTCATCCAAAGTGAAGCATAAATTTTAATGACAAGTTATTTCTTCCACATTTCTAAAAAAAACTCTTTCACGTTGGAGGCACAAAAAGCGTATAGGTTGAAAATAATGGAGTGACAATAGATGCTCTTGGAGAAATGGATTTCCTTGGCATGAAAAGGCAAATAATAATAAATTCTTAATAAAAGTCTGGGCATGTAAATATTTGTTCGGGCTAGTGTAATAATTGGATACACCTGCTCAAAGGGCATGTGCTGAAAAAAAAAAGATTTGGCAAAGAATGCAAACTGCAATAACACTATCTTCCTGGGTAAATTTTGATAAATTTTCATAAAATTTTGAAGCTTTTCATTCAGAAAGTTAATTTGACTACAAATTTTCCCAAATTAAAAGTCAAATGCTTATAAATCCGAACTATTCATTAGAAAAGAAAAAAAATATCCCGAAAACAATCTATGTCTTGTTAAATTAGGTTAATAATTGATAAATCAATAAAACACGAGTTTGAATCGGAGGTGTCTAAAATTGAGTTAGGTTCCTTGTGGAACGAAAAAGGAGGGACGTAGTTAGAATAATCTGTGTCTCGGGACAGGCCCAAACTGGGTCCGTAGGACATTTATCATTTTAACGATGGAACATTCTAGAGGGACGTCCGGTCCCGTATACGAAACAATTGCCTGTGTGTTCTACATACTTTTTGAGAGATACTTACATCTTTGGCGTTTCCAAGTACACAAACACTTCGTCCCTGAAAACTTGGCAACATCTTCCCGTTCACTCTCGGTTTAGAAAAATCGGACATCTTTATCATGTAATGTAATAATGAAACAAAATGTTTTGCAACAAATGGAAACCGCGGGAAATTATGATCTTGGTTTGACGAACGCTTTAAAAATGTTTTCATCCTAACCCGACTTAATTATGATTCATAAAAACACGGATCAAACAGTTAATGGCATATCTAGAAGAAAATGCTTCTTTTCCAAGTGAGACTCTTTTTATATATGCACTGGGTATATTGCATGTGCATTTATTCATTACATTAATTACGAAAATACATGTGTATTTTTGTTTGCATCATACTTCTATAGATCCCCAGGTTCTGAAAATCAGCTTTTAATAATGGAAAATGCTTACAAAAATGTCTTTGATTTCACATAGTTACGTGAATTTATCCATGGTATTTCTTCAAAGTTTATAATTATAGTTAATCATATTAAATAGGGAAAATTATCAAATCTCAAATATATTTTCAGGAAATGCGCACGAAGCGGATATATATTTGTAAAAATTATTTGCTAAAGAATTCGTAGGTGCAAACTTTTCTTTAAAAAAAAAAAAACAACCAAATCTTCACGAATTCCTTATTATCTCCCCTTGAAAGAGGCCGCGGCACTTCTTGTGAACAAACTTAAATTCCCTTTACCAAAGGATGCTTTGTAGCAAGTTTGGCTGAAATTGGCCCAGTGGTTCTAGACAGGAGGTCGAAAATGTGAAAAGATTACAGACTACAGACGACAGCCTTCGTCTCAGGTTAGCCAAAAGCATCAGGGTAGAATCAAGTCTCTTGGTTGAGCATGCATTCCCTGTCGATCGGTCACATCCGCCAGGTGCTCCCCGTCATGATCGGGCAAACGGCAAAATTCCGTAGACAATTCAGTGTGTAAATATAATGGCCTAACATTTAGCATTCGACTTAATGATAGATTGTATTTGCTTGCAAGGTCATTGTATCGACCATAGAACTAGCGAAATGTTGACTTTAAACGAGACTGTTGATATCTTTGTTTTATCCACTTGTTTGCCAATATATAGCTTGCCTCGTTTTAGAAATTGTTCGTATGCAGAGCATTCTCCTGTGTATAGAATCAACTGGGAGACATAAACTCCATATGCAGGTGATAAGGGTTTTTCCTACACAAATAAGGGAAGTTGACGATCGAAAAAGTTGACCCATCAGGTTTATCAAAAAGTTTAGTTGTAAGATTACGATTAACGTCTTTTACTAGTAAACTATCCAAAAATGAAACAGATATGTCAGACTCTGTGGTATCTTTTGCTTCAAATTCACTGGGATATATCGAGTCGGCATATGAATGGAAGTAACTATTGTTAATTGATAATACGTCGTCGATATGTCTAATTGTGGAGTTGAAAACCACATCAAGTGTTTTCTTCTTCTCATGTACAAGTTTTTGAATAAATTCTGCTTCACATGAATACAAAAAATATGTTTACTAATAAAGGGGCGCAATTAGAACCCATGGGAATTCTGACAGATTGTTTGAAGATTTGATCTCCAAAAACTATATAGATATTCTCAATCATAATCTCAAGCATAATATCAACTTCGGAGAACTTGTGTATACAATCAAAATTAATGTTATCAAATTAATCCAAATAATTTCAGTTGGGAAAGCGGGAGGGTGATTACCACACAAATATTCCTTGACAAGCAATAGAATCATAAAATAGCTTTGTTTTCTATCGTAAAGTATTATTAGCAAAATTTTTGGTGGTGGCAAAGGTTGGGGACAAAGTTCCTACGGATCTGATATAGTCCGAAGTATTTTTAGCTCACCTGAGCTGAAGGCTCAAGTGAGCTTTTCTGATCACATTTTGTCTGTAGTCCGTCTGTCTGTCTGTCCGTCCGTCTGTAAACTTTTCACATTTCCAACTTCTTCTCCAGAACCACTGGGCCAATTTTAACCAAACTTGCCACAAAGCATCCTTGGGTGAAGGGGATTCAAGTTTGTTCAAATGAAGGGCCACGCCCTCATTCAAGGGGAGATAACTTAGAAATAGTGAAAATTTGGTGGCATAATTTAAAAATCTTCTTCTCCAGAACCAATGGCCCTAAAAAGTTGAAACTTATAAGAAACCTTTGTTATATAGTGTAGATTCAAGTTTGTTCAAATCATGACCCCTGGGGGTAGGGTGGGGCCATAATGGGGGATCAAAGTTTTCTAAAGGAATATATATAGGAAAAAACTTTAAAAATCTTCATTTCAAGAACAACCGAGCCATGATTTGTTATATTGATATGGAAGCATCCTCAGGTATTGTAGATTCAAGTTTGTTCAAATCATAACCCCCGGGGGTAGGGTGGGGTCATAATGGGGGATCTACCGGTAATTTTTACATAGGAATATAAAGGGAAAAAAATCTTTGTCTCAAGAATAGCAAAGCCATGTTTAGTCATATTGATATGGAATCATCATCGGGTAGTGTAGAGTAAATTTTGTTCCACTGATTACCCCTAGGGGTAAGAAGGGGCCACAATGGGGTATCAAATTTTTACAAAGGAATATATTTGAAAAAATCTTTAAAAATCTTCTACTCAAGAACAGCAAAGCCATTTGTTATATTGATATGGAAGCATCCTCAGGTAGTTTAAAATTCAAGCCCCCCCCCCCCCGTAAACTTTTCAATACTGAATTGATTTGTGCTTTTTCCTAGCCATTGTGTTCAGGTGAGCAATGTGGCCCATGGGCCTCTTGTTCTATTTGTAAATACCGTTTTCTTCTAAAAATCCTTCGGTTTTGTCGCGACTTAAGACAGGTATCTATGGAACGCCAAAGTTGCCTTATGTTGTTATTTCATGAGAAGATGGTGCTTTTTAGCTCACCTGAGCTGAAAGCTCAAGTGAGCTTTTCTGATCACATTTTGTCTGTAGTCCGTCTGTCTGTCTGTCTGTCCGTCCGTCTGTAAACTTTTCACATTTTCGACTTCTTCTCCAGAATCACTGGGCCAATTTCAACCAAACTTGCCACAAAGCATCCTTGGGTAAAAGGGGTTCAAGTTTGTTCAAATGAAGGGCCACGCCCTCTTCCAAGGGGAGATAATTAAGAATTGGTGAAAATTTGGTGTCATCTTTAAAAAATCTTCTTCTCAAGAACCATTGAGCGAGAAAAGTTTATACTTATGTGAAACCTTCATTACATAGTGTAGATTCAAGTTTGTTCAAATCATGACCCCCGGGGGTAGGGTGGGGCCACAATGGGGGATCAAAGTTTTACATAGGAATATATTGGGAAATCTTTAAAAATCTTCTTCTCAAGAACAACAAAGCCTCAATTAGTCATATTGATATGGAATCATCCTCAGGTAGTGTAGATTCAAGTTTGTTCAGATCATGACCTCTAGGGGTAGGGTGGGGCCACAATGGGGGATCAAAGTATTACATAGGAATATATAGGGAAAATCTTTAAAAATCTTCTTCTCAAGAACAACAAAGCCACAATTAGTCATATTGATATGGAATCATCCTCAGGTAGTGTAGATTCAATTTTGTTCAAATCATGACCCCCGGGGGTAGGGTCGGGCTACAATGGGGATCAAATTTTTACATAGGAATACTTAGTATATAGAAAAATTCTTTAAAAATCTTCTTCTCAAGAACAACAAAGCCACAATTAGTCATATTGACATGGAATCATGCTCAAGTTTTGTAGATTCAAGTTTGTTCAAATCATTACCTCAGGGGTAGGGTGGGGTCACAATGGGGGATCAAACTTTTACATAGGAATATATAGGGAAAATCTTTAAAAATCTTCTTCTCAAGAACAACAAAGCCACAATTAGTCATATTGATATGGAATCATCCTCAGGTAGTGTAGATTCAATTTTGTTCAAATCATGACCCCCGGGGGTAGGGTCGGGCTACAATGGGGATCAAATTTTTACATAGGAATACTTAGTATATAGAAAAATTCTTTAAAAATCTTCTTCTCAAGAACAACAAAGCCACAATTAGTCATATTGACATGGAATCATCTTCAGGTAGTGTAGATTCAAGTTTGTTCAAATCATGACCCCTGGGGGTAGGGTGGGGCCACAATGAGGGATCAAAGTTTTATATAGGAATATATAGAAAAAAATCTTCTTCTCAAGAACAACAGAGTCACAATTAGTCATATTGATATGGAATCATGCTCAAGTTTTGTAGATTCAAGTTTGTTCAAATCATTACCTCAGGGGTAGGGTGGGGTCACAATGGGGGATCAAACTTTTACATAGGAATATATAGGGAAAATCTTTAAAAATCTTCTTCTCAAGAACAACAAAGCCACAATTAGTCATATTGATATGGAATCATCCTCAGGTAGTGTAGATTCAATTTTGTTCAAATCATGACCCCCGGGGGTAGGGTCGGGCTACAATGGGGATCAAATTTTTACATAGGAATACTTAGTATATAGAAAAATTCTTTAAAAATCTTCTTCTCAAGAACAACAAAGCCACAATTAGTCATATTGACATGGAATCATCTTCAGGTAGTGTAGATTCAAGTTTGTTCAAATCATGACCCCTGGGGGTAGGGTGGGGCCACAATGAGGGATCAAAGTTTTATATAGGAATATATAGAAAAAAATCTTCTTCTCAAGAACAACAGAGTCACAATTAGTCATATTGATATGGAATCATGCTCAAGTTTTGTAGATTCAAGTTTGTTCAAATCATTACCTCAGGGGTAGGGTGGGGTCACAATGGGGGATCAAACTTTTACATAGGAATATATAGGGAAAATCTTTAAAAATCTTCTTCTCAAGAACAACAAAGCCACAATTAGTCATATTGATATGGAATCATCCTCAGGTAGTGTAGATTCAATTTTGTTCAAATCATGACCCCCGGGGGTAGGGTCGGGCTACAATGGGGATCAAATTTTTACATAGGAATACTTAGTATATAGAAAAATTCTTTAAAAATCTTCTTCTCAAGAACAACAAAGCCACAATTAGTCATATTGACATGGAATCATCTTCAGGTAGTGTAGATTCAAGTTTGTTCAAATCATGACCCCTGGGGGTAGGGTGGGGCCACAATGAGGGATC